GCTCCCGTCGGGCCGACGCATGGCGTTTCTGCCATCACCCGTTACGAGTCGGACGGCGTTCGCGACGGTGCCGGCGTTCGTAGATAGAACGGTGCGCGTCCCTCCGGGGGCACAAATGTTGATTCCTTTGAAACTTCGGCGGCCCTTCGCTAAGGGCATTGGGGCCCAAGGGGTTCTGCTGGGGCCGTCTAGGGCCGGGGTTAGTGGACCTCATTTACTTCCGGCCCAGACCATAGTAAGTGGGGACGGAGACCCCTTCATCGCGGTCCTCAATGTGGGCTCACGCAACGCCGGTGCCCTGTGAGGAACCCGTCGCGAATCACGTCAGCGTTGTCCCTGCGCCGCGACCACATTCGGACAGCGATGAAGGGTGGCTCGAGGCGCTTTGTGCGGGATCGACGGACCTGTCGAATTCAGAGCGTCAACAACTTAAAACACTACTGCGGGAATTTTCCGACGTTTTCAGTCGAGATAAATACGATTTGGGTTGCACTCATCTGCTGCGTCACCATATTGATACGGGTGACAGCGCGCCAATACGCCAGAATCCCTTTCGGTTGAGTCCCGCCGAAAAGGACCATGTCAAATCGGCTATTGATGACATGTTGGCCGCCGACATCATTTCTCCTTCCACCAGCCCTTGGGGAGCGCCGATCGTCCTGGTTAAAAAGCAGGACGGCTCGTTGCGGTTTTGCGTTGATTTTCGGCGCCTTAACAAAATTTCGGTTGCCGACGCATATCCGCTCCCACGGATGGATGAATCGCTGGACGCCTTGGCGGGAGCGCGATTCTTCTCCACACTGGATTTACTTTCGGGATTCTGGCAGCTTCCTCTGGACGATGATTCAAAGCCTAAAACTGCTTTCCGTACACCGCACGGCCTGTTCCAATTCAACCGGTTGCCGATGGGCTTACACTCAGCGCCGGCAACTTTCCAGCGCTTGATGGAATTGGTTTTGGCTGGATTGCAATGGGAGTCGTGCCTCATTTATTTGGATGACGTTATCGTCTTTGGTAAAACTTTTGACGAACATCTCCAGAGGTTGCGGGCGGTTTTCCTAAAGATGCGGGCTGCTAATTTGAAATTCAAGCCCCAAAAATGCCATTTGTTACGCGATTCGGTGCGTTATTTGGGGCACATCGTGGGGCGCTCAGGTATTGCTACCGATCCCGCCAAGACGCAGTGTGTCAGCTCCTGGCCGACTCCCACCTCGGTGGGAGAGGTCAGGAGTTTCATTGGCTTCGCGTCGTATTACCGACGGTTCGTCGCTGATTTTGCGACGATTGCCAAACCCCTGCACGCTTTAACATCAAAAGGGGTTCGGTTCCACTGGGGTCAAGAGGAGGAGGCTGCTTTCTGCTCCCTTCGGGACGCCCTGGTAAAAGCTCCTCCCTTGGTTTACCCCGATTTTTCTAAGCCCTTTTTGCTCGACACCGATGCGAGCAACACGGGTATTGGGGGTGTGCTTTCCCAGGTGGTTGACGGCGTGGAACGGGTGGTCGCGTACGGTAGTCGGGTGTTGTTTCCTGCGGAGCAAAGATATTGTGTCACCCGTCGGGAACTGTTGGCAATTGTCTATTTCATCCAACAGTATCGCCCATATCTGTACGGTCGGCATTTCACCGTTCGCACAGATCATGCGGCACTACAGTATGCCCTGCGAGTTCAGCAACCATCGGGACAATTGTCTCGATGGTTGGAGATTCTCCAGGACTTTGATTTTGAAACCACCTACCGTAAGGGCGTTCGCCACACCAATGCGGACGCTCTGTCGCGCATGCCAACCACCTCCGAATGTGCATGCCTCCTGGGGTCTGGACGTTGCAGGCCTTCAGGAGACGTATCGGTTCCGGTCTTGGCGGCCGCCGACGACGACGAAACATTGATTACTAATTCGATCGAACAACAGGGAAGAGATTCCCTGTTGGGGTTGCCCGTCACTGAATGGGGGCGCCTCCAGATGGAGGATACCTCCCTCCTCGGGTGGCGTCGTCGCGTCGGCGGTGCTGGGCGGGTGAGGGGTGATTCTGATGCATGGGAAATGGTGCAAGGTCTGCTGATGCATTGGGACGGGAAATCCCATCGACATCGGCTGGTGGTCCCTTCTGGGTTGCGGGGCAAGGTGGTGTGGGCCGCTCATGAGCGCCTTCTACACCTGGGGACCCAAAAGACTCTCGCCTTGCTACAACTTGATTTTTTTTGGCCTGGCATGACGAGGGATGTTGGGGATTTATTGGGATCATGCCCTCGGTGTGCGCAACGAAAACCGCCGGCACGGGAGTCTAACCCACCCTTGCAATCGATCAAAGTGTCCAGAATAAACGAGCTTGTCGCGCTGGATATTTTGGGTCCATTCCCCGCCACCCCCAGGGGCAATAGATATTTGTTGACTGGTGTGGAGTATTTTACACGCTGGCCTATGGCCTGGCCCCTTGCCAACCAGTCGGCAGCAGCCATTGTGGAGGCCTTTGTTCAGGGATACGTCCTGGACAAAGGTGCTCCGGAGCGGCTGCTAACCGACCAGGGCAGAAATTTTTCCGGTAAACTACTCAAACAAGTCTGTGAGCTCCTGGGCACGAAGAAAATTCGTACCTCCCCGTATCACCCGCAAACTGACGGGATGGTCGAGCGTCTGCATCGCACCATCACGTCAATGTTGTCACAGCAGGTTTCGGACTCACAGACCGATTGGGACCTGCAAATTCAAGGGGTCTTGGCGGCATACCGGATGGCACCCCATGCAGCTACGGGATTTTCCCCCTTTTACCTCATGTACGGTCGCGAACCCGACCCGCCTGTTCGTGCCCAACTGCAGATCCCCGAGCCGCAGGGAAAAACTAAATTGGCTGACCATGTAAAATTTAATCTGGCCAAATTAACAGAGGCGCGGGATGCTGCAATGCTAAACTCGGACCTCCGTCAGAAAGCGAATGAGCGCCTCAGACTGGGTCGGGCGCACATGATGCAGTGGAAGCCGGGGGACAAGGCATGGCTGCACTGTCCCCAGGTGCCACTGGCAACCTCCTCTAAGCTGGTGCGGCCGTGGCGGGGCCCTGTGGAGGTGGTCGAGGTTTTGCGACCGCAGTGCGTGCGCATCAAATGGGGGAAGCGGCGGTGGTTCGTGCACCCCTCTAGATTAAAACCCTTCGTTGCGGTACACAACCCCACTTCACACACGTGTGGCCAAACATGTGGGGGGTCGACCGACTCACTGGGTCCGTCTCCGTCGCCCTCACCTAATGCCTTGCCGGCCGTGCCACCTCCAGGTGCATCAGGAGTGACGGGCTCACGCCCGACCACCCCTCCTGGGGATGCCAAGGGTCGCGCGGCGTCGGATGAGGACTCACTCCGAGACGGACAGTTGCCACCTGACGGTCCGCCACCCGGGGTTACCCCGTGTGAGGGGCCCGCTGCAAGGACGCGCGCTAAAATGCGCAGACTGTTGTGAGGCCGGCAGATGTGTACATAGGTTGTGTTCATTGTGTGTTGTGTGGGTGGTGTGTTCCCTGCTCATTGAATGTACATATGTTGGGTTCACCATGTGTTGTGTGTGTGGGGGGGGGTTCCCTGCAAATTGTATATAGGCTGTTTTTTTTACGGAATTCGTATTTATTCAGGGGGGGTGCGTCGGGTTGTTTTCTCTTCTTGCTGTTGCGTTTTGTTGTGTTCTTGTTATTGTTCCTGTTATTGTTGGAAAATAGTGAGGCACACGCGCGGTCAGGGGGTAAATGCACTTTTATTGTCATTTTTTGTATGTTGGCAGCCGGGACGGCTGCAAGCTATGCGGGGGGGGGGGGGGGGGGGTGATGTAGGGGTGTTAGAGAGAGAGCCCGTTATGCATGGCAGCCTATGGCAAACAAACACAGTGGGCGGGGCTACGTAAGTGCACGGGGAGGTGCCCTCTACGACGTCCGAGCCAGGCACCCTGTGGGGGGCTGGTTCGAACGTTATGATCCCCCGGGGCCCCACCCCTCAGCGAGGGGTTGGGTATAAAAGGGGATGTATCAAAGGGCTCGGGAGTTATGTTAAAGCTAACCAGAGAAGACTGAAGACGTCTTAGATAGAGCCCTGGACTCCCCTGGTTCGCTGTCCTTATCAGGGCCGAACAGGACCGAGCCAGCGGCGTGGTCCCGAAAGCCAGAGCCGGTGCTCTTGTAAGAGCTGGTCTGGGACTCCGGGTACCGGGCCCGACTTACCAGTGTCGGGCCAGATAGCCTCCCCTAGCCCATTAGTGGAGGACTAAGAGGCAGGCTAGGAGTAGATAGGACGTGTATCCTCAGCTAGTCGGGTGAGGGGGCCAATACCCCCTCCAGTGCTGTATGCCACGAACGTGCTGTGTCAAATAAACCCGTGTGCCTCCAACTCCGGTGTCCAAGAGTCGTGAACGCTACTACACATATGCTAAATTCCTCTTGATATGCAAATTATTTTGTCAAGGCGCTCTTCTTCCCCCTCCAACCCAGCTTAAATATACGCTCCAAGCTTGGTGGTGTTTCATTCTTCACCTGAGGACGGCTGCTTGCGTTGTAGCCGAAACGTCGTGAGAATTATTTTATTATGTTTTATTTTTATTATTTCCCTTCTACGTGACTTTACCGAAAGAACCAAGAAGAACATTGAATAGTTATTTGAAAAAAATTGTATTTTAAAAGAAAATTGTATTGTATCCATGCCTCATGTGGGGTGCAACTTGGCATACACCTGCAGGATTGACACATTTTATCTGACTATGCCATGAAAATTACTTGACTGTACTTCACTACATTCTTCAATCAGTACCTTCCAAAAAACGTTGAAACTAAAGTGAGTTATTTATTTCTTCTCTCACGAAGTCCTAAATAGTATAATTATCTTCAATATAATTGTAGCCAACCACAATCACATGTGTACTCTAAGCAAATTGAATGTCAATATACATCTCTCAGTCATACTGCATGTTTTTGGAATCATATCCATTTGATATCCATTCTGCATGAATTTCTATTTGTTTACTTTCCAGACAAACACATTCCAAGCCATCCTGAGCACAGATGGCATATTTTCATTCTGCCTACAAATATTTAAGGATGGAGGCATGCGATGGAGAACTGAAGTTAGGGATGTCAACAATGTTGTCATGGGCTTCATGAGGTAGGTCAAACATCACCGATATAGATGGTAACTGTTTTTGGTGAGTTTGAAAATGTTTCATTGAAAAATCATATTTTACGAGTTATATACTGGATGATCCATTTATAACATTGCGCCATGGTGATGAGATGTTGACTACCTCGCCTGGTATACAGGAGGTTGTGGGTTCGATCCCGATCCCGACGCCTGTATATTTAGATTTTGCATATTCTCCCAGTGGTAGCATGGTTTTTTCTCCATGTCCGCTGTTGTTTCCCTCCACATTTAGAATCTACATGCGTTTAGAGTATTTGGCTGCTATAAATTTTGACGTGATAAGCCACTTCTTTGAGCTATCATTTGTAGTCAGGTCGCTTCTGAAAAGAGCTATATAGCTCAGTGGGCCTTACTTGGTCAAATAAAAAATAGTTCATCGTTTAAATAGTTTATTGATTTCTAACGACCTTTTGGTGTACTGCAGAACAGGTGATTGAATATTGTATAAACGATGGCACTATATCTTATCGAGGAGAGCATAAAACGATCTAATATGTAGTATTGAGTTTGGTGAGAGACTTGTAGAGGCTTTGAAATACAATTGTTTCTTTCTCTATTAATTTCTCCATATCATTGTAATGGGGGTGTCTAAAAATGGATCACCCTGTATTTCCATAACTTGATGCTACTACATTCGTTGTATCGAATACATCAGTATTTTCATAAGATTAACCTTGTGTTACTTTAACACACTTTGTTTTAGATGTTAGAATACCTATGGTAACAGTGGATGACTTCTGCAAAGTATGTTGTTACTTTGTTGGATATTTGTTTAAAAATCCACCTTGAATGATCAACCAATTTGAAAACATACGGAATCAGAATTTGACCATAAATGTGTTTTTGTTTATTATATTTGTGTGTTTTTTATAAAATTTCAAAGTAATAATTGTATTGTACACATTACATTGAAAAAAAATACTCTTTAGGCAAACGAAAGTAGTATTAAAGAAGACAGTATATCTTGATTTCTTGATTTTTTTATGTTTGATTTTGTTGATGACAATTGGATACATTAAAATTGCAATTGAAATTCTAAATAATAACGGATCATTATTTATTTGAATTATATTGCTGAATCGTAATTCTTTAAAATCCTCTCAAGATGTTTGAGTCGTCCAACATTTATGCATGAATGAGTTGTGTGTTAATTTCTCTAATCTCTTACATGAGTGTTTGTATGATGTTTTTTTTCTTCCCATCGTTCCTTCCCTTATCAGTGGATACGGAAATAGCCCTTACATTGAACCAATCTCACTGTCGTCAAATGCCACCGTACGATATCGTCCAGACCAGGCTGTTGGAACAAATACAGGTATTCATATGAATTTGTAGTGATAAAATGTGACTGTATACATGTTATAGAAATGTTTGCAAGAATGGATATTGTAGGTTTGTGTTCTTGGTCGTGTGAATTTACATGCCCATTAACTCTATACGAAGAAAAGGTTATTAATTAACTAACAAATTAGTTATACAGTTGAGAAAAATTAATAGGAACAAATAGAGAAACGCAATTGTAAACGTGCAATGCACACAACATGGAATTGTAAATGTGCGCACACTGCGCACTTTACAATTGCATTCCTTTATGCATTCGTGCACATTTTCCGCATCCACGAACTTAAGAGCTGCATTCTGTCCTGTGATGAATCAATTAAACCATTTAAACATTTTAAGATGAAGATACTGCAGCATGACAGCAAGGCGGATAGTCTTCAGACTTGCTGTGCGTCAATGTTGTCACGCAACACGTAGCAGCACAATGTATGGTATATTGCAAACCGGTATTTTTCCAGTTTCTGTTCCAACAAAAAATAGATACGCCTCTGTTGAAATACCCTGTCCTTTGCACGTGAATGAAAACACATGCACACTACTGTCGTAGATCCTATCTTGGTGTCAAAATGCATCTTGACATTGGGATGTTGGCGTGAATTTGTCAGAAGCCAGCACACTTTGCAATTCCATTGAGATTGTCTTAGAAAAGCTTTTTAAAAAATAAATTATTTTACCACACAGTGTCTAAGTAGGGAGTATTATTACCATGGCTTTTGTATAAAATGTACCGTCTTTTGAAGGTTGGCATTTCCCAGGCAATTGGTTTTCAATTAACCACTCGCAAAAAATGTACAACCCTGCCATGCGGTGATGAATAAACTTGAAAAGAAGAACATATGGATGTCTGTCTGCTAGTAAATTACGTTAATTTTTTGTGATTATCATTATGTGGCATGCTGCTGAACTATTTTAGTGACGATGCCACATAATGGAAGACGCACAAGTCACACCACGTGTTGAGAGAAACCCCTAATTTATTAAGTATCACTCGGTTCTTTTTGGGACCACATCTGACCCAGATATATTAGGATACTAGTCTGGAGTTATGTTGTCCTTATTCTTAGACTATAGAGAATGTATTCACCATATTTCATACAGTTTTGCAACTTTAGCAAGTTCATTAGACAGTTTGTGAAATGTTTGTAAATTCATTAATATATTGACTGTGTTTAAAATGAATACTACATTTTTGTTGCTATGTATATTCAATCAATACAATTTTAATTGGTTTGGTGCCATTCACAATAATTTGTCGCAAGATGCTTGACAAATACAGATACACGTAATAAGCAATTAAAAACAATAATAAATTATGCATCAACGTAAACAAATCAAATTATTCAATACAGAGATAAATACAAATGCAATCTAAACTATTATAGTACAGAAGATTAATTCACTTCTGGATAAAAGGCTCTCTCATGACTTTCGGTCATGGGGATTGTTTGACCCATGCTTCAATAAGCTGGCCATAGTGTGCAACGATTAGCGCTACGAACCCGGCGAGTTTGATTCTAGCTCATAACACCAGTGACGATTATCTGAACTAGTTCTGGGCCTCCCGTAGGTCGACTCAGCCTCAAATGGTGAGCAGTGTAAGCATCACCACTGGGGAGACAAAGACGGCCGGGCGTGGTATTAACCACCCACCCCCTCATGTGCCATGCTGGCCTTCATAGGTGCTCACTTACAGCACTTGCCCTCACAGTCTGTTAAAGGCTATATGGGATATCTTTATCTCTGCTGGTCAATGTGGGTTGGTGAAGGTTGGGTGCCCAGGACTGATTAGGTGTAACTTACCACTGATGTTAGCCATGATCAGGAATCAAACTCAGGTGCTAACCATTGCTGGCCACCTGGGTTTGATTCCTAGACACGGTGAACATCAGTGTTCTGGCACCCTATGCACTGCAATTTCACCAATCCATACTGACCAGTGTCCAGCAGTGGATTGATAAAGGGCAATGCTGGTATGTTAAAAAGATAAGGCATTGTGTGTTCAACGAAAAATCTTGACAGCAATCACGAAACATTCCTGACACATTCGTCATGAGCACTGGAACTCGTACTTGCAGATATGAACTGCTTTCGTCGCACTTTGTTTATGCTCAGTGTTCTTTTGTGTTAACATTACAATGCAACATGTCTGAGGAAAATGCTGTTTCATTCAATACAAGGTCAAACACTTACCCTTAAAATATCTTTTTTATGTTCATGTAACTCATTGCGAAATATTACCTGCTTTTCGACAAGTATGAGAAATTTGACAACGCTGCCTTCACAATTAATTCCAAAGCGTTGTTTTCCAGTTGTCAGGGCCATGATATAGCTGGTTGCAACTGCCCAAAGCATGTAATTATTGTATTGTGTTGCATACATGTCAAAGTGTGTAATATATGGCCACATTAACGAAGACACTTGGTTTCCCATATTTAGCAAAACAGCAATAAAGGCAATGCACTTAAAATGTGTTTTCTGAATGCTTCAGAGAGTCCAGGGGATTAATTGTTTCATGATCAGCATGGAAAGCAAACATCAAAGTAATTCCCGTAGGGTAAAACAGTTGTATTCACGTAGAGAACTGAGTGTATTACAGCACCAGTGTGCATACATTCCAAATGATCTCATCATCATCTGCCTTGGTCTGTCCACTGCTGGTTGAAGGCCACCCTATTTAAGATGCTTCTTTCGCTAGTTAACACCTTTTGTGGAAATTGGTTCTTTACTCTTCTATCTGGCAACAAAACTGACACCTTTTTGCAAGGAGTCATGTTTGCATAGACCGCAATACCTGCAGTCATAAATACAAACAAAAGACATAACTCTGATAATGTGCACTGTCCTTGAAGTTGATTGGTCCACACCCGAGACAGCTTTCCTTCGAGCCTAGTCTCATATGGGTTGGACCAGATGACGCCAAAAGGCGCACAACTCAAGGACAATGCACCATCAGAGTATGAGAGCTCGGGGCAAGCATCTACACTATGGGGACCTCATTTGCCAGTAAAAATATGATAATTGGTTCTTTACCCTTCTATCTGGCAACCTTTTGTGGAGTTCAACCCTATGCTCTATATTATTAGGGAGTCATAATTTATTATTAATTTCTGTTTTTCTTGAGTAAGAGTTTCATTTTTATCACATTAGTATTTAAAATTAAATATGAAATTTTTTTTTCCTAAAAAGTGGAAAATTTTGGGAAAAAAATTTCTCGAAAATAAATTGTCACGCACAACGAGTCTGTGTGCAAAATGTCAGCTCGGTTGGATCACGGGAAGTGGGTTAAAAAACGACCGAAAGATTTGCACGGTCGTAAGCGCGCAAGCAAGCAAGTGAACTTAATATAAAGGATTTAATAAAGGATTTAAAAAGAGGATGCTCTATCTTGGTGTATATTTCACCGTCTCACTAAGGTATATGCTTAAACAAAACAATTAAAATACATAGACATATATAGCAGTGCTCTTAAATACATGTTTTATATGATCAAATTATTTGACTCCATTGCAGGCTTGAAGGGGAGATCAGCACTCAGGTTGGATCTTAACTCAGTGTATACCAAAAATCCAAAACGCGAATGCCTAAATTGGTATCAAAGTGAGGGATACGCCCCCTACTTCAGTCCCTTCACTACCTGCCCTTGCTTCTACTGGCAAGGGTATTTTGACATGTCCTACGTTGACGGGAACATCATACAAATGTATGGCTACAATCCTCCCTACGTCTCAGGTACGTTTGTAATATTTGCTGTTTTATGTCTGATTTGGTTCGCGATAACGGTGCTCATGGTGGTGATGTGATTTTTTTGTTTACATTTTCTTGTCGGAAACAAGCTCATTTGCCGATATTTATTGCATTAATTAATCTGTACCTTGAATTGTATTACTGGAGCTGTTCTGAAGCAATTTAATATGCAATTTATTTCTCCTTACGTACTTATATTCTGCATATAATTGATTTCTGTAATGTTCACAATTGAGAACTTTTGTAACTATCTTGCAAAAAAATAGTATTCGCATTTGTTAAGTCATGGAAGCAACCACTGCCATGCTGCCTTTCACTCTGTCCAAACACATTCTCATACCTGCATCCTCTCAAAAAACAAATACTGGACTGGTAACGTGTGCAATTTAGGAGCATCTCGGAGTCTGCAGAGCCTTTGGCCAGACTACAATCGTGGAGGGGTGAGATGCCACTATAGCTGGTCGGGCTCTCTGCTGTCTGGTGGTTACGAGAGGTATCTGCCCACTCCTTGGAACTATTGGTCGTGGTGGTGGTGGGGTGGGGCGTATTATATGCAACAACAAAGACAAGAATATCAACGTAAGTTACTTAAACGGTATGCTATTTCACAAAAAATGTAAGTGGTGCTATTGTAGAAGTCACGTGATGTCATGGGCATATTTGAAAGATATCGAACTAAATGTTTCAGACTTTGTAATAGTTTTGCACGATACGATACTTACAATTCAGAAATTTGATGATAAAGACGTTGGCAGATGCAATTGTATTTCACACCCGTATCATCTCGTTGTTGTCCTCTGATGTCCTTCAAGTACGAATGTAGAATTGTTTAAAGGTTATTCACCTGCAGTACACTCAATCATAAACCTGCCATTAGTCTTGTAAGCATTGTGACTCTACAATCTGTCATGCTTATAATGCACACGTGGTCAGTTACTCAAGAAAAGTATTCAATAATTACATGGACAGCGAAAATCATGATCCAATTACATTTTGTCTTTGTATTGTATTTGTTTGATATAGTGTAGTATCGCAATATCGCAGAACCCTACCCATAGTTGTATCTTCGTTAGTCGAATACATGTTTCAGTTGCTTAATGAAGTCTCAAAACAATACTTTACAATGAGTGATTGACTAACATTTTATTACGTCTTCATTGTTTTGCTCAAATTAGAAAAGGAAGCGGATCCCTACCGATACTGCTGTCAGTCTGGAGACAGTCGGCTGTGTCGCCTGTACCAAGAGAAACGCCCTCGCAACCAATGCTCCTTCTACAGGCCTCCCTTCTTCGGTGAGTCTCACAGTCTCTTCGCTAAATAGCATATTTATATTACATGTATGTTCAGAAACGCAACATGCGTGATCCCGTCAGGATTGTGCTTGCATAGTGCTTCGATGAACACTCTGCAAGGATTTTGTGGTTGGCAGTACAGCAAAATGGATAGTTTTACTGCACTTCTATGCTGCCCCCCCACCCCTTTTGTGTATGCTTAGCAAATTCACCAACCTGTACGGACTAGCATAGTGGTGAAGCATTATCACGTGATCACTTGCGAATTGATGGTGGGGCAATTGTATTATTAAGACAGAGCCAACATATAAATTACATCCTTTCCACACAAAACATTTAGAATTGAGTAAAATATCTTTCCGAAAAATGTGACTGAAATTACAGAATATGTAATTGCTTACCTGCCAGCACAGTTCTACAAACACTTGCATGCACATTTATGCATGCAGATATGTGTTTTACTGTGTAAACGCTTGAACGTGCACAACCTGCTGTCATATTTTTCTTGCATTGGCAGCGTTTCTCCTTGGCGACCCTCACATCACGACGCTGGACAACGTCTCGTACACCTTTAACGGCCTAGGAGAGTACACGGTCTTGGAGGTGTCTGCCAATCAGAACCATTTCACCATGCAGGCCCGGACGGCGATCGCAGGGTCCAATGGGACCTCAAAAGCCACGTCGTTTGTGGCCATCGTGGCCCAAGAAAATGGCAGCAGCAAGGTGGGTAGGGAAGTGGCTTGAGCGCTCAGCTTGCAACCTAACCCTTCGTCGTTTTGTCAACGTTTGTGGACAGGTGCACTTATGACAAAGTTGGCACAGTAGGGGGGCACAGGTGGTGCATCGGCCAGTCATTTGAGTGAGTAAACCCATGGCACCTTAGTCTGTGCCATGACCTGCTGCCAGTGGGCGTTTGACACTTCACGTGGCCCTAACGTGCACATAGCCTGGCACAAGTGCCGCGGTGATGTCACCGCTACTTTGTGGCAAATGGCGGTTGTTGTTGTGAAGACGAAGTGCACCTGTAACGAGCTTTTGTGTTCACAGGTTGAATGGATTCTCAAAGATAACATCACTGTCGTGCTATTAGATAGTCAAGTTACTCAAGTCTCAGGTACCCCCTTTGCATTGAGGTGCACATACACTTGATATATAGTAATTGAAAGATGCTGTGTGTGTGATTCTTTTTTGTGACATATGTAATGCATCACGTTTTTTTACGTATGATTTGATGTTTCATCTTAATATACCAAAAAGTTCAGTCGCAGTCAGTACATACATTGAATGTTCCCTATTGCCCACAGAAAAACAAACCCCAGTAAGGATATTTTGTAAATTAGACCTTCGTAAAACTATCCTTGATAACTAAGTTAATGCGTTCCTGGATAAGAAACAATAATTTTGCTGTAATGTTCTCAAATGTTGTTTGTGGATGTAAACGTTTTGCTCGGCACGAAATCCCATGTTTGCCTCCGTGGGATATCAAGCTGGAAGCTTGTTCGGATAGTTCCTGAGAGGCTCCTGAAGAAGGTTATTGTACATGGAGCAAAACGTTGGACATCATGCTGAACAATACCTGATGCAACCAGAAAACACATCGGAGAGACATTGTACAGCGTGACGGCGAAAACGTACACATTAGTATTGCATGTGTAGCTTATATATATTAAAAATTTGTCCTTTTTTTCATTTCAACGTGCTTTGTTAGAAAACAAAACGTTTTTCAACCAGACGTCAGTCGAGCTGTCGTATGGGTCAGTCGTCGCGTCGTTCCCATCGGGTATCTCCGTGAATGTGACGGCTTCTTATGGGGCGCTCAACTTCATCACCCTGCTACCCCAAAAATTCGTCAACCAAACGCAAGGCTTGCTGGGTGAGATGTCCATCCATCCCACTCACCGCCACCACCACACCAAATGCTCATCTACCTCTGTCGGTCTGTGGGTTGTCTCCTTACGAAATGTTTTTTTACTTGTGTCTCCAATAAACAACAGCTGATACATATAAATCATCTCACAAATACAAACGCAGTATTTAAATATATTTTGTGATGCATGTAATTTGTGTGAGTGTTTTTTTAAAAATCAAATTAAGTGTATTCCATATTTTACTTGCAGGTGTTTTCAACGGTGATCCTAAAGATGATTTTAAATCTAAGAATGGCACTGTGCTGCCCTTCGATGGAACAAATATCCCTCCAGAGAACCAGCTATACTATGATTTTGGAGTCACATGTGAGTAGTTTATACATTTTCTCAAATTGTGTCGGCTGTGTGGGTTGTTTGACCATACTTCACCATGCTTATCAGTGCAGATTAGTAAAAGTGTGTGACAAGGGGGGAGCAGGAGCAATTCAGATGTCATTCGGCAACAATTTGACATCCAGCCTCCTGACTAACTTTGGTTATTGAACCAATTTTCTCCAATTTCCCTTCATATGTGTAGTAAGAGAAGCTAGCAGAGAAACACGTGCATTTTCATGGCAATATGCGTTTATATATGAGCATTTATATTGATACAGCTGAACAATTCTTAATACAGTAGAACTCCTCTTAATGATAGCAATTGGTTCCATTGAACAGGTCGTTAAGTGATTTAGTCATTAAGCGAGTATAGGAAATATATGTTAAATGCTAAATTCGTTCCCATAGCATCGAAAGTTACCCTTTTTCACACACAAAACACATGCTTTATAATATTTGAAGAATGGATATGGTTAATCAATGCATTCAATTAATATTTGCTGTACCTACAACAGCCCATCGTTAACGGGAGAATGGCGGGTAAGCGAACACATTGGGCTCTTTAGAGGCACTACACTACTATACACTACGCTAATATACACTACGCTACTATACACTACACTACTATACACTACGCTAATATACACTACATCATATACTACACATTGGGCTCTTTGAAGGTCCCGTCGTTAAGCGATTCATCATTAACAGGGGTGGTCGTTAAGAGGAGTTCTACTGTAAACGCCATTGCAATTAAATTTTTTTGAGTCTTGCTATGTTCATGCAATCAGCACCATTTACATTTGTTGTCACGTGGCTTAAAAAAAAAACACCTGAAAGAGTGGCCGAATAAAATTAACCAAGGAAGGTATTTCAGACGACTCGTATAGAACTGCACGTGAGCATTCCAAAAAAAATTACATTTCATGTCACAACAACGTTTGATCTTGTTGTCATCGGTCTCAAAACATATATTCAGTTTGTGATGCTTTCTGAGGAATCACGCATTGCCGGCGTACGTCCTTCTCGTTTAAGGTTTACTGCTTTTTGAGTGGAGCATTATGGGTAAATTTTGGCTTAGATACTAGAAATCAGTCAATTTATTTCCATACCAGGTATCTAAGAATATAAATTTTGTACGTGTTTTATTGACTTAAACTGATTTGGTAATTAACCATCATTTAGTAAATGTTAACATCTAATTGATTAGCGTTAACTATGATGATGAGCAAATATTAGCGAGTATTAAGATTAAAACTATTTAAAAAGGAATACATCATACATGTAACTGTGGCTCTTGCAACAGAATGACCTACGATTAAAATGCCTAGTACGACGTTGCAGGTGCATACATTATTTTTATATTCACCATTTGAAAAATGTTATATTTACAGGGCAAATCGCTGCAAACACGAGCTTGTTTTCCTACAACACCAATGCTGGGGAGAGCTGGCACACCTACAACAACAACAGCTTTGTGCCGATGTTTTATGAAGAACTCCTTAATCGGACATCGGCCGAAAAGCTGGCCAACGTCAGCGATTCCTGCGGAGGGCAAAAGGACTGCATTTTTGATGTGCTCAGCACTGACGACCCCAAGTTTGGAATGGCCACGAAGAACAGCGCTGGAGAATTTGGATCACAGGGCCAAACACTGCGTGGGTTTTATTCGTATTTTTTCTACGAACAAGTGTTTATGTTATGATGAGTAAAAAAAAAAAGGTGAAAACTACTAAAAAGCTTTGAATATTTTTTCGTTGCAGAAAACTTCCCTCCCAACATTACAAGCAGCGGACAGCTCTCGACCAAAGTGAATTCCACGGTGTGGGCCAGAGTAATTGCAGAGGACCCCAATAACGACACCATTGTCTTCACCCTTACGACAAACTCATCAGGCCTCACGATTACAAGTGGGTTATTAATGTATATAAGATGATCTTATTAGAAATTTCTATTACTTGAAAATGAACATCGCTGTCCGATGTACATTCAGAGTGCAGCGCCCGTTGTTCGGTGTGATGTCTGATGTTTCTTTCTACGTGCTGGAAAATTCAGTTCCTTAAGAGCTTCAGTTTCTGAAGCTCCTAAGGAACTGAATTTTCTGAAGCTCCTAGGATGTGGAGTGAAACGTTGGACATCATTGTGAGTAATATGTGGCAGAACCCGAAAAGACATCGGAGAGCTGTACAAAACACAACCGCGTACATCCATGCTGTAGTAAAATAAGCATTCGCCAAGATGAGACTCCAGGCCAAGGGCTCACCATGCTCATATGACTTTCTCTGTTGGTTGCCCAAAGCCAGTGGTGAAAATTCCACATTTTGCCATGACGGGGTTATTCTTTCCATATGATGGTCACTCTTACATTTCAAAATGATTTAACATAATACCTATATTATAAAGTATATATTACAAAGGGAGAATTTATATAATACTTTTTTTCCACTGGCATATCCAAGCCAAGCTAATGAGTGCATGGCCCTCCCGATACGGGTGGTTTTCCAATGGCTAATTGCCATGCCGAGCCAGAGCCAAACAGTGATACGCTTGCTTCACAAGCCATCTGAATATGGCGGGTTTGACTTAATCAACCATTTCACCATTGCATCTGCGACCGGTCTCCTAGCAAGTGAGAGCGTAGTTCGAGGGATATGGCTGTCACTTTTTGGACACATTGCCCCGTCTTGATGCACAAACTCCAGAAAATAGGGCACTTCAGTTGGTGGCTGGCGTTCTAAGTGGACTGCGACCCTCAAAGGAATGCCCACCAACGCTGTGGTACCCCCCACCCCCCGTGATACACCGGTCAAAAAATCACTCGAGACACTGGTATGGCAGCAAGAGCAGTTTATGCTAATGCTGTCGCAAGAGGTCACACATTTGGTGCAATCGTTATTCCTTCGCTGACTATGTCCGATGAATGAATGTCCAAATACGACTGGGGGGGGGGGGGGCTAATTACACGTTCATTGCATGTGACGTCAATAAATAAACTGTGACAACAGCGTCACTACACGCCTCGACTTTCTCACTGTGTGCGACGTCAGCGGCACGACTCAGCTTCTGCAATGAAAAATTTACGTGGTGCCTCCTGAGCTGTGCCAGCCTTGCACGGCATGGCCCCAGCACGGCCTATTTGTCCAATGGAAAAAGAGGTTTAATTGGCACGGAGACTAAGATAAGGACACAGAATCAGCAATCTGATAAGTTTTTTTTTTGGTGCGGGCTGTTGCAGGCGATGGGAATTTGACGTGGAGTCCCAGAAGCTCGGAGCCAGCGTTTGGCGTGGTGAGCGCCAGCGACGGCAAGGCCTCCTCTGCGTTGCTGCTCAACCTCACTCTGTGCAACTGCAGCGCGAACTCCATGTGCCTCTCCAACCAGACCACCCTGAGCATCAATGGCAGCGACGGATCCACTTTTCAGGTCTGCCAAACAATCTGCCCGCTTGTACCCTTCTTATAAGAAAGCGTATTTATGGCTCTGATTTATCGTTGCTGTATTGTAGCAGTTTCGCCATGGCACTCTTCGTGAATGCTGCTGCAGGGAGTATGACCGACTTATTATTTCTTCTTGATTTAAAGCTTTCGTGACTGCAGGAATCCATACTCTTTGGTTCTGTCAGTAAAGTCACGTAGGTAGAAAATGAATAGCTCACGACGTTTCGATCGCAACACAAGCAACTGTCGTCAGGTGAAACACAGGAGAACTTCATGTCTTACTAATTGGAACTTTTGGAACTGGCACCCAAGGCCTGCTCTTGTATATTATATCACGTGCCCTTTAATGTACGTATTTCAATAGACCACACACTTTGATAATGACTCAAATATTTAAAGCATTTAGAATTATAATTTTTGCATGTGAAATCATCCAGAGGCACTAAGCTGTGCTCATGTACCAGAGAATTACAATAGCACAAATACATGTTTTATGGTTAGCAGGTTTTCAGTATTACAAAGCAGCCAGGATACTTGTTACAATCCATACATTAATTGGATCATATTTTTAATGTTTCACTCAAGATGTAAGCATTGATTTGTTGTGGTAAGAATGTATTATTTAGGTCCATGTGCTTATTGTGTTTAATTTGTTGTCATTCCCCGCACCTCCAATTAGCATGGTTGCTTACGTATGGTGCGAAAGAAGTTCAACATATATACTTACATATAATTTCTGTGATTATGTTTATGTTAATCCACCAGCCACTGCAGATTCTACTTACATTACAATATTAACTAACAATGTTTTTGTTAATCAAATTGTGAGGAAGCAAAGAGTTAAATGCCCTAGTATAAAGGGTTATTGTAATGGCACCTTTTCTTTTCTATATTAAGAAAATTAACCAATGCATATTCACTCCTAAACAAAACAATATCCTTTGTTCTGCGTTTAAAGTTAGCGTGCATCGTGAAGAACATATATTTGGCATACTTTTTTTTAAAAGGTACCTGTCATCAGTATGGACACTGTTGCTGACAAGTTCATTTTAATATTTCAGGGAATGTAAACATTCTGGGGTTCCTATGACGGACGCGTCGTATGTTTTAGGGTCACATATTGTGCTGCTGTTATTTATGACGTGCCAGTTGCTGTATTTCACTGTGGTCAAGATGAGTCAACGTTAATAAATACCAGGAAATGTATAATTGCATATGAAACCGAATGTTATACAATGGTCACTGATATTACTTAATTGCTTTAAAAAAATATTAATAACAAGTACAAGTTTTTAAAACATAATTCTAAATATATATCTGTAATGCTCTAACAATTGATATTTTAATGGTGTTATTTTTTTCAGAAGGAAAACACAAGCCGTGACTTGTATATTGCAGCACCATTTAGCATTTAATTGAGTTTAGGGAAACGTCCGCCAAAAGTGGTATAATTTATTTATGTTTTAATTTTTATCATTCCCTTTTTGTTAAATGTCTGCGATCGCCTGAAGGTTTCCAGCTGTCTGTGTGATCCTGGCTACGCGGGAGCGTTCTGCACGGACGACTACAATGCCTGTGTAGACAGCCCTTGCCATCCTGGAGTGAACTGCACGGATGATCCTGCACCCTCCCTAGGCTTTTCGTGTGGGCCCTGTCCCGCTGGGCTCACAGGCAACGGGAGCAAGTGTTTCGGTGCGTACAGTTTTGCTTAATTTACTTTTCTCATTTCATGTTCTCACGCGTAAATTGTAATTTAATGAAATATATATTTCGATTTAAAGCTTTCGTGACTGCAGGGATTCATCTTCTTGGTTCTTTTGGCAAAGTCACGTAGAATGGAAATAATAAAAATAAAACATAATAAAATAATTCTCACGACGTTTCGGCCACAACGCAAGCAGCCGTCCTCAGGTGAAGAACAGGTCTGTCGAGAAGACAGACTCTGCCCATTGTGTAAATACACCTGGACACTATGACTGCAGATGCAATGCTGGCTTCAGAAGAGATGGATTTATGGTTTGTAAAGGTAAAACAATTGCTGCATCCGTGCATTTTTAGGTCTGATTGTCTCTGTGATACCAGTAACTTAACCCAATACTTTTAGTGGGGGCTTCTCTCATAATATGTGTATTATTTTATTATTTCCATTCTACGTGACTTTACCGAAAGAACCAAGAAGAGAAATATATATTGTATTAGCAGAAGTACCCGGCGTTGCCCACCGGGCTTTGACAATACAATACTCACCACTCACGCTTACCACTCACCCTCACCACCACCACTCACCCTCACCACTCACGCTCACCACTCACCCTCTCCACTCACCCTCACCACTCACCCTCACTAATCACCCTCACCACTCACCCCCACCACTCACCATCACCACTCACCCTCACCACTCAACCTCACCCTCACTACTCACCAATCACTACTGACCAATCACCACTCACCCTCACCACTCTCCACTAACTCTCACTACTCACCCTCACCACTCATCCTCACCACTCACCCTAACTACTAACCACTCTCTCACCACTCACCCTCACCACTCACCCTCACCACTCACAACTCACCCTCACCACTCACGCTCACCACTCACCCTCACTACTCACCACTCACGCTCACCCTCACCACTCACTAATCACCACTCACAACCGCCACTCACCCTCACCACTCACTCTCACCACTCACCCTCACAACAACCACTCACCCTCACCGCTCACCACTCACCCTCACCACTCACCCTCACCACTCACCCTCAACCTCACCAATCACCACTCACCCTCACTGCTCACGGTCACCACTCACCCTCACCGCTCACCCTCACCACTCACGCTCATCACTCACCCTCACAACAACCACTCACCCTCACCGCTCACCACTCACCCTCACCACTCACCCTCACCACTCACCCTCAACCTCACCAATTACCACTCACCCTCACTGCTCACGGTCACCACTCACCCTCACCACTCACCCTCACCACTCACCCTTAACCTCACCAATCACCACTCACCCTCACTGCTCACGGTCACCACTCATGCTCACCACTCACGCTCACCCTCACCACTCACCCCTCACTAATCACCACTCACAACCGAGGGAGAGTGGTGAGGGTGAGTAGTGAGAGTGAGTAGTGAGGGTGAGTTGGGAGGGGGAGTGGTGAGCGAGAGTGGTGAGGGTGAGTGATGAGCGAGAGTGGTGAGGATGAATGGTGAGGGTGAGTTGTGAGGAAGAGTGGTGAGGAAGAGTGGTGAGGGTGAGTGGTGAGGGTGAGTGGTGAGCGGTGAGGGTGAGCAGTGAGGGTGAGTGGTGATTGGTGAGGGTGAGTGGTGAGGGAGAGGGGTGAGTGGTGAGGGTGAGTGGTGAGGCAGAGTGGTGAGTATTGAGGATGATTGGTGAGGGTGAGTAGTGAGGGTGAGGGTAAGTGGTGAGGGAGGGGGGTGAGTGGTGAGGGTGAATGGTGAGGGAGAGGGTGAGTGTTGAGTGGTGAGGAAGAGTGGTGAGTAGTGAGGATGATTGGTGAGGGTGAGTGGTGAGGGTGAGTGGTGAGGGTCAGTGGTGAGCGTGAGTGGTGAGCGAGAGGGGTGAGTGGTGAGGGAGAGGGGTGAGCATGAGTGGTGAGATTTAGTGGTGAGTGGTGAGGGTGAGTGGTGAGTAGTGAAGATGATTGGTGAGTGAGGATGAGTGGTGAGTGGTGAGGGCGAGTGGTGAGGGTGAGTGGTGAGGGTGAGGGGTGAGCAGTGAGGGTGAGTGGTGATTGGTGAGGGTGAGTGGTGAGGGCGAGTGGCGGTTGTGAGTGGTGATTAGTGAGGGGTGAGTGGTGAGGGTGAGCGTGAGTGGTGAGGGTGAGTGGTGAGGGTGAGTGGGGAGGGTGAGTGGTGAGCGGTGAGCGGTGAGGGTGATTGGTAAGGGTGAGTGGTGAGAGTGAGTGGTGATGGAGAGGGGTGAGTGGTGAGGGAGAGGGGTGAGTGGTGAGGAAGAGGGGTGAGTGGTGAGGAAGAGTGGTGGTGGTGAGGGAGAGGGGTGAGTGGTGAGGGTGAGTGGTGAGTGTGAGTGGTGAGGGTGAGGGTGAGTGGTGAGTAGTGAGGATGTTTGGTGAGGGTGAGTGGTGAGTGGTGAGGGAGAGGGGTGAGTGGTTATGGTGATTGGTGAGGGAGAGGGGTGAGTGGTTAGGGTGAGTGGTGAGGGAGAAGGGTGAGTGGTGAGTGGTGAGGGTGAGTGGTGAGGGTGATTGATGAGCAGTGAGGGTGATTGGTGAGGGTGAGTGGTGAGGGTGAGTGGTGAGGGAGAGGGGTGAGTGGTGAGGGTGAGTGGTGAGGGTGAGTGGTGAGAAAGAGTGGAGGTGGTGAGTGGTGAGGGAGAGGGGTGAGTAATGAGGGTGAGTGGTGACGGAGAGGGGTGAGTGGTGAGTGGTGAGGGTGAGTGGTGAGCGTGAGTGGTGAGAGTGAGTGGTGAGGGTGAGTGGTGAGGGTGAGTAGTGAGTAGTGAGGATGATTGGTTAGGGTGAGTGGTGAGCGTGAGTGGTGAGGGAGAGGGGTGAGTGGTTAGGGTGATTGGTGAGGGAGAGTGGTGAGGGTGAGTGGTGAGGGTGAGTGGCGAGGGTGAGTGGTGACGGAGAGGGGTGAGTGGTGAGGGTGAGTGGTGAAGGAGAGGGGTGAGTGGTGAGTGGTGAGCGTGAGTGGTGAGAGTGAGTGGTGAGGGTGAGTGGTGAGTAGTGAGGATTATTGGTGAGGGTGAGTGGTGAAGGTGAGTGGTGAGCATGAGTGGTTAGGGAGAGGGGTGAATGGTGAGGGAGAGGGGTGAGCGGTGATGGTGAGTGGTGAGGGAGAGGGGTGAGTGGTGAGGGTGAGTGGTGAGGGTGAGTGGTGAGCGTAAGTGGTGAGGGAGAGGGGTGAGTGGTGAGGGAGAGGGGTGAGTGGTGACGGTGAGTGGTGAGGGAGAGGGGTGAGTGGTGAGGGTGAGTGGTGAGGGTGAGTGGTGAGCGTAAGTGGTGAGGGAGAGGGGTGAATGGTGAGGGAGAGGGGTGAGTGGTGAGAGGTGAGGGTGAGCAGTGAGGGTGAGTGGTGATTGGTCAGGGTGTGATTGATGAGGATGAGTGGTGAGTGGTGAGAGTGAGTGGTGAGTGGTGAGGGTGAGTGGCGGTTGTGAGTGGTGATTAGTGAGTGGTGAGGGTGAGTGGTAATGGTGAGTGGTGAGCGTGAGTAGTGAGGGTGAGTGGTTAGCGTGAGTGCTGAGGGTGAGTGGTGATTGGTGAGGGTGTGATTGGTGAGGATGAGTGGTGAGTAGTGAGGGTGAGTGGTGAGGGTGAGTGGTGAGCGTGAGTGGTGAGAGTGAGTGGTGAGGGTGAGTGGGGAGGGTGAGTGGTGAGTAGTGAGGATGATTGGTGAGGGTGAATGGTGAGTGTGAGTGGTGAGAGGGGTGAGTGGTGAGGAAGAGGGGTTAGTGGTGAGGGTGAGTGGTGAGCGTGAGTGGTGAGGGTGAGTGGTGAGGTTGAGTGGTGAGAGTGAGTGGTGAGGGGGAGTGTGAGTGGTGAGGGAGAGGGGTGAGTGGTGAGGGTGAGTGTCAGTGGTGAGGGGTCTGTGGTGAGTGGTGAGTGATGAGTGGTGAGGTGGTGAGTGTGAGTGGTGAGTGTGAGTGGTGAGTGTGATTTGTGAGGGTGAGTGGTGATCGGTGAGAGTGGGTGGCGAGGGTGAGTGGTGGTGGTGGTGAGGGTGAGCGGTGGTGTTGAGGGCGAGGATGATTGGTGAGGGTGAGCGTGAGTGTTGAGGGAGAAGGGTGAGTGGTGAGAGAGTGGTGAGGGAGAGTGGTGAGGGTGAGTAGTGGTGGTGAGGGTGAGTAGTGAGGGTGAGTAGTGAGTGAGTGGTGAGGGTGAGTGGTTAGGGTGAGTGTGAGTGATGGTGAGTGGTGAGTGATAGTGAGTGGTGAGGGAGAGTGGTGAGGGTGTATATATTTTTTGCCTATGATGACAGCAGTACATGCTGACGTTTTGTATGTTAAATGTAAAAGCTAAATGTGTGAATGTGTGTGTCGGAAATGTTAAGCAAACGTGGCGACACGTAAGTATATTAAACGGGAATAGGGCAATTCTAAAGGAATCTACAACCTTCGATGATTCCTTTGCGCGAATCAAAGAATGGATTCCTGGCGCGTAGGAGGTTTCCATTTTTAATTACAGAGTTTTATTTTCATTGGTATGTTATGTTTTAAAGTTTTCGGGAGTTTTTAATTATATTTTTGCCCCGGTCAACGCCGGATATTTCCCATTCGTAGCAGCTTATATCAACTCTATAACCAACTTATATTAAACGGGAACAGGGCGATTCTAAATGAATCTACAACCTTCGATTCCTTTGCGCGATTCAGAGAATCGATTCTTGGCGTGGTCGGTTTTACATTTTTAATTACACAGTTGTATTTTCATTGGTATGTTATGTTTTAAAGTTTTCAGAAGATTTTAAATGTATTTTCCCCCCGGGCAACGCTGGGTATATCGAGTTTATAGCACAAAGTCGTCGCCTGACAAGTGTGGGGTGTCGAGGCCTAGTACCGTGCGGAGCCTCCGGCCTCGCCTAGATTGCCCACCCGGCCGAGGCTGGGTGCTGTGGCCGTTACCCCCCCCCCCCCCCGCGCTACAATAATACTGTCTAATCGCTATAATTTTATTATCTACCGACCCTATGATAGTAATTGCACACATTGGGGTGGGGGGGAGTGAAGAGGATGTGAAACTTTGATGAATTTACCTCAGCGTCGCGTGTTAATGCGTGTGCATATTTTTAACGGGAATTAAAAATGGCGTCCACCTCGAAGCGACGGCGTTGCTGCCCGTTGCCAGGGGCAACCGCCCGTTTCCTGGCAACGGGCGATTGCCCGTTGCCAGGGGCAACCGCCTTCGCGCATGCGCAATGGCGTGCTTTGTCACGTTCCGGTCGGCAATAGTAAATAAATAAATAAAGAGAAATCACACTAGATCGATAATCGGTCCGATTTAAAGTTTAGAGACGAAAAATCGGAAATGCCTAAGTTCACCGCGGGGCCGGGGGCGTGCGCAAGGGCACAATTTAATCTTGGCGAACCCCACGGTCTGAGAGGCAAATCCCCCGGAAGCGAGCGTACGCAGACGGACGGACGGACAGACAGACAGACAAAAAATGAATCATATAGGTTAGATGATTGTTACTTGGTGGTGATGGTGTGGTGATGTTCATGATGGTGATGATAACCTTGGTTGCTCTTGACGCTCTTGCTTGCAAACTGAGAATGCAACAGGGTTTTGGGGTTATTAAGAGAGAATGCAGAAAGGTAAAATATATATTTTTGGAAACGATTCAACTACATTGTATTTTCTTTGCTTGATCTCTGCCTTTTGTAGATGTGGACGAGTGCATGTTACAGCTGTCTACGTGTAATCAAACGTGCACGAATATATTTAATGGCTACACGTGCAGCTGCAATGAGGGCTACCGTAATGTCACCATGAACAGCGACAGATGTGAAGGTATTTTGAGGCTTTGGTATATTTGTCAATTATGTAGCACAAGTAAAGTAAAAAAAGTATTCTCGTCGGAAAAAAAAACCCACTTAAGCATGGCTTCCTTGTATGTTTTGCAATTTTGTTATTTTAAAGTCTAAATATACTTCCCATAGTCTACAAGTTTTGCATGAAGCAAAGCATAGAAGCTGTGAAGCTACTCATGGTTTGTTGAAATAATAAAATGTGGTCAAACAGCATTCCCCTGCCCGGTTTTTTCATATTGAAACATGCATTTTACTTACATTTGAATGTATGTTGACATGTTAATGCAGAACATTGTTTTTAAATGTTTATATCCGAGATCTGACCTGGAACAAAAAATGTGAACCCCAGTTCAACTGTGAGCCATTCCTTACGTGTTTTTGTGTTGTTTTGAACAGACATTGATGAGTGTGCCCTGAATTCATCTCTTTGTGTCAACAATGCCCATTGTGTAAACACACCTGGAAACTATGACTGCAGATGCAATGCTGGCTTCAGAGGAGATGGATTTATGGTTTGTAAAGGTAAAACAATCGCTCCATCCGTGCATTTTTAGGTCTGATTGTCTCTGTGATACCAGTAACTTAACCCAATACTTTTAGTGGGGGCTTCTCTCATAATCTGAATGAGGTTTATTCATCTACCAAACGGTGCTTTCTTGAAAGTCTCGAAAGTTTTGTCTCCTGCTAGTCACTGAATAGAAGCTGTTCAAAGTATGCTATTTGCAGTCCGCGGGCCAGATTCACTTCTCAGAAAGAAAAAAAACAGCCAAGACATATTTGTGATTGTCTGTACTCTTGGCAATGCTGAACGTTTTTTTTTTTACAAAAACCTTTGAAACGTGAAATTCAACAATATGGGAATTAGAAGCAAAGTCCATTAACGCTGCCTGATACACTTTTTTGCATTAAAGTACTGCAGTTAGCAGTCGGAATATCAGCTGCAACTGCTGTAAAATAAAAACGGTTTATTGTGTATATGTTTGTTCACATTATCTGTGTTTTGGTGATGGGTAATAGTTGATGTTTAATATTCTAAAATACACCCCTTGAGAAGTATACGCATACAGTCTTGGATGTTTGTTTTGAGCAAATGTAACTTTTTCAGACTTTAGTATTTGCCCATCTCTGTTAAATGAAAAGCAAATGTGGGGAAAAGTTTAGATTCGGTGGTGATCGTTAATGGATGGAAGAAAAATATTACAATATTACAATATTTCCAGCAGAGGGCGCTATTTCTGAATGCAGTCTCTTGCGGGCCCCCGATTACCAGACGAAGGGTTGGCTTTTTGTTCCGGCCAATGAAGTTGTTCGTATTCTTTATTTCTGTAGAAGGTGCATTCGTATTTTAGACCCATGTCATCGGCCATGGCAGAGCGATGGCGCAATGGCGATGAACCCAGCGACCCGAGGTTTATTGCCGTCCATGGCTAACGTCAATGGCGAGTAGGGTTGCCACCTGGCCCGGATTTCCCGGGATTGTCCCTCGAGGCCGGTGGTTGACTATGCACGTGGCCCTGTAATCCATCTTTGTGGAGGCGAGGCCTTCCTGGGGGTGCCATAACCCTGGCTCGCCAATAGATGGCGGTACAGCAATGTCCGGTCTATTGTCATTGGGTCCCATGTGTATGGGATAGCCCAAAGGTGTCAGGCAACGTGCTGTATACCTGCAATATGTGTGCGTGTGTAAAAGCTCCGCGTGTGATGCGGCTCTCGAAGTATTTCTATCAAAGACGAAAACAAAAACAAAAATGGCCCTTCTTCTTTGAAAGGTTGCCCACCCCCTGGGATAGAGCGTTGCCGCCTCGCACACTTGGGTTTTCTCAGGGTGCTCCGGTTTCGTCCCACGCGTACTGACTGCAACCATCTTCATACATAGACGCGCATCCGTGTGTGTTGCGGATTGGGAAACGTTGGGAAATGCAGTTTGCATAAGTGACGCATTGAGCACGCTAATTATTCGAGGTAGCTGCCATGGGAAATGTTGAAGTGTTCCTGGATTATTAACATTCCTTGTTTTTTTTGTCAGTCACGTTCAAGCTCTAAAGTGAAAACTATAGTGACGTGCGATGGTTGAACCAGTTCTAGCTACCTCTTTAATAACCCACTCTGACCAGCATGGTGTAGTACTGCGTGGTCAGAACCCCCTACAGCGCTGGATGGACAGGGCTATACACATTTTTAGCTACTCCCATGGCTCTTGAAACTATTGATGTGGAGTTTATGGATAAGTATTTGCTGTCATGACAGACATATATAGCATTTGAAAGGGAAGCGTACCTTAATTTTCACAGACATTACTGAACATGTGAAGTATTTCAAAGGGAATTGTGTCTTGACTTTCACAGCATTACTGACCTGTAATAGAGGTGAATCTCACACTTACTCATAACTACCTTCCACGGATGTTAGTTTCTCTTAAGTCTACTTGCCTGCCTTATTTGACGACGCATAACAATACTGGCCAGTGCAGGTTAGTTAAGTCCAGGAGTATATACCTGGGAGCATAGTACACTACAGTAATACATTTGCTTCACTGATGTCTGCTGCCTGCAATGTAAGCCCACAGCTTATAACGTTTGGTATATATTGTGGTCACCCAATCAAACACTATCCAGGCCTTGTCCTGTTTAACGTCCGAGATTTCACAAAAGCAGGAACTATGTGGGCGAATTAAATTGCTATATTATCACGGTTCCTGGGCACAAATCCTAAATAGGCCCAAGCCATAAATAAACAAGACAGGTTCTAAGAACTTGGGAAAGCGATGAGGGGAGTGACTTTCAAAATTGAGCAGTGCGAGGAAAGACGCAGAAGGAGAAGGTTTTTGACCTGCAGCATGGTGATTGAACACACGAGTCAGATGAAATGGTCAATCTGGTATACTGAGTCCTCAATGGGTGAAAGAATAAGTGAAGTTCATGGGAATAGTAATAAGTCATCTTCTATATATAAGGGAAATTTGTGAATATGTGTGTCTGTTAAAAATGTTTAGCATACTTCCTGACATGCAACAAACTTGAAATTTGCCATGTGGGTACTTTCCAGACTGTACAGCATGCAAAAATAAAAATAAATAGACTTTTGTATTTTGGGGGTGGGAGGGGTGCAATAATGCATATATTTGCACGGCAAGTGAGCTGTGACGGAAGCATAACGGAGTGTGCCTGCTGATGTCACGCAACCTCCCCCCCAACCCTCCGCGGGTAAAGTGAAATACAAATGTGTTGCAGGTCAAAGGCTTTCTTCGCGCATCATTGGTTTATTATTTGAGTCGTTTACTGCCGTACGCACCCTGAAAGTTACGTGTCTGCAGCAAGCGCATGTATGTGTACCTATAGACACACGCATGTGTGGGGGGAGCGGTAGTGTAGTGGTTAGCGCTCTGCGCTATGAACCCGGTGACCCGAGTTCGATTCCTGCTCATGGCCACCACCGGTGACGATTATTTGAAACGGTCCTGGGCCTCCCCTAGGTCGATTCAGCCTCAAATGAGTAACTCGTGTGGTGTGTGAACATCGCCGCTTGGGAGACAAAGGCGGCCAGGCGTGGTGAATCCAAGTCCTGGGCGAAGCCGGGTAGTAAAGCTAGTAGGGGATAAAAGAGTGATCAGGTGGTGACTGAATGCAAGTGAGTGAGTGCCTAGAGTAAAATAACTGTTTCGCCATGGTTGCCTTAAATAGTACTACATTTATTAATCTGTACTTGGTATTCAAGTGTCTATTTTAAGCTCAATGACGGTTTTGCTTTTCACCTGCAGATGAAGATGAATGTTCAGTCGGAAATAATCCCTGCTCATCCGTAAACAATTCATTTTGCGAAAATAACATCGGGTCCTATTCCTGCGTCTGCACTTCCGGCTATAATGGCACAACTTGTGAAGGTAATACATGATCAAACACAATATTTTAGGTTAATTTGTTTTATTTCATAGGAATTGTATTATTATATGCTGGGCTACTTGTACACCTAGAGTGTAACGAATCACCCCCTCACTAATATTGAGTTTAATGAATTATCACGGTTTCAAGGTTGCTATTCTATTCAATAATTGATGTGTTATTTATCTACTTCGGTGTAAATATCATCTCCATTGGTTGCAGGGTTCATGTGAACCAAACTACCTATAACATCGTACTCATTTTTTTTTATTATAGATGCTTCACATGCATTATTGCACAGTGATCATATTAATGAGTTTTGACAGTTTAATCGCTGCATCATTGCATACCAGTGTATTATTCATATACAACACATCTTACCCAGCAAACATGCAGGACATTTTAAGTGTAAATAATGTCCGCGCTGACACGCAACATGCCACACTATATACAGCCCTGAAATTATTACACTTCCTCGCTGGATACGCGTACTCCCTACCACATACATTCTACCGACACCACATTCTATAAATAAAAAAAGTTAATCCTGCCTCGGAGGGTTAGGGTGATTAGGATTATGTTGGTAGAAATTAGTTCTTCGAACCTTGAATACAGTTATGGATGCTAAAGTTAAAAAAAGTGTTACAAGTATTTAATCCTTTTAAAATGTGGCATATCTTTCAGGGAAGTACTGATCGATCAAATTACGTGTAAATGCAATCTCACTATTTATATTCCCATATTTATCTTCCAAGCTGATGTGTATACTTCAATTAATGATGCCTGGCCCAAAGATGTATGTATACTTGTTTGATATGTGCAGGATGTTTATAGAGATATCATGTACTGTATTATTATTATTTGATTATTATTATCAGCTTTAACCGTATGGTTGAAATATTGGCAACATATATATTTGTATTCGCGAATGTTTCAAAGATTCACAGTGGAGATGTTGAACATCTGAGGACATATGAAAGTTTATAGGGATGAAACTCGTGCAATATAATCGTCAAGTTACCAAGTGTGTAGACATATGCTTTTGCTGACCTAGCCCAAAAGATATGTCAAATTATAATTATTGAATAACGGACATTATGGACAATGTACGTTACTCAATACAACAAATATGAAACAAAATAAGAATAGGTTTTATCCTTTCTGGCAGCAAAATAAGTGTTAAGATGTTCAAACACCAAAAAGAAACCTATTCCGAGGAATCATATTTTGATATTGACAAAAAAAGGTCCCATGTAATATGCATAAACCAGCAAGTGTAATGTATCATGCCTGGAATCTAAAATTAAGAGTTAAAAGCACGATTATAAATGATAATTATTACAGGTTTTTTTAGATTTATTGTTTGGAAAAAGTGAATGAATGCCTGAAAACTTACACAGTTTCTTTTTTGTTACAGATATAAATGAATGCATAAGTGGGCAGAACACTTGTTCAGTCGACGCCAATTGCACCAATACGATCGGCTCCTATACTTGTGCATGCAAACTGGGCTATGAAGGAAATGGCAGGGACTGTTTGGATATCAACGAATGTATGAGGGGAACAAACAATTGTAATAGCAGTATATCGGAATGTATGAACAATAATGGGTCATATTACTGCACCTGTGCTCTTGGATTCACTGGGAATGGAACCTACTGCACAGGTAAGAGGACACATGCTCAAATGTTAATGGGGAAAAAATAGGCAGCTTATGTAGATAATGTGACGGGCGATGTAATTAAACTTATTTAAGTATTTTCAGTGCGTATATATATCTTTTACAATTATTGTTCTATTGTGCTATTGGCATCATGTCGTAAGCTAAAGAATACATTCATAAGAGATCATAAATCTCACACAGCAGTGACTCCCTCCCCCCCTCCTTGTTAGCGGGTGGCCTGCCAAGTCACATAACTAAATATGGAGTTCCCATCAAGGGCCTTTCTTTATCCACACATACGATCCCACATGCCCTGCTACAGAGAAATGGCCAGCCAAATATTTTACTTGTATATATTTGTAATGGAGACTGTCAAAAGGCAGAGTGGCTCTTAGGTCAAATGGGGAATTCACATTTCTATGGTGAGGAAAGACCACCCCGTAGAAATCCTGTTGACCTACCACAACAATGCTTAATTGATCTACCTCGCACTGGAGTTTGATAAACACTTTTCTCATATTGCCTGACTCCCCACCACTAATGCTGCACCCCTGACAGCATCATCTATTGTCGCTCACAATGGTTTGAACCTAAATCAAGGGCATACGTTAAATATGACTTGCCATCCGGGTTCATCACAGACAGAATGAGCCCTCACTCGAGATCATATTATGACAACTGTTCAAGTAAGTGTTGTTACTGAAGAACTGATGGACATATTATTTTTGTTCCTATATAAAAGGATCCGTAGGTGAATTTAAATACCTGTGATTGGTGGGAGCATGAATTAAACAATAGAGGCAGAGTAGCAAACTGCAGAACATTGTTTAATGTATTACATTCGAACTAATATGGATGTTCTATTGTGTACAGATATAAATGAATGCACGGCCAATCCATACTTGTGCCAGGACACAGAAGAATGTATGAATATTTTTGGAAGCTACAAATGCGAGTGCTTACCAGGCTACAAAAGGAATGGAACAGTTTGTACAGGTACACAATAGTGTGATGAGGATTTTTTTTTGGTGGATCTGCCAAGAATCTGGATCCAACAAAACTACAAATGTCTGTCATATATGCGCTAAAAGATATATAAAAAAAACTATATAAAGGGGCAGACATAATGCCTGCTTCACGTATTTTTTTTGCCACATCCCATCAGCCAAAATGTCTTCAGAGAGTGCATCTCATCAACAGCATTGGTTAATTAGAAGAAATCTATGGACCGGTTTTGACATTCATCATCTCATCAGCAGTCAGCCTTGTTTATGCAGTGTGTAGAAGGAGATTATCTGCTACATTGATTTTCTCATAGCATCCTTTAAATTACCATGGCCATAATTCTCATGGATTTTACCATTTTGTCATTTACTTGTCTGGGAAAGCCTCACTCATTCTCAAGATTGTTTTTGGTTTAAAAATAAGCCACTGTATTGGAATAGTTAGTTCTCATCTTATCTTAACATAACAAGGTGCTTTACACAGAATTAACAAGAGTACGTATGGATTTAATGGGGGAGATGAAGTGATTGAAATAGATGAGAGGAAGCCATGGAGGGCACATCTGTTATTGATGACAGTAAATGATGAATGGATTGAATGAAGGTGGAATTAGTGAAAGCCAAATGAGGGAAGAGTAACGGTGGCAGTTATGAGAGGGAGATTAAGGGGTCGTTTTGAAAAACAAGTGAATTTTGAGTGCGAAGCGGAAACTAGTGAGCGAAGGTGACTTTAATGCGGAGGGGGAAGTTTGTTCCAGTGAAGGGGGCAATAAGAGAGAGTGAAATCACGCATTCAGTGCAAGGAGGAGGAACAGAGAGAGAGACAACAAAGATTGAGAACGTAGAGGGTGAGAAGGCACATGGAAAGATACAGGCGTGGCAAGATATGGTGGGGCAAGACCACGAAGAGATTGATAGACTAGGGTGAGTTAGTTAATCCTCTTCATCCCCGATGGGAGACACGAGGCCACAATGAGTTCCCTCCACTTCTTCCTGTACTTAGTAACATGTTGAGCCTCGCCCCGAGAGAGGTTGATCGTTGCTGCCAGCTCATCCTTCACGGTCTTGCGCCAGGTGGTCTTGGGTCTCCCAGGTTTCCTTTGCCCGGTAGTGTCCACCTGAGGGCATTTTTTGGGTATATGGTCCTGGTCCATTCTGAGTACATGCCCGAGCCATTTGAGTCTTGTATTGGGATGTTGGACCATTATTTTCATCGTTGTGTTTCATGTTGGAGAAAACTTGAGTTTCGTGAGAACTTGTACATACAACGAGACAGCACTCAAAGGTCGACGTGGAGTGGTTCACAACGCTGTACAGGCTCACAGCCCGATAGGTTTGGCAGATTAACGATCCTATACCCGTGTCGTGCACACTCGTACGGAAATCTGCTGTGCACTAACATTGATCTGTTGGAACCCATCGTTTTCTATATGGTTGCTCGATTGTGATGTGCATTGTTTATATTTCGACCAGATGTTGATGAGTGCAAGGAAAACCAACCGTGTGACGCGAACACGATGGTGTGCAGCAACACGATGGGATCATACACATGTCCGTGCCAGGCGGGATACCAGTATAATAGCACACTTCGAATCTGTACTGGTAAGTCTTTTGCCAGCGGGTTTGTTATCAACGCAATATTTCTTTGCAGTATAAACCTAATCATATACTGTGTAGTGTTCTTACCACTACAAAGAGCTGCAAGAACGTATGTTCTTCTGAAGGAAGAGATAACGTTACTGGGCTCACATCTCGTTAAGAACAATGCCATTGTTCAATTTTAAATGACTGACAAGATAGAGTATTTCTCGAGTCATTGCCTGAGCTTTTGTAGTATTTCTCAAATGCGTGTGCACATTTGCAATCACACATCAGTACCCTAATTACAAACGCCACGTAAATTTTTGTTGTTTCTTAGACACGGACGAGTGCGTCGTTTCATCGTTAAACAACTGCTCGAGGACGACAGGGCTCTGCCTAAATTTCGATGGAAGTTTCAAGTGCCAGTGCATCGCTGGCTACACAGGAGATGGAGTCACGTGCACAGGTAAGCTTTGTTTAGTGCGATCGAAATCACTTCATGAGACTATTTATTCCAAACTCTTGCAGACCAGTGCATCGGAAGCTGACATCACGGAGCCACTTTTGAGATACGCGCACATTACCTCGTTTGTCCAAACTAGGGAGTGCTTGCTACATATCCCCAAATGTCCCGCATAGCAGTAAAACTAATATTAAAAAATATATATTGTAAGAGCTGATTTTTCTTTCAACCATTAATTATTTTTACTAATTCAACATGCATTTGTTTGTGACCCAGCTGAAAGCATTAACTCACGATAGACATTCGAAGCACTTGCAAACATAAACTCGTATGCTCGTGGTGCTTATTGTTCTTGTTGTCTTGCTTAGTCTGACTTTAATTGGAATAGGAAAAAGTGGGCACGAATAACATGTAAACGGTAACGGTGCCGGTCCTACTATTACGCCACTGCTGGTAGAGAGGTCTCCACTAGATGGAGCTCTAGAGCGGCCTACTCTTCCACATTAGGCCGACGTGTTGGAAGTGGTGGGAATACGTATAAATGTGTCTTGAAAAGTTCATAAAGCATACAATAATACACTCAGATTATACATTTATTTTAAGAGGCCCAAGTTATAAAACTTGTAGAATATAGTAGTTCCTTTTTATGAGCCTCATAATATCTTGACTATTAATAATGATTATACTAAAAATGCATGGATGCAGTGCCATGAAATTATTTTGTTTATTGATTTTTGCCAAGCATACGACTGCCTTGTTCTCCCTTGTGCTGTACTGTACACGCAGGTTTAGCAATGGAAAGGAAGCGATGCTTCTGGATGTTTCAAATGTTTAAATTTGAGGATAGTAAAGTCAAGTATAGCTTCTTATGTTATCACTGTAATGTAATGCAAGGCTATTGCAAAGGCGCTATGCAGTAGGGGCGGTGTTGCTTTGTGATTTTACCCCAATTAAGTTGTACAAAAATAAAGTTTTTGGTTAGAATGTTCCTAATCACTGTGCAGTCGTGAAGCTCTCGCAAGACCACTTGTAATTCAACTTTTGCATATTAACATACGTTCTCTTGCGATGCACCACAGATATCGATGAGTGTAATCCACCGGAAAATACAACGCAGCCCTGCAAAGGCCCTGTCGGAGTGAGATGTAACAACACCATTGGCCACTACACATGTAGCTGTCCCCTTGGATACTACTTGGACAGTGATGGAACCACATGCAAAGGTTTGACAATGATCATTTCTGATTTTATGCGCAGAAGCATAGCTGTTTACTTACTAGAATTGTTTGTATGAGGGGAAATCAATTTGAGTGTGTCTGAATGATGTCTTGGCATGGCATTTGTTATGGAAAAGCTACCTTAAGGATTTGTATGGCCGCAATGATGCTCATTGTGTTTGTGCAGATGTTGATGAATGCATCAGAGGACTCCACAACTGCACCCAGAACTGCACGAACACCGAAGGAGGCTTTACCTGCAGCTGCTTTGCCCGTTTCAGCTCTGTGAATGGGACTTGTAAACGTAAGTTACATCTGTCTACATCCTTTGTACATGTGGCTTATGTATATACTCTATGGCCTAATTATATATCTCTGAAGCTAAGCAGGTTTGAGCCTAGATAGTGCTTATATGGGTGACCAACCAAGCATGCTTAATAGGGTCAGGGGCTGTGTAGTTACGTTGGGTGCAACAGAGGCAATGCAGCCATATAAATGTTTATACCGTACTTTTATGCTTCCCACTGTCACAACCTGTAATGATTCAGTATTTAGAGCCCGTGCTACAATCTCGGATGCCCAGTTTTAATCCCTTGTAATGTGCACCAGTTTGGCAAGTCATATCTGTACATGACCTGGGCCTTCCCAAGGTTGACTCGGCCTAAAATGAATATCTGGCACGCTGTGTGAGCTTCAGCACTAGGGATAAACGATTCTAGACGTCTTCCAATTTACATGGCTTAATGGGGATCATTGCCTTTGTGCATATCTACAGGATACAAGCTGTAGGTAATTGTCACTTGAAGCTTCGTGCTTCCTCCGGTGATGGGAGTGTTTGTTATAGCAAAGTATGTGTGTGTGTGTGGTACATAGCCTTAGCAATGCAATTCCTGTCTTGCATAACTAAACACATTTAGAGTGATATCAATAACTGCATAAAGAATTAACTGAAGGGATCACTGGTTTGAAATGTACAAACATATATGGTACCATAATATGCAATTTTGCACGTGAAATAAATTGTACATTTATTTATTTTTCAGCAAACCAAACTTGTGTGACGGATGTTTGCAATGGAACTGGAGACTGTTACATTGATGAAACAACTCTCCCAGGATGTTCCTGCAATCATGGGTATGAAAAATTGATGGTTCTAGGGTTGTTTCCAAACCAATTGATATTTGCAGCATACTCAACATACTGTGTATAAGTACATAGCAATGTTTAATATCCACAAGGATATATTACACACCAGCACTAGACATTTGCTTGAAAAGGTGGCCATGTGGCTGTGGAGTCAGAGCATTGAGCCAGCACTGCTGAGATTCTGGGATTGGTTTTAGGTTGCCAAGTACTATGGTGAAATTGGGTTCTCAACCATAAACTAAAGTGATGTAATGCTTTCAGTGGGTCACAAACGAATGCATGTTAAATTAGTTTATTTTTTAATGAATGAAAGAAAAATCAGCTCTTAACATAAATAAGGATATTGGTTTGACTGCCATGCAGGACATGTGTGGATATGTAGCAAGCACTCCCTAGCTTGGACAAAAGAGGTCATGTGCATGTATCTCAAAAGTGGTTCTGTGATGTCAGCTGCTGATGCACTGGTCTACAAGAGTTTGGAATAGTCTCATGATGTTATTTCGATCGCACTATAGGTGAAATAAAACTGGGAAAAGACGAAACCTTTTCTAACAAGAACATTTCTGGAATTGTAACATTACATTGTAGACTTGTAACTTACAATTGGATTATTAGTGTGATCGGCTATGTAATCACAAGACAAGAAACAATACTCTATAGTCCTTTATAATATTGGCGGTTCATCTTGTCTATGCAAACCCATTTCCTCTCGTGGACAAAATAACTTCACATGATTAGTTGCAAAATATTTTTCTTTCTCAACCTTGTAAAGTCTAAAAGTACTTTACTTATTTAGTTTATGGTAAACTTTGTTATAAATAACTTCACATTTTAAAGTGTGTGTTAATCAGAGTAATAATACAGCTTGTGTAAAATAAAAGGTCACTGGGACCACAACTCAGGACTGCAATTGATGTTAAAAGAATTTATATTTTACGTGCTTCTCGGTGCCATGAAAAATTAGTATACGTTGTCCACTTGAAGTAATTGATTCGTGTTTCGTATCAATTTCAACGAGTGTAATTGTTAACTTTATTTCATCAGGTACACCCTCAATGGCACGAGCAAAACGCAATGCATCAATATTGATGAGTGCAGCTTGTCCGTGGCTGATGGACAGTACACCTTGCGACTCCATATACGGGACATGCACTGACACAATCGGCAGCTTCAAGTGTGGATGTGTGGCTGGGTACGTGGTCGTTAGCGACAGCCGGACCTGCCAAGACGTGGACGAGTGTCAGAGCGGAATCTACAACTGCACTCAGTATTCCTCGTGTCGTAACTTAGATGGAAATTATACCTGCATCTGCAACAGTGGATATGTCCGTAAGTGTCTTAGTGGCTATTTCTATAGTACCTGTGTGAATTTCATATGCAAAGGTCTATACGAATTTTCCTGACAATAGGGATTCTACACATTAATTGTACAGGCTAGCACAACATAAAAACACCAACAAAATTGCCATGTGTCTACCTCCCATCATACATTTTTTGTCTCAAATGTATAGAAATTTCAATTTTCATAGGAATCAGCCCACAGAATTCCCACCCAGAGTGTATATTCCTTTGAGTTCAAGCATGTGAACGCACAATGTATTTACGAATGTTTCTTATTGAAATCTTTTCTCCCCCCTCCCAACCACCAGAATCTGGAGAGACGTGCGTAGATGTTGATGAGTGTCAAAAAGCAGGTAGTGCTCTCTGTGGTTATGGAGCCTACTGTGCTAACACAATGGGTTCATACGCATGCAGGTGTCTTGCGGGATACGCAGGCAATGGCACTGTCTGCCTGGATGTGGATGAGTGTCTGCTCCCCAGCAACAACTGCAGTGCCAATTCAACCTGCGAGAACACGCCAGGCTTCTACCAATGCAAGTGTGATGCTGGTTTCCAAAGTAAGTTGAAGCGTCCGGATTTCCTCTGCGTGATTTTCATGGTTTTGGTATGCGTCAATGTAATCTAGGCTCATCCTACAATAAGGTGGCTGGAAGGGCGGCACAGTCAAAACACTTGCATGCCACAGCAAGAAAGGCCTTGGTGTGATTCCCAACTCGTACGCCTTTCTGTGTGTCTCTTCCTCTTCTGAATGGGGATTCCTCCAAGCTCAGCGGTTTTCTTCCACGGCAAAAACAAACACACAAATACATAACTGGTAGAGGCCAAACATCCCAATGCTGAAAATGTACATGCAAATTACTAATTTTGGATTATACATAGCAACATTACCCCCTACTCTGAAAAATTATAAGGACCCTCCAGTTATATGTCTTGTGACTCAGTGAGGCTTTTTTGAGCAGGCAAGCATAATAATACAGTAGTTTTTTGTAAAAAAAAATGTTCTACGTGACTTTACCGAAAGACCCAAAGAATATAATACAATTATCAATACATACAATAATCATCTCAAGATGAATTGTCACACTACAATCTAACGGTACAATTCTGGGTATGATGGTAAGTGTGGTGTATATTTATATTGAGCTCATATAATGTAATTTTCCAGTTAAAATCCAGACGACTTCCTTCATAATGTATTCCAAGTGATTTGTTTCTCGGGATTATACACATTACTCATATGAGCTATGAAAAAATAAAAATACATTACACAAACAAAATATCCCACACGTCCACTTCTCATTCCATTTCTGTAGCCTCAAATGTATACAGATATCAGCCCAGCACTGTTCCCGCCCAGGCTATGTAGTATTCCTTTCAATCATACAAATTAAGAAAATTTAGTTTTTATGGGTTCTAGTGGTGAAATACGTATCTAATGTTGTTCATGTTATTCAAATCTCCCTCCCTCCCACCCACCAGAAACTGGAGAGATGTGCACAGATGTCGATGAGTGTCTGAAATTTGGCAGTGCGGCCTGTGGGCCAGGAGCCTACTGTGTCAACACGGTGGGTTCATACAGTTGCCCGTGTCTTGCGGGATACATAAGCAATGGCACTCACTGCCTGGATGTGGACGAGTGTCTGCTCCCCAACAACAACTGCAGTGCCAATTCAACCTGCGAGAACACGGCAGGCTCCTTCCAATGCAATTGTGATGCTGGTTTCCAAAGTAAGTTGAAGCGTCCGAATTTACTCTGCGTGATTTTCATGGTTTTGGTATGCGTCAATGTAATCTAGGCTCACCCTACAATAACATGACTGGAAGGGCGGCACAGTCAAAACACTTGCACGCCACAGCAAGAAAGGCCTTGGTGTGATTTCCAACTCGTACGCCTTTCTGTGTGTCTCTTCCTCTTCTGAATGGGGATTCCTCCAGGCTCAGCAGTTTTCTTCCACGGCAAAAACAAACACATAAATACATAACTGGTAGAGGCCAAACATCCCAATGCTGAAAATGTACATGCAAATTACTAATTTGGGATTATACATAGCAACATTACCTCCTACTCTGAAAAATTATCAGGACCCTCCAGTTATATGTCTTGTGACTCAGTGAGGCTTTTTTGAGCAGGCAAGCATAATCAGTACTTTTTTGTAAAAAAAAAAGTTCTACTGTGACTTTACCGAAAGACCCAAAGAATATAATAATACAATTATCAATACATACAATAATCATCTCAAGATGAATTGTCACACTACAATCTAACGGTACAATTCTGGGTATGATGGTAAGTGTGGTGTATATTTATATTGAGCTCATATAATGTAATTTTCCAGTTAAAATCCAGACGACTTCCTTCATAATGTATTCCAAGTGATTTGTTTCTCGGGATTATACACATTACTCATACGAGCTATGAAAAAATAAAAATACATTACACAAACAAAATATCCCACACGTCCACTTCTCATTCCATTTCTGTAGCCTCAAATGTATACAGATATCAGCCCAGCACTGTTCCCGCCCAGGCTATGTATATTTTTTTCAAACATACAAATTAAGAAAATTTAGTTTTTTGGGTACTAGTGGTGAAATACGTATCTAATATTGTTCATGTTATTCAAATCTCCCTCCCACCCACCAGAAACTGGAGAGAAATGTGTAGATGTAGACGAGTGTAAAACATCTGGCAGTGCGGCCTGTGGGAATGGAGCCTACTGTGTCAACACGGTGGGTTCATACAATTGCCCGTGTCTTGCGGGATACGCAGGCAATGGCACTCACTGCCTGGATGTGGATGAGTGTCTGCTCCCCAACAACAACTGCAGTGCCAATTCAACCTGCGAGAACACGGCAGGCTCCTACCAATGCAAGTGTGATGCTGGTTTCCAAAGTAAGTTGAAGCGTCCGGATTTCCTCTATGAGATGTTGCACGATTATTTTGGTATTCATGCCAAGGTAATGTAGGATCATGCTACAGTTCAAGGTAACCTTTCACGTAACAGTATAATGGCTAAGAGCTGTAAAGGGATACATGTTATCTCCTCCAAACTTGTATTGGGGGGAAAGCATTTTTTCTCCGATATTTTTGTACTCAATGGCCTACAGGCTTTTTTAGGAGGGATCTGCTTTGGAATATCATGGTGAAGTAACTTATTATAGTATATACTTTTAAATTGAAGTGACCAAATAAAACCCACACATATGGGGCAATAGAAAGCAGCATTTTGGCATGAATGTTTCAGTTTATGAAATGTTTTCACATAATAATGTGCAGGATAAAGGTTCCGCTGCTCAGAATATAGAACATTAAAGTAGTATTTTTTTCAAATAAGAGACCAATAAAGCAACATTTTAATCGATATAGGAAGTTAAACGAACCAAAAAAACATGCAAAAGTAGTGTAAACTCAATACAAAATAAAACAAATTTTTATCATCTACACTGCGTATATGTAAACGTTACGTTAAATGATTTCCCTTAGGTAATGCTACTGTGTGCGAGGACATCGACGAGTGTGGGAGAGTCCCAGCTGTGTGTGGCTTGGGAACGGTTTGTGAGAACACAGTGGGGTCATACCGCTGTCCCTGCGCTCCAGGATATCAACGCAACACAAGTAAACGCTCCATTGCCATCCTACGCTGTACAGGGTATCCATAACAGTGGGATTTGTTTTAAGCCAATCTGTGTTCTTTTTTCTGGCCACACAATATTGAAAACAAGATTTTTGTATACATTTACAAATGTACCATGTAGATAACAACTACTGCGTGGGCTTTCGTAGTTGCGCTGTGTAACTTCAGAGCTTTACTGCAAAAGAATCGTGAAAAAAACTACGTAGGACGAGTCTATTCCTGACATAGGTTTTTTTTAAATAAACCACAGAGAGCTTCAGTGATGTTTGGCAGGCCCATGACAGAAGCATTTGAAGTAACCACAGTTGACATGTCGGTGAACACGTGGGACTCTCCTAAATATAGATTTGTATCACCAACCTCATTGCGGGTGTGGAGGTTGAGAGGGATGAGACCTTTATGATGAGTCTATACATGGCCATCTGATATTAGCCTCATTGGATTTCCTGTAAATAGTGATATAACAATGTATTTTAATTCCGCATTTTGAAATAATTATTATGCCCTTCCAATATTTTATATATGTTTGCTGAACATTTGTTTTAATTAAAGTATATTTTTCTACGATTAAGTTATGACGGTGCTTAATGGTGCTATCTTCTTCTCCCCCTCTGCAGGTGATGGAAATGCAACATGCTCACGTGAGTCTATCTCCCTACCCTTGTGTAGGCTGCATTACAGAGCAAATAATAGAGAAAATGTACTATTAAAATTGAGGGATATTTTGGAAATTTGATCGGACTTTCAGTCAAATGTACAATTAGAAATCCTGATGCCACTGAATAGAATATCTTCCCACATCACTATTTTCTCATATATGGTACTGTAAATATTTAAATGATGGGAACTGTGTTATTGGTGCAAGACTGTACATTAAGGGCCAGCAACCTGCGGCTCAGGAGCCGCATGCGGCTCTTTAAGGGACTGCTTCGTGACGTTATTTATTAAGGATCACCTTCTTGTATTCATGTGCATTGTGTGGCTCTTGTAATATTGAGTTTTTTACCGATTTAGAAAAAATGGCTCTTCTTGTTATTTTGGTTGCTGTCCCCCTGCTGGACATTAAGTAACTTCTGAGGGAAATTATCTTTGGTGTTAAGTGTGAAAAGTGTTTCAAAGTCCAGTGTCATTCTTGGTAAAAATAACGCTTGGTAATATAGCACCTTAAAATATGTTGGTTTAAGGCGTGTGATTACATTTTTACAAGGTCATTAGCGTGCTCAGGTCATCTGTCAATAATACAATGTCAAATTTCTGTCCCTTAATGGTGATATTAGAATCATGGTGCATTTGTCAGTTTAACATATACAACGCCTACGTTTAACACGTAGGCATTGTATATGTTCAAAAACAGAAACTCTATGATTTACAGGTAGATAGACAGCATTTGTGTATTTGTACAGTACATTATATACGGGACATACAGTTTTTCCATCAGCAGATATGAACGTACATTGTGTAACTAATGATAGAAATACATTGGCCTGTGACCAAATAAGCCTAAATATTCCCAATTCCAGGAGGCCTTATAAGTTAAACAAATATAACCCTTGTGGGTGACTACGAAGGCTTGGCATGTGTTTTAGGCATAAGGCTGCAAGGGTGCCAAATGATGACAATACTGAGTATCACCCAGTATGAAATGTGTTGTTTTTCTCGGGCACATTCTAGTTTCCTGATAATATCGATCAGTAAGGATCCTTATGAAAAATCGTCTTAATACTCAGGCTTTTCTAAGTAAATAATGCGTATTGTTCTTGTTTTACTGCAAGGTACATTGAAAGGTTGTTTAAGTCACAAGAATGATTGATTAATTGTAAACTATTGAATTATTCTCACAGTGGCAACGACATATTCAACCACGCCATGGACTGCTAATTCAACACAGTCACCACAGACAGCAAGTCCACCAAGATCAACCACCTCAAACACAACGAGTAATTCTACAGTATTCTTCACATCAGAAGGTGTATCGGCCGCTACTGCACCAATAAATGCATCATTCACTGCAATTACTCAACCTCCACCATTCTCAACATCAGCCACCCCGGTAACAAATAAAACTGATTCTATTAATGCAAACGCTACCGCTGTGGAGACATCACCAATAACAGCGCCCTCAGACACAACAGCAGCGAATACATCAGCTGTGACTCAACCTCCATCATTCTCAACATCAGCCGCCCCAGTAACAAATACAACTGATTATACTAATGCAACCGCTACCGCTGTGGAGACATCACCAATAACAGCGCCCTCAGACACAACAGCAGCGAATACATCAGCTGTGACTCAAGCTCCATCATTCTCAACATCAGCCGCCCTGGTAACAAATACAACTGATTCTATTAATGCAACCGCTACCGCTGTGGAGACATCACCAATAACAGCGCCCTCAGACACAACAGCAGCAAATACATCAGCTGTGACTCAACCTCCATTCTCAACATCAGCCGCCCCGGTAACAAATACAACTGATTCTATTAATGCAACCGCTACCGCTGTGGAGACATCACCAATAACAGCACCCTCAGACACAACAGCAGCAAATACATCAGCTGTGACTCAACCTCCATCAATCTCAACATCAGCCGGCCCGGTAACAAATACAACTGATTCTATTAATGCAACCACTACCGCTGTGGAGACATCACCAATAACAGCACCCTCAGACACAACAGCAGCGAATACATCAGCTGTGACTCAACCTCCATCATTCTCAACATCAGCCGCCCCGGTAACAAATACAACTGATTCTATTAATGCAACCGCTACCGCTGTGGAGACATCACCAATAACAGCACCCTCAGACACAACAGCAGCGAATACATCAGCTGTGACTCAACCTCCATCAATCTCAACATCAGCCACCCTGGTAACACATATAACAGATTCTATGAATGCAACCACTACCATTGTAAACACATCACCAATAACAGTGCCCTCAAACACAGCAGCGAATACATCAGCTGTGGAGTCGACAACAGCATCAACAACGAGAGTTGGGACCGAAAGCACATTAGTGATTATGAATGCAACAGGTCCCGTAGCTCTAACAGCGGCATCAAACGCAACTTCAAAGACCACTGTGACATCAGTGACCACCGCAGCAATGTCTACAATAAGATCTAATGGCACAAACGTGACTCTACCAATATTATTTGGGATATCAAGCACAACAACCACAGCCACAATGACACCAGCGGCTCCCAATTCCTCAACGGTAGCGTCGACAAGTGCGAGTCTGCGGTTGTCGCCTGCTACATCGAATACGACAGCAGCTAACACATCTGTGGGCTCGGCAACAACATCAACAACTATATTGCCAACCAATAGCACAACAGTGACTGCACTTACAAACCAGTCAACAAGCACAGCTGTGACTCAACTGATAGTGAACTCACCCACCTCATACACAACAATAATATCAACAGTGTCATCGTCTACGGCCTCAACCACAAATGCAACAGTCACTCCGGTTTCAACAATTAGTAGCATTTCAACGGTGACATCTCCAACGACTTCATCGACTTCCACCACTGTGTTTAACTCGGGTAAGCAGTGTAAAGTGGGCTCATGTATCAAAACTCTGTATTCTGCTGTCCATATATTAAATAAGATGAGGCTGGGTGGAAATTGTGAGTTCAGCTCATCATTTTTCAAAACTAGATAAAATAAGCATCACTGTGAAAATTAAATTGTATTTGTCCTCTGTAGAGACTGAGGTCTCTGTCATTTGAGATGTTGTTTTCCATACTGGTTCAATGTTGTGAGTGGGGATGAGCACCGACTTTAATACAACATTTTACTAAATTTTATTTTATTTTAGCAGGTAAGGCCCACTGAGCTATACAGCTCTTTAAATCCTTTAAACTAAGTTCACTTGCTTGCTTGCTTGCGCGCTTACGACCGTGCAAATTTTTCGGTCGTGTTTTAACCCACTTCTCGTGATCCAATCGAGCTGACATTTTGCACACAGACTCGTTGTGCGTGAGAATTTCTTTTCGTGAAATTTTTTTTCTCCAAAATTTTACACTTTTTAGGTCATTTTTTATTATATTTAATTACCAATTGCTTAATGGTGGCAGGCAATCATCTGACCCATAGGTGGCAGCCATCTCAAGCCAGAGGTCGAGAGGACTCTAGCCGCCCGTTTCAAAGACCAATGTGGGCTGGGTTGTGGCCCATTGAACACGCATATAAAGGATTTATAGTGAAATTTTTTTCAGAAACGATCTGGCCATAAATGATAGTTCAACGAAGAGGCCTATCATGTGGAAATGTATAGCAGCCAAATACAATTCATAGCAGCCAAATACTAAATTGGGCAGGGAGACACTGGCTTAAAATGTATGCTAGAAAATTACAATGAAAAATGTATTTCCTGAACAGTTACGTTCCACTAATTGTAAATGATTCATGTTCTAATTCACCAAGTAGTGTTAACTATTTTTTAAAGTAAATTATGTGGAATACAATAAAGTGGAAACAAGTCATGTATGCAGTAATACAGTCAATGTGTAAGAATAGGTTTTCCCCCTTTTTTCTGGCAACAAAACAGGTGTTAAGATGTTAAAACACCAAACTGAAACCTTTTACAAGGAATCATGTCTGCATTAACCACAATACTTGTGGTCAGAATGCAAACAAAAAACATTTTCTGTTAATATATGCATTGTCCTTGAAACTGATTGGTCCACACCAGAGACAGCTTTCTTTCGAGCCTAGTCTCAAACGGTGTTAGACCAGACGACGCCTTTTGGCGTCTCTGGTGTGGACCAATCAGTTTCAAGGATAGTGCATATATTATCAGAGTATGTTTTTTGTTTGCATTCTGACCACAAGTAGCTTGGTTAATGCAGACATGATTCCTTTGTAAAAGGTTTCAGTTTGGTATTTTAACATCTTAACACCTTTGTTGTTGCCAGAAAAAAGGGGAAACCCTATTCTCATATTTTGGTACTGGCAAAGGAGGTCCTATGAAGTAAATGTGTAATCACGCCACAACCTAATACATGTACATATGTACGTCTGTAAATTCAGGTACAACACCAACTTCAAATGGGACAACAACACAATCCACAACAAATGTTATTACATCGTCGATATCACTGACACCATCATCTGCAACAACTGTCTCCACGACCTCCGTGCCAACTACGACTGCAATCGTGGTGCCGGGGCTTGTGAAAAATTTGACTTTGACCAGCCAAGGGGTGAAAAACACCTCCCTTGAGGTTGTGTGGCTGGCTGCCGAGGGTTATGTGGAGCAGTACATTGCATTCATCTCTCCTCAAGAGGCATCGGCTGTGTCGGTCAGCCCGAACGGGTCACTCACAGCCAGGTTTTCTGGTCTACGTCCTGGTGTTGAATACACAATCACGGTCAACACCTTCGGAAGAGGCAATGTCTCCAATACCGGAGTGTCAGTGAAGCAAGTAACAGGTACCGGTTCTTGCACTAACATAAGCATTGGTTGATTTGAATTTTTTTGGTTGCTAGCATTATCATCATCAATCATTTTTCGATTTAAAGCTTTCGTGACTGCAGGGATTCATATTCTTGGTTCTTTTGGTAAAGTCACGTAGAAGTGAAGAGAAACCAAACAACATGTCTTCCACCTCCAACCCAGCTTATATATATATATATGCTAAATTCCTCTTGATATGCAAATTATTTTGTAAAGGCGCTCTTCCCCCCCTCCAACCCAGCTTAAAAAGACGCTCCAAGCCTGGGGTTGTCATTCAGACTCTGTCTTCTCGACAGACCTGTTCTTCACCTGAGGACGGCTGCTTGCGTTGTGGCCGAAACGTCGTGAGAATTATTTTATTATGTTTTATTTTTATTATTTTATTACTTCCCTTCTACGTGACTTTACCGAAAGAACCAAGAAGATCATCAATCATGGTCAATCCACGACTGGACAAAGGCCTTCCCCAAGCAGCTGCTAACTCTCGCAATCCTGCGATGTAACGGGAGAAGAAATTGGTACCACCTAATGAATCAAATCTTTAAAGAGCCCCAATTTATTTATACGGCTAATACAAGTCATCCTACGTTTTAAACTAATACAAATCAGTTATTTGATAATCCATTCATTCCATGTGGTTATCATGTAATTCACTGTTATTGACCATGTAACAAATTGCAGCTACTAAAACTATGCCACATCTGGTGATATTGAGAAGTGACATATCTGGTCTGGGCTCATGGACTTTCTCTTTGTTGCATCAAAAATAGCCACAACTCAAATTTACAGTTTATCCAAAACAATAATTTCCAGATTTTAAAATATGTTTATATACATTTTTACAAACCTACATTATTTGTTGAGCCTTTTTAATTTTCAACAAATTTGTCCTGAACACATTTTACACAAGCGTGTGTTCTTCTTTTCAATTAGATTCTGATAAATGCAGAGATGGAAACCATCTCTGTGATTCCATCTCATGTGATCAATGTGTATTAAATTACAGCCTATGTTGGCATTATGTTTTATACTGACATAGCCCATGAAATAATACAATCATGTAAATAATTCTGCACTTTGGCTTTTGGTGCTGATGTATCTTCACAATGTCATAATTTCAAATTAAATTAATTTGGTTTTGTATGACATATATGGAAAAGACAAAAAATATGCTCATCGAATTTGACCATCACATTTGAACAACTATGGATCAGGTAACAAACAAAAATCAGAAACGCTATATTGGCTGTTAAGGAACTTAAGTGGGATTGGGGAGGACACATCACTGGAGGGCGTGATGATGGACGATGGACGACGAGACCGATGATGGAATTTCAGCCAAAGAAGAGAATGCACCGAAGAGGGCAACCACATTAGGAATGTGGCATTGAGATCAGTTCTTGTGCCGGAGTGAGATGGATTGTGGTATCGCCGGACCAAGAGATGGCAATGGCCTGGAGAGGTCTTAATTCAGCACTTGATAGACCATGGATGATTATGATGATGCTGATGAAGATTATGCGATGCTTAAATTTAAACGGTGTGCGGTATCCTTTTTTTACTTGGTGTTTAAGTTTGTTGATGACATTGATGATGTGAAATTGATTATTTTTACAGCACTTACCACCTGCAACCTTGCCTGCACCAACGGCCAATGCTTCATTGATGCGAAGACATCAATGTCTACCTGCTACTGTAACAGTGGGTTCAGCCTCACCAGCCCGCAGATATGTAGTGGTGAGCCTAACATGCCTTATTCACGTCCTCACAATTTTATGTATTAGTAAACTATAGAGGCAACGTTCAAATAAAATAAACCCCTAAATATAGTTTTGACTAGGTGTCAGCTTTCTCGCCTGGTACACAAGAAGTCATGGGTTTGATCCTGATCTTGACAATGCCTGTTGTATTTTCGGAGTCGCGTGTTCTCTCTCTGTGTGGTCGCATAGATTTTTCTCTGGGTCCGGTTTTTCCCTCCACATTTATAAACATGCATTAGCATTATTTGGCTGCTGCTATGCATACCATCGTGTGATAAAAGCCACATCTAATTGCTAATAGTTCAGTGGACTTTACCTAGTAAATATAATAGTTTAGTTTAGCTGAAGGAATATGTAATTTTTTTTATTTAAATAAGACCACTTGTAACACTGTACATATATACAGAATACACATGAAGGTTTGGAAAATGTTTGTTTTAATTAGTGTTTTAAAAGTATAACTCAAACCCCCTATATCTTTATATTTAATCGCAATAACCCCCAATATAGGTTACATTTTTATAATACGTCAACACTCTATAGTCATCGTTAGTCTAGCATCAAGTTACAGTACTTTAAAATTATTTATATCTTCTACCCACTGTGTATATGTTGCACACTCGAAATGAAGGACGTGGGCAGGTGCTCCAAATCGAGTGCAAGCACATTTATTTATTGTGGTTAATATTAATCTTGTGAAGAACAGCACTGTCACTCTGTAAAATGCAACAGCGCGTGTTACACGCAGCAATTCTTCCGAGTCGCCATTAACCATGTGGCTGGTTTACACGTGCGGTTATTCATTAACCCTGCCTCTTAAACCCAATTCTACTACTGATAAACCATCTTTGTCTTTGACAATCAAATTTGCACATCACTATTCGAATATTACTTTAATCCTAAGCTGTATGTCTATCTATACCATCCACTTATATCGGTATCTTACACCCATTATATGTACTGTATGTGTACAGTATACGTACTGTATATCACCATTGTACAGCTTACTACTTTACATGTGTTCTATTCTCAATAGCATTGCAAGTAGTCATACTCTGGGTACGTGGACATGGTTATAGACTAAACATTATTAGAGTTAGAGAATTACAATGACAGTAACTAATTACAGTGCGTCATCCCTTTACAATGCAGTGCTAAAACGCATCTATTTGCATATATCACAAACGAACAATTCAAAGCCAAGCTTAAAGTCTAGAACAAGTCTAGAACATTTATATAATGATCAAAAACAACCTTTGGGTCCTTTACCTGTAAAATGCAACAGCACGTGTTACACGCAGCAATTCTTCCGAGTCGCCATTAACCATGTGGCTGGTTTACACGTGCCAGCCACCTACAGGCCCGACTCAGTCATCACATGCTGCTGTACACACATGCATTGATGCACTGCAAAGCACATCAGGATCTTCACAGAACCACACTTTACTCTCTTGCTGCACAAGGATATAATTAAAAGAGTGATCCATTCCTAATGTGCCACATATACTGCATACGGGAGTAATAGCCTAAAATTTACATCTTTAGAAAAGCTATGAAATTCCAAAATATGGTGGTGTACAAGAAGCCCTTTGTACACTTTATGGAATCATGAGGTTTGTGAAATGTTCACAAGGATGAATTAATCGAAGACATGAATATACTATAACTAATTCTGCAGTGTGATTGATTTGATAAGTCATATACACAATGTATTACCTTGCAGATGTGGATGAATGTCAGTCGAGGCCTTGCAAACATGGAGGCAGCTGTGCCAACACTCAAGGCTCCTACTCGTGTACCTGTGTGTCAGGCTGGAGTGGGCTGAACTGCACAGAGAGTAAGTGCATTACAATCTTGTTGTGTAACTCTTCAAAATACACAACACATATTGAGTATTTATAATTCCCTGTATTGGTATGTCAACAGTTAGTGGTGGGGGGGATCTCAGACAGTTAACAAGGCACGTGTTGTCCTGGTGACACTAGGCCCAAGGATCTCAAACGTTCACAACCGTAGCGAGTTAGCGCGCTGTGTTACGAACCCGACAACCCATCGAACAAAGAGGGTCCCTGCATCGCACACTTTCGGATGCGCTTCTGCGGCCATCTGGAACGCTCTTCCTTCCGATATTAGGATGCCACTGGAGCTATGCATTTTTAAATCATCTAGATTGAAAAACTCATTTCTTTAGAAGTGCTTTTTTGTGTTAAGTGTAGTCCTTCCCCCGCACCTCCGATGAGCACAGTTGGCTATGTATGGTGCGAATGAAATTCAACATACATACATGCATACATAGGATGACTATTTCATGCTCCCTCCAATGGAGGCACTTCCACCAGCAGTGGCGTGAGCATGAAAATTGCAAGGCTGCACCTTTACCTTATAGCCCAGTTTTATAAACTATAATTAAAGTTGTCATAAATTATTTAAGATTGATAATTAGGCAGCAGTTTTAACGGCATAGTGGGACACTGGGGTTACGTGAAAAAGTCAAAAAGTTTCAGTGATCTTCAGCAGCACATGACAAAAGTGTTAGCAAAAAAATTACACCTGAGATGTTAGTGAGCACCAGTTATGTTATTTTATATTTCAACATCCATACATCAACATACATACAAACGTGACGGGTAGTTGATTAAATAATTATTTTTTAAAGCCAATATTTTTCATGATTGTAACTGTTCATGCACACACATGACATGTTTGATTTATTTGTAGATATCGATGATTGTGTATCCTCTCCATGCATTCACGGAAGATGCATAGATCAAACTAATAATTACATCTGCCAATGTGATTCTGGATGGACCGGAAAATTATGCAATGAAAGTAAGTCCCCATTACATTCGTTACACCCATGTTTCCCCATCAGACCAATATCCCCACTGCATATTATATATTGTGCCACACAGGGACAGCTGCCACTAGGTGCCCCCTTTGGTTAGCCTGCAGCAGGGCCTTGGGGGTAGAGTTGAGAAGACACGTGATGTCAGTCACTTTAAGTTACAGCATTTCAGCACCCAATGAATGCAAATCATAAATATCCTAGCGTACTTAGACAGGCCACAGGGCAAATGTCATTCTTGAAGGCTCTTGACGTGGCCTGCTAATCTCTGGCCTGCCAAGAGATGCGACTCGCCAAGACATAAAGAGGTACAAATTAGTGAGATGAAAAAGAGCTGAAGAATAGAGATGAGAGAGCTGTGGACGAGATTAAGATTAGTGCCATAAATCTCGAATCTTACCAACTTAATTCGATGCATGTGTTGTGAGGCTTCAGAATCAAGTTTGATGAACCAGAATATCGTTGAACCCCTATTTAGAGTGTAAATCCGTAAGACGTATATGTAACCTACGAACACTAATTGTAATCATTTTGTTTAGATATTGATGACTGCATTAACGTCGTTTGCCTGAATGGAGGATCCTGCAGTGACTTGGTAAATGCATTCACGTGCATTAACTGTAAATTGGGATACACAGGAAAATTCTGCCATCAAAGTGAGTATTGCCCTCTGCACGGTAGATATTTACTTTGCTCAGATTACATAACGTAAGGAAATTTGTAAGTCCCTGCTGGTAGAAGGGGGCTTGCAGCAGAGGGAGCCTCTCGAGGCTGAAGTACCCACGCTTTACTCCACTGCACGCGACCTTCCAATGTATTTATTGTGTACCCACTCATACTGCTTGGTGGGCAGATGCGGGGGGGATTTATGAAACTTGCAGCATTATTTCGCTTGCCGCACAGGGAGTTCAAATCGAACTCTGGCGACTATGGTACAAGAAGCCCCCCCCCCACCCCGTCGAACAAAGATGGTCACCGCATCGCGCGGTGCTTTCAGATGCGCTTCTGCGGCCGTCTGGAATGCTCTTCCTTGTGACAGGAAGTCACTGGAGCTATGCTCTTTTAAATCTAAATTGAAAACTAATTTCTCGAGGACTGCTTTTGGTGTTCAGTCTGTTGTCCTACCCCCCCACACATCCGCTTAGCATGGTTAGGTACATATGGTGCAAAAGAAGTTTAACATACATTCACATAGGTACTCACCAATATACCATGGCAGCATCTGGTGGACCCAAAACAGAAAACACAGTTTATAACCATATTCATATGACAAACACAATTAGAATAAAACATATACATGGGAACTGCCACTGAAATGTGAATGTTTTAATTTGTCCAAATAGATATTGACGAGTGTGCTGGAAGTGTATGCCAAAATAGTGGAACCTGTTTGGACGGTGATAATAGCTACACTTGTATTTGCCGGAGTGGATGGAGAGGTGTGAACTGCTCAGAAGGTAAGACACGTTTGTTTCTGTTTCCTTAAAACGGGTTATTTTAAGAAAAACCTGAGCATGAGACATGAATGTCTGTTACAGATAATATCGATTTATGTTGTTGTTTTTATATGTTGCCTATCCATTTTCTGTACATTACTTGGTATAGTTGTTTCTCATGCAAAGGGGGGATAAATAATATACATTGCTTAAAATATAAAATTGCAATGGACAAGACATTGTTATACAGGGCGGCAAGGTAGACGAAGTGGTAATAATTGTCTCGTAGCAAGAAGGGCCCAGTTTCGAATCCTGACTAGGGCACTATATGGCATTTGCATGTTCTCTCCATGTTCTGCATGGGTTTAGTCTATTTTCTCACAATAGCTAAAATAAAACATACAATGTAATTGGCATTGACTAAACATCCCGATGGTGAAAATTTACCTGCAAATTTATCAATTGAGAGTACACGCAGTAACATTGCCCACGACTGCAAAAACTTGGCAGGACCCTTCTGAAAAAGGCATGAGACTTAGTGAGATTTTGCTGGGTAAAGCGGTCATAAAAATGTGGCAGCCATACTGCCAAAGCATGATTGATAGGATTCCTTTTGATGGCAATTTGCAGAATATTTTTTCCATAGATTCTTCCTTAATCTTGATTTAACCCCGTTTTTGGGAATTTCCGCAATTACTGTAGTGGCAGAAAGGGTGAGTTTTTGTCAAGAATCAGCCACACTTAATAAAAACAAATATGGAAAGGACCCCCATTTTAAGTGAAAACTACCATATTTCTACCAAGTAGCCACATGAATTGTGCCAGTGTTCAATCAGATCATTAAAAAATGTAAGGGCCCTCGTATATTGATATATCCGAAGACGTATATAGGGTTATTTATATATTTGTAATGAGTCGACAGATGAAGATTCAGACGACACACTCTTCTTTATTTTCCGCACGAGCTCACCCCACGTGGGGGGGCACGACCACTCTACTCCCAAATACCACCAGGAAGCCGCCCCGATCGCCCTGCCTCATCCGGTGACGTCACCACTCTATCGCCACCTGGGCGTTCCCTCTCTCTCTCACGCCCCGCCTTCTCTTTCCTTTCCTTCGTGACGTCATCTTTAACAGTCACCTGGGAATCCCGTGGGAAATTCTACCCCCGGGATCGCGTAAGTATTAGTACTACATAGGTATGGGTGCATTTGTGTGTTCGAGCATTTGTACTCTGTGGATCTTTGCGTGTGCGGTTGCATGTCATCTGCATGCACGTTTGTGTTTACTGCACGTGTGTAGATGTTGACGAGTGCGTAGCGCGTTTCTGCCATGCCACGCGTGCCACCTGCACCAACACAGCGGGCTCCTACAGCTGCAAATGCAATGCCGGTTACGAGGGAGATGGTGTTCAATGCATTGGTAAGGAATCATAGTTCTCTTGATATTGCACATCGTACAATGTTGTACAAGTCGTGCAGTTGGTATTGCCCATACTGCTGTTTCTGTGCACTGCTATAACCTCATTTTGAAATGCCAGCCTTTGCATGCCATCAGGGAATGAGTGTGGGATATTTAGTCCAAGCAGCTGCTTCCTGTGGTAGTCAAGCAGCTAGATATCGTCACATGAAGTGACGATGTCTAGTCGATGTCCTTATGGTTCAATTATTAGCAGGTCCTCAATCGTTGATGGTCAGTGACTCGGTGCTCACGTGACTGCAAATGCGTCGGCAAGTATAACCAAAAACAGATGACACATTCAATGCCATCACCCCCATTATGTCAATGTTTTGATAGCCTGATTTCCACGTGTTTTGCACGATCCTAGCTTTGTGATTTTTTTTTTATCTGGGCAGTCCCTTACCTTCCATCACTCCAGATAATTAGGTTAGTCGTGCATGACCTGTCATTGTAAATCCTACACAGCACATGCAGAACCCAAATCGAATTGAAACATTACAGCTCGTGTAAAGTTAATTGCAGACTATGGCAATTAACCAGGAAATTAAGTATTTTGAAGACCAACATCCACTGGTATGTCACTTATGAACGCATTGTAAAATTCTACATTTAAAGATTTCGTGACTGCAAAGATTCATTGTAAAATGTGGCAATTTGTGTTTATTTTGTATATGTAGAGAAAAGACTTTTAGAATATGGACCAAATGTGGGTGACGCAACTATGAAGCCCATTTCCACGGATTCAGTGTCTCAGTTCTTCTCACCTCCGTATGGTTTTCCTTTTGCCTCCAAGTTCTACCAGCGATTGTATGTAAGTACAGTAGCCAGTTATGTTTAAACTCTTTACTTTATATGTAAATTAATAAAACGTGTATGCGTGTGCATTTTTTAGCATAATCCTTAAGAACATGTATTTGTTTTTTTTTATTTCACGCGTTGCTTTACATTTATTCATTTGCATAGTTAAGTGCAAACATAATTATCACCTCACAGAGCCAATGGTGTTGGCATGGGCCACCACGGTGGTAAAATATAAACTACCTCACCTGGTATACAGGAGGTTGTGGGTAAAATCCTGACTCTGACACCTGTATATTTGGAGTTTGCATGTTCTCTCTCTCGCCGTGGTCATGTGGATTTGTCTCCGAGTCCTCCGGTTTTCTCTCCATATTTAGAATCAACATGCATTTCGAGTATTTGGCTGCTATACATTTCCACATGATAAGTCACTTCGTTGACCTATCATTTGAAAAAGAGCTATGTAGCTCAGTGGGCCTTACCAGGTAAAATAAAAATTGTTTCGCAGTTTAGTTTATTACAATTACGTGTAAGTAGGATGATGTTGATGATGCTGACAAAGGTGCTTTCAGTTAAGGTGATGATTGACAGCAAAAAAATTGATTATGCCATTAATGCATGCTATTCTTTTTAATATAAATTGTACTCATGGTATCTTGTTTATGCTTCTGATCTACAGTTTACAGACAATGGCCTGATTATTTTCAAAGATGTCGAAGATTCAACGAGGTTTGCCTATCCCAACCCCTTCATCAACGGTTTTACAGATGCCTCTTCAATCCCTATGATTGCCGTGTTCTGGGATGATGCTGACTTCTCCTCAGACACTGGGGCGATGTACTTTCAGGTTTGTTAAAAGTAGCCTTCAATAGGAAACAAATCATTGACATGGTGTGCATAATTCATTGAGTTCCAATTACACTCCCAGGCAGCACTATAGCTTAACACGGGCTTTTGTTTCTGTATGTCATAACATTGAATTACACATTACTGCGATTTTTTATTAACATGTACTGTCATTGTATTGGGAAGTGATAGTACAGTGGTTTAATATTCTGCACTATGAACCTACTGACCTAACTTTGATTCTCAGCCCACGGCTAACATCCGTGGCTTGTTCTATCTGAACCAGTTCTGGGCCCTTCCCGTTCACCATCCCGCACTGACCAGCGTCATGGTACATGCTAACAACACAAAATCTCTGGTCAACACGGCATGGAGAAGCAGCAGTGGCTTTACAAAACACACACAGTGTTTATCTTGATCTGGGTTGCATACACGGTATCTGGCTGAATGACGTCCACTAGAGGGCGCTCTAGAGAGCCCATTTGGAGGGTGTGTGTGGCCTAATCTTCCACACGGACCAGATATCCCGGAAGAGGTGTGAATACCTACGCTTTCACCCACGACACTCAACCTGCCAATCGACTTACCGTGATGTGTCCGTTTATTCTGCAGTTTGTGTTCACAATGAAGTATTGCAGCTAACTACAAATGTCCACTGTTTCTTGACAGGAGTATGATTTTACTCAAGGCCTCAGCAATAAAACTGATGCCTTGAACCTTCGTGGGAAGGTGATGGAGCAGATCCGAGCCAACTTTAGCAGCCAGTCAGACACACGTGGCTATGAGCCCACATGGATGTTGAAGATCACCTGGGTGGATGCCCCGGCTGTGCCTGCCAGGAGCAACTTAAAATACGTAAGGCCATCCCAGTGATATCATACAAAAGTCATAGTGATTTCTTGGCTCAAATGAGCATTGCGGTGGTACTCTTCTCCTGTTTAGAGCCCTGAGCAAGTGGTGGGAATGCTGTACAATGCAAGTATCATTGTACAAGTCTCACCAAATGTTTCTTACAATTAAATTCCATGTCCCTCTATAACCATGGTTTTTGACTGTTATTGCCAGGGTCCAATGCTTGATCCATATCCCATAACACCGGGCCATGCCACCATATCACATAATACTAAAGGCCATGTCACCATTTTCCATACGTTAGCATAATACACATATCCGCAGCTTGTCAGCAACTCACAAAAAAATGTTGTACCAAGGTACAAAACCTCCTTGATTCAAGGTATCTTGTGAAATATAACAACGCTCAATTTTGACATTGTTCAGTTGAAGGCAAGGGTGGTGGCTCTAACCAGATTACAGGGTGGGGTTGCAGCTGGCAAGAAGTTAGGCGAGTGGGTGGTGAACCTGCATACCGTGTGGAATAAACCAAGAGGAAATGCATTTTGTATGTAAATTATCAGCAAATTTCAGTTCCCCCAGTCCTGTGCACGAGGTACAGACTGACATTCTATTTTTGATACCTGTATGGAACATCTTTAACAAAAAACACGTTTTCATAAAGATAACAAAAGGTCATCCGTCACACGAGAGTTTTTATCTCACTTGGTCAGTTCGTGTCATGACATATAGAGTTAGAACCTCTGGAATGGGGAAACAAGTTTTTTTCCATCTTCGCAAACCAACAACAAATCCTGATTCATCCCCTTTAACCACCTCTTTTTTAATACTGCCCTTTACGAGCACTAAAATAAAATTATTAGCTAACCATTATTTTACAATCGTAGCACTACGGTAATATTTCGTTTTTTTATGGTAAATGCTTATCAATTGGCCAGAATGCACACACTGGATGTGTCGCGTTCAGGTCTGCACTGCACACTTTGAGTCTCTTCTGTGAGAGCACAAGGAAGTCAAATGCAGGCAGTGAAAGGAGCGCGGCTGCAGCTCAACCGACCGACCCACTCGAGCCCTCAAGTACCACCTGCCCAAACCTCGGCAGAGTTTGCGGGTCTCGCATTGGGCTTTTTAGCCATCTTAGAACACACAGACTCAGAGTGTAAGCAAGTCATGCCTGACGTTTGAGGGACTGTCGAAGGAAAATTAATGTCCTCCTCCTGACATCAATGTTCCCAATCTCAAGCACAATTATACAGTATATCCAGGTCGAGTTGCATCAATAATACGAATAACGAATCTGTGAAACCAGCAGAAAGGTCAACGTTATACTTGTACCTGCATTAGTACTATATCTTGAATGATGGACTTCTTATAGGTTTATGTTAGTACTGCAGTTTTCTTGTGCAAGTAAAATTATAAGAGGCAGGTTTTTTTAATCATAAATTTATTGATACGAATAGGTACACACCAGAAGTCATAGTGGTGAGTACATGTCTGTAAACATGGCTTTGTTGTACATACATGTATGGCAGGCGCTTCGGCGTACCTTTTGTTTAAAAAACAAATCGAAGTTTAAGTTTGTTTACAATTTTTATCAGGTTCACTATTTTGACAGATAAATTGTTTTTAGAAAAATAGTGCCGCAGGTGTAGGTAATCATCTCAAGAAGGTGCCATATGAAATGTTTTTTCATGGTACTTTTTTAGAGATGGATAAACACTTATGAAATACAGTATATTGCATTGACCACATGTTTAGAAGAAATGTTTTATTTTTTTCTGAAAAAATCCCCTCCACATGTACATGAATTAAATTGCAGAACTATAAATGTGTCTCAATCTGTGTAGCACCAAGGTTATCAGGACTGTACCCTTGATACGAACTGGACTTTATCTCAGATTTCAACCAATAGACAATTCTGTGTTAACACATTATCGTGGCCTATCTCAGCAGCTTTTGAGTTTTTTTTCTTATCAAGAATGGCTGCACTGCTCTCGATAGCTTGACTATTCGTCTTCTTGGTTTTTTCGGTAAAGTCACGTAGAAGGGAAGTAATAAAATAATAAAAATAAAACATAATAAAATAATTCTCACGACGTTTCGGCTACAACGCAAGCAGCCGTCTTCAGGTGAAGAATGAGACACTGCCAAGCTAGGAGCTTATATATAACCTGAGTTGGAGGTGGAAGAAGAGCGCCTTAACAAAAGAATGTGCATATCAAGCGGAATTTAGCATATTCATGGGAAATGCGTAGGAGGTGGGCGGGGGGATTTCAAAGTCATATTATGCCCATGCATTATGCAGGATCAGCAGCACCAAAGGGAGGGGCAGGGGGTAGCATTAACAAAGGGAGGGAATGTTAATAGTATATAGAAGCAATGAAACATGTGAATGGGAGAACGGTGGCAGGAGACCCGCAGCAGAGCAAATAATGCATTCCCTGTGGAGAACACAAGATACACAGTTAATGCCACTCACTGGCATTAACTGTTTCATTGCTTCTACATACTATTAACATTCCCTCCCTTTGTTAATGCTACCCCCTGCCCCTCCCTTTGGTGCTGCTGATCCTGCATAATGCATGGGCATAATATGACTTTGAAATCCCCCCGCCCACCTCCTACGCATTTCCCATGAATATGCTAAATTCCGCTTGATATGCACATTCTTTTGTTAAGGCGCTCTTCTTCCACCTCCAACTCAGGTTATATATAAGCTCCTAGCTTGGCAGTGTCTCATTCTTCACCTGAAGACGGCTGCTTGCGTTGTAGCCGAAATGTCGTGAGAATTATTTTATTATGTTTTATTTTTATTATTTTATTACTTCCCTTCTACGTGACTTTACCGAAAAAACCAAGAAGATGAATCCCTGCAGTCACGAAAGCTTTAAATCGAAGCTTGACTATTATTTGTTTTTATTTGAATTATGAATATATTCTCAAAACAATCGTGGAAATCACCTACTAGATGTAGTGAGACTAGTCAAGTTTTGTGTGTGCTAGAAACATCATTAAACGACTTAAAAAAACAGTTTTCATGATCAAGGTTAAATCAAAGTGGCAACAGAGCATGCATATTTATTCGTGATATTTCTAGCTCTTGGATCGTCATAGAATCTATAGTTTGGACAGAGGTAAATATCACATGCTGTAATTTCATATAAAAATAGCATGTTCTTGCTCAATTCAATACATTAGTCGACATTGTGTATTTATCCATCCATACTTTACTACTTTTTATATAGTGGCATGCTCTATCACCCGCCACGATTAAATTTATACTCTTACAACTCAGTCTCGTATGTCCAGCAATTGATAGTCTACTCGGAATGAATGACTAATCAGTTGACGGTACTGTTTCACTTCCAGACGAACACCTTCCAGGCCGTTCTGAGCACGGATGGTGACTCCTCGTTCTGCCTCATATTTTTCAAAGATGGAGGCATGCAATGGAGGCCAGAAGCCAGAGACCCCAGTTCTAACAATGCCCTCATGGGATTCAATAGGTGGGGTGCAACGTTGTCAACAGTCATTGTGTTTTTGGCAACCACGGTGACCGGACCACTGGTCTTTGAATGCTCAAAGAACATTTGTCATTGTTGCAATGTCATTGAACACAGTGGTGTGCAGAAAACACCGTGAACGTGGTCACGAAGATTTTTTTGATTTTTAAAGATAAGCTCAATATATATATGTGTTTACTTGTATTTCTTGTAATACTGGTTATAGCATGAAATACTCATATAGCTGTCAACTTGCTTCAAAGAAATCAGTGATAACGATTCTCTCATGTCTTTATTCGCCCCTCACAGTGGAACAAACCGGTTCTATTACAATGACGCACTGTCAAGATCCACAAATGCAGCTCGCTATCGCCCAGATACGGTCATTGGAAACAATACTGGTAATTCATTTGTACACTTTAATACATTGAAATCAACGTAGTGTTTTCTGACATGACTTGCAATACGTTGCTCTTCCCATATATAGGGAACAAAACTATTCCACCTGTTGTGGATTTCCCATTATGTTCACTTAAGGTTTTGTTAAACATACGGAGATGTCGAGGCGTATTTGGGGAAATACAAACAGGGCTTGTGACTTTTGAGGGAGAGAAAAAAAATGTTTATAAACCTCTCATTATTGATAGCAATGTTTATCTTAATATGAAGGTTATTTGGTAGGAGAAGACTTCCCATAAAAGTAATGGCTTCTTTTTCATCAACAATATATATTTTTTTATGATTGTTAAGAATAGTTTTATGTATTAGCGCACGTGAATATGAGGGTACCACGTCTGGACTATTTGGTGGATGGGACAGGACAATCTGTATTCGGAAGTTCTCAGGCTTCTATGTGGTCCGACATTGCCGTGTTGATTTCTACCATCTAAATGTCTGGATGCATTTGGTAAATAGATTTCTTAAATTTGTCAACATCTCAAAAATGTGTATAACATTTTATGAGCAAGCAATAAGGAGATAAATTAAACGGGGGGAAATTGAGCCATAACCTTCATGGCATCCACTATATTAATATTAATTGTACTAGATTTGGTTAGGCATTAGTTCAGAGTTTATCATGTGATTTTATTTTAACGTAAAAAGATCAATTAATTTCCCATACAATAGAACGTGGGCAAGTGCTCATTTTGTATCCCAGAGCCAAATTATCTGGCGGGGTACTCACTTTATTTACCCCCAAAGGAATTATGGGTTGAGTCAATCACCATTTAACAACTTAAATTATGTAATAGGCAGTGTTTAGTTAAAAAAGTCATCATGGTTGATAACATTTCTACACAAAATGTCCATATATGGTGACCACTCACTCTCCGGGGCTGCACTGTTTGATACAAAATGTGGATTTCCTTTGCCATATGTAAAACATCAAAATGCGTTATTTTAACGTGAAGCATTTGTTTTTTTACACGTTGCTTCTCCATAAAAGTGGGTTGGTTTACCACGTGCATGATGCAGCACACATTCCTTGCAAGTTCATATAAAGGTTAATTTTAAACAAAGAGCATGGATCTTTCACAACCAGTCTTCGTAAAAGTCAAGCACACAACCACAACTGGATTTTTTAGCTTACGTTAGTGTCGTCCCGCTGAGTGTGATAGATCTATAGGTCCCTGAACAGTAGCTTGTTACAGGGTGTCTATGAAACCAGTTATTGTTTAAGGTGATATTTTGAGCAACGGCCCTTCACCGCACAGAGGGCTACGGCCCTTTTCACAGCACACAGAGAGGCCAACCAACGTCCCTTTTCACAGCACACAGAGACCAACGGCCCTTCTTCACAGCACGTAGGCCTCTCTTGACAACTGCCAATGCAGTACCATAGTATAACACGTAGGCTTTCGCGACCAATATTATTCATAATCAACGTTTTTGGGTTTAGATCGCGTTATTTATAAATGTGTCATAACCCTCCACCACCCGACACGGCCAATCAGTAAAAAAGTGTCACGTTGACAAAAGACAATTAGTTCACTGCTTTAGCCCACCGGTGTGTTGAAGCGTGAAACCACAACAAAAGCATTTACATTTAAATATAAGCAATAGTGTGTCCATGCATGATTGGAATATAATCGATACTATAACACAACAATCGGCTGATAATGTGTTTAATCTAACAAATGCTAACCAAATTAACAAATTTTCTAGACTTTAAATAAACAAATCCCTATTAAAAACGAACAATTTAAAAACAAAACCGTAATGAACTTGACTAACACTGATTTAACCACTGACATGATTTCTGTCCTTTCTAAAGGCCTTAACTTTGCCGTTACCCCACGCACAATTCCAGTGGATGAGATAATTGCTGAGGTAGAATCGGCAGTAAGACTCCTTTCACATAATGAGGCAGAGATGACTAGACACGAGGTTGCCAAAATAATTGAGAATAGTAAAGTACCAAAAGTAAATATTAGCTCGAACGAGGCAAAAGCCTTAAGAGAGCTTCGTCTAAATAAAGATATTCAAATCCTAGCAGCTGATAAGGGCCGCACTACTGTAGTGATGTCATGAGCCGATTATGATAATAAAATTAAAGATTTATTAGAGGAAAGTACCTACATTAAAATTAAACGAGATCCAACTAATACTTTGGAACGTAAGACTACTGCAATCATTGCAAATTCATTAATCCCAAAAAATGAGCAATTCCTAATTAAGCCAAGGGCTTCAAAACCACCTAGACTGTATGGGCTACCAAAGATCCATAAAATCGGCATCCCTTTACAACCCATAGTCAGTACAATTGGCTCTGCCACATATAAATTAGCAAAATATGTAACTAAACAAATACAGCCCTACATTGGTAGGACATCATCATTCATAAGAAATTCAGAACATCTTGTGAATATGATCAAAGATATTAAACGTAACCCTAATGATATTTTGGTGAGTTTTGATGTGATTTCGCTATTCACTAAGGTTCCAGTGAGCGAGTCGCTTAAATTACTTGATACACTGTTAAAGAATACAGGTTTACCAAAAGATATTCCGAAACTCGCTGACCTTTGTTTAAATAACACTTACTTCTTATGGAGAGGCGAATTCTTTAAACAAAGGGAGGGAGCAGCAATGGGCTCTCCTTTATCTCCTGCTATAGCAAATTTGTACATGGAAAACTTTTAAACCAGAGCACTTGCCTCGAGCACATTAAAACCATCCTTTTGGTTTAGATATGTGGATGACACTTTGGTTGTCTGGCCACATGGTAAAGATACACTGAACGATTTTCTAAATCATCTCAATGCACAAAACCCGGCCATTCAGTTCACCATGGAAATGGAGGTGAATAACACACTCCCGTTCCTGGATATTTTACTTGGGCATGGCCTAAATGGTAAAATAACACACAGTGTTTACAGAAAGCAAACGCACACTGATGCCTATCTGAATGCAGATTCGCATCATCACCCAGCTCAGAAATCCTCTCTTATCAAGACGCTCATACATCGGGCTAAAACAGTGTCAGATGGTGAAAGTCTAGTGAGAGAAATTAAACATGTTAAAGAAGCACTAAGACAGAATGGCTACAATAATGCTCAAATTAACAGAGCACTAAATGCCAAATCACAATCGCAAAGCAACACTACTGAAAGCGATCAGATTATTAAAACAATAAAAATACCATTTATCTCAGGAGTAACTGACAAACTAGCCCGTGTTTTGCAAAAGCAAAACATTACAGTAAGATTTGGTACAGTACACAAAATTCAACAACTAGTAACGTGCACTAAAGACGAATTACCTAAATTATCAACAGAAGGTGTATATCGGATTAATTGTGTATGTGGCAGATGCTATATTGGACAAACAGGGCGTAACGTTAGTGTAAGACTAAAAGAACACCAGAGAAATATTAAACTATCGCAAACACAACTGTCGGCAGTGGCAGAACATGCATGCCAACAGGGACACTCAATTGATTTTGACAACGTTGAAGTGTTGTGTAAAACTAGTTACTACTGGCAAAGACTAATTAGAGAATCCATTGAAATTGAGAGAAACAGAAATAACTTTAATCGCTCAGACAGCTACAGGCTTAGTGCGGCCTGGAAGCGTATTATTAAATAAGATACATTACAATTCCTTATAAGGGAAACAAACACTAACTGATTACTAATGTTGCATAATCACAATAAAACACATTCCAAATGATTACTAATCTACAACTCGCATCGTAACAATAGCCTGATTACTAATCTAGTATATAATTACAATAACCCCCCCTTAAATCTTTGCACCTGATGAGTTAATGAGTTAATGATGACGTCACCCTGCTGCTGCTCTATATAAGAACGGGAGACACAGCAGAGCCTCACCATTCTGGCGAATTGCCCGATGATGCTGGATGCAATTACCAGCGAAACGTCGTACTCAAATTGTAAATTGTTGTGGTTTCACGCTTCAACACACCGGTGGGCTAAAGCAGTGAACTAATTGTCTTTTGTTAACGTGACACTTTTTTACTGATTGGCCGTGTCGGGTGGTGGAGGGTTAGGACACATTTATAAATAACGCGATCTAAACCCAAAAACGTTGATTATGACCATAGAATAAGTTGTTATTATTTTAATTTCATTTAAAAGTTAATTGAAGCAGCATCTTCATACAATTCTAATATTTTAGCATTTGTGTATTTTAATACCACACCCGACACAGCCTGATGAAGCTAGTTGTAATTACTGGCGAAACGTCGTGCTCAGATTGTAAATGTTGTGGCTTGGCTCTCCAACACACCGGTGTGCTGCACTAGTGACGAATTGGCATGTTCTGTTTACGTGACAACCCTTACTAGTTGGCTGTGTTGGGTGGTGGCAGGTTTTAATAACACATTTATATATTTACGCGATCCAACCCAAAACAAACTCTATTATGGATGATATTGGTTGCAAAAGCCTACATGTTAAATACCACAGTTCATTTAGTTAAATGTTGCTATTCATGTTTTGTTATTGTGGTGATTATCACTGCCAAGTAGACATTTTCCCACCAACTTACCATGGCATCCAATAACCATTTTTGTAACTTGGCACATCATTCCTATTAGCAATTCCCCTCTATTTTCTTGCCTGATCTCAGAAGATAACCAGGATTGAACTGGGTTACTACTTGGTTTGTAAGAGTTCCTGGTAAGACAGGCATCACTGGTTTCCTTCCACATGCCAAACATTCAAGAGTATTTGTTAAACAAGAATTTCCTGGGTAAATTTACATATCTAAATGAGCTTATGCCTCTCGCAAATCACATGACCTCTGTATGACTACTTGCACTCTGAATCCCTCCCGTCTCCCCGCCCCCTGTGAAAACAGATGCTGCTCCATGCAGCGTCGAGGCCCTTATGTGGCCTCCACCCTCTCCTCATCTTTCCTGACCATATGCTCACGTTTTGGCATTTAATTTCCATTCTTTTCCTCTTATTTCCTCAATCTTTTTCTTCTCTTTTCCTTTTTACCATTGTATTTTTCTTTTCCCATGCATTGCATCCTTGGCGTGCCATGGGTAAAACGTCGCGAGTGGAAATAATTTTGTTACAACGTATTATGTTTAAAAACATTACACGGTGCTTCCTGCAGTGAAGTGGCACTTCATTTGTGGTTTTTGAAACAATTAATATTCTGATATGTCTATGCCCGTTTATTAATTATAATGTATGCTGTAGTTTTTTTAAGCAGTTGAGTGCAAATGCTATATATAGGACACTACTTTAAAGCGGCAATGGTCTACCTTGTTATCCAAGCTAGTTAATATGTGTGTATATTTTCTGTCCATGACATTGTGTTGACTAAGTGTTGTGGTCAACATGTGGTTTTTTTATTTCTAATTTTCCAATCCTTTTGTCAATAATGATGGTGAGTTTATAGATTACATATTACGTCAAAAAATGAATGTGTTGCAGGTCTAACAGGAAGATGGGCTTACAGGCTGGATACAAACTTTGCTGTGACCACTAATCCAAAACGCAAGTGTATGGACTGGTATAGGAATGAGTTAGTCCTGCCTTCCATCAGCAGATTCACTACCTGTCCCTGCTCTTTGTGGCAAGGACAGTTTGACATGTCCTACATCACTGGGGACCTCATATCCAGATATGGCTACCAGCCTCTAAATGTCACAGGTGAGGCTAAACATTAATTTGCTTTTGGGAAATTTTTAAAAGAAGTCACTGCAAAAAATACATTGTATAAACCATTAATTGTAAGATTATCATTTGTCCTGCATTTTAGTGATGAAAAATATGTTGCAGTTTATGATGATGTAATTTAAACTAAGCGATTTATGTTCCTGATGTTATTTGTAGTAAATTACCATTTTGATCACCACACCAGATATTTAGATAACTGACTAGCTATATTTACATCTTTAAAAATAAACTTGTCATTAAGTTACACATTCTTTCTCTGTTGCACAATTGATTATACACTCATCTCTGTACCAGAAAAAAATATATAGGATAATCTGTTTATATTTATATGGCAATATCACTTTAGTCCAATACATGTCAATGCTGAAATGTGAACATAACCACTGCGATTCCCGCTCGCCGCCCCCCCCCCCCTCCGTTTAAATTCTATCATATTAATGCTGAAAATTTGTATTTGTGCCAGGTTCATTTTGGAGCTTGCAGAACTTCAATAAAGATAGATTTGGTGGAGGGGTGAGATGCCACTACAACACATTTGGGGCTCTTGTGTCTGGGTCGTATGAGAGGTATCTTCCTACCCCTTGGATCACCAACACTCTGCAGCAAGACATTCAACTTTACTCGAGTAAGTGATTTTAATTGTGCAAAATAGTTGTATTGTGAATTGGCTTAAATCTCCCACTGCCGCTGTCCACCCAGCGTATAAATCGGAACACCACAGTTAGGTAGATATGCTGTTAGTGTGTGGTGGGGTAGACTGTGGGTACTGCCACCTATTCCAAATTGTCTAGCAAGCATGGAGCCGTAGATCAAATTAGCCTTTAGAGATGGCCTCTAGAGCTCCCTGAAGTGGAGGCCCTTCTGTTGTGAAAAGTAATGAATATAGACTCTGCGGGAAAGTGCAAGAACAAGGTTTTTGTTTATATGATATGCAATTTTATTACCTTCTTTACACTCAAGTTATTTACACCTGTAATTGTTCCTGGCCTAATGGCACTTTGGCAAAATGCTTGACTCACATTTGAATGATTACAAGTTCAGGATTATTACATTTTGTCAGTCATATTCTTTGGGTCTTTCGGTAAAGCAACGTAGATAGAAAAAATAAAATTAAAATAATAACAAGATCACGACGTTTCGATCGCAACACAAGCAATCGTCATCAGGTGAGAGCTGCCAAGGTAGAAAAAAATATATGGCGGGAGCGTTGCTAAGGCAGGGATTTATAAAGGTTTGAGATGGGTGTAGCCCAAGGGTCAGTGGGCGGGGCTAGAGATTAAATTTGCATGTAAATGTAAGATAGGAGAAATCTTGATAAACGAAGTTGTGGGGGTGGCCATTGTATTGTGAGAGATTAGCATGTCAATGTAAGAAATTTTCTTGTAAATGTAAGCTAGGGAGAGCTCGGACATCGCCACATGGAGGTAGAAAAGGATGGTAAGCCGCTGTGGGGGAGGCCATTGTATTATGAGAGATTAGCATGTCAATGTAAGAAATTTGCTTGTAAATTATCACGATTGCTAGTGTTGCGATCGAGAGAGCTCTGAAAAGAGCATCGCCACCTGGAGGTGGAAAAGGATGGCAAGCCGCCATTTACTAACACAGCTAATGGTGGCTGTGGGAAAGAACCATCTGAGGACCCAATCAAAACCATCACCTTGCCATACATAGCAGGGGTCACCAAAAATATTTCCCAAATCATGAACAAACACAAGATCCAGGTACGATTCAACACAGTACATAAAATTCGTGATTTGATCCCATCTATGAAGGATGTGATCCCTGACATGTAATACTCCGGTGTCTACAAATTAAGCTGTGTCGGCAGCAGTTATATTGGGGAAACTAAGCGACATGTCTCGGACCGGGTTCGTGAACATAAGGCAGATCTGAAACACGGTAGGACCAATACCTCAGCCATGGCTGATCATTATTTTAACGCTGTGGGCACACACAAAATTGATTTTACCAAGACGAAGGTACTCTGCAAACCTACTGGCTATCAGCAAAGATTCGTCCATGAAGCCATCTAGATATATAAACAGACACAATTTCAACCGAGAAGATGGGTACAAACTGAGCAATCATTGGAAGGACGTTATTAACTAGTTTAGGTCAAAACTGGCTGTGTTGTTGCTTTCCTGCCTACCTGTGTTAGCAGTTATCTTCGACTATTTGAGTTACATTCACTAACACAGCCACCGTTACCTCCAAGTGGCGATGCTCCTTTCCGGGCTCTCCCTAGCTTACATTTACAAGCAAATCTCTTACATTGACAAGCTAATCTCTTTCATCATTAGACCACAAGTATTGTGGTTAATCCACACATGATTCGTTGTACAAAGGTTTCAGTTTTGTTGCCAGAAAAAAGGGGAAAAACCCTATTATTATGTTAATCTCTCACAATACAATGGCCACTCCCACAACTTCGTTTATCAAGATTTATCCTATTTTACATTTACATGCACATTTAATCTCTAGCCCCGCCCACTGACCCTTGGGCTACACCCATCTCAAACCTTTATAAATCCCTACCTTAGCAGCGCTTTTTTCTTACCTCAGCAGCTCTCACCTGATGACGATTGTTTGTGTTGCGATCGAAACGTCGTGATATTGTTATTATTTTTATTTAAAAATATTTTTTCTATCTACGTGGCTTTACCGAAAGACTCAAGGAATATGAATTCCTGCAGTCACGAAAGCTTTAAGTGATGTGGTTACAAGTGCTTAGGGAATTGTGTACCTGGATTGTCAGCGGGTTTTTTTGCCTTTTATAAATGTGGTGATAGATTTCTAAAATTATTACTCCTTACTCCTGCGTAAATTTGTCTCGGTTGCGTTGTTTCGTCCGTTTTCGGATTGCACCGCGTATTGCTCACTACGGTATTTACCTTCATGTGCTGAGAGCTTCTTTCAGCTCTTGAAGAAGCTCTCAGTTCCTGAACAAGGTCCCAGCACATTGAACATAACATCAGACCTCACGTTGAACAATACACAGTACAAACCGAAAACACAGTGGAGAACTAAGTCAATGATGTTACACACAAACACTTTTTTGTTCTTGTTTCCAGCAAATGAAACACAACCATATAAATCATGTTGCCAGTCTGGAGATGCCAGGTTTTGCAGTCTGTACCAACAGAAACGCCCTCCCAACCAATGTGCTTTCTACAGGCCACCGTTTGCTGGTAAGAGTCCTCTTTTAAGAATTACGTTTATTTAAATGTTCAGAATCAAAATGTATTTACACTGGTGGAAGCCGATGAGCTATAATGCTCTTTTTCACATATGTCCAATGTGGTCACCCAATGGCTAGCTTTCAAAGATCATTGCTTGATATATAAAGACCAGTGCTTTCCAACTATGATCACAGGATATGCTGCAACATGAGTCTCCATTTCAGGCATTGAAATAAACTTGAATGAGGAATATTCACAAGATACACGGTATATATTAATAGAGTTCACATGTTGATCTTGGTCTGCAATCAACTGAGCCCATCATCCCCCAATAAGTGGCACTTTGCAAAAAAACTGTAATCCTATGATAAGTGTAAACTCAGTCATATGGAACGTTCATCCCGGTTTCGGGCCAGATAAGCACCACCCAATGTCAAATTGAATATCGTAAAAAAAAATGTATAGTTCCATGAATATACACACAAACATGAATTAGGTGGAATGGTGGTGCAATAGTTAGCATACTGCGCTATGACCCCAGCGATCCGGCATTGTAAACTTGGTTACTTTTTCATTGCAGCGTTTCTCATTGGCGACCCTCACATCACGACCCTGGACAATGTCTCGTACACCTTCAATGGCCTGGGAGAGTACACTGTGTTGGAAGCGGTTGGAGATGGGGTGAATTTCACCATGCAGGGCCGCACAGGAATTGCGAGGACCAATGCCTCCGCCAATATTTCTTCAAAAGCAACTTCCTTCATAGCCATTGTTGCACAGGAGACCGGCGGCATTAAGGTACACGCAAATAGCTTGACAAATATTAGGTTCCCAAGCTTAAAGACATAAATTTCCCCGCCCCCACCGCCTCTGTCCACCCAGCAGTTTAAATGGGCACCCCACAGACGGTCTGATCGGCAGATCACGCGTGTATAGGGGTAATGTGTGCATACTCCCACCTCTTCTAAGATGCGTGTGGCCAACAATTGATATATGAACTGGCCTTGGGCTCCCGCTGTTTACCAACCTGCACTGAGCAGTGCGGTGAAACTTGGTCAAACAGCCACCTCGGCTAACACAGCACAGAGGTCGCAACCGGGTACCCGATACCCGTACCCTACCCGATACCCGGGTACGGGTAGCCGTTTGCGACCCTGGTACGGCCGGGTACGGGTAGGCCGTGAGTCACTGGTGAGTAACCGTTTGTCACTAATTTCGGATAGGGTACGGGTACGGGTAGGGAACGGATACCCGGGTACGGGTACGGGTACTCATTTGCGACCTTGGTGCGGCCGGGTACGGGTAAGGAATCAAAACCCGTTTGCAACCTCTGACACAGCATATAGGGAGGTCTTAATCCAGCAGTGGATTAACAAATGTCTAAAAAAAATACATATACTTGCAATAAAATACACCACGTTGGCTACGTACGGTGCGAAAGAAGTTCAACGTACATACACACATAGAGGGACTTTATCGTGCTCCCTCTAGTGGACACTCTTTTGCCAGCAGTGGCATGAGCGTGAAATTTCAGGGCTGCACCTTTACCTTATAGCCCATCTTTATAAACTATAGATGAAGGTTTCATAAATTATTTAACAATGATAATTAGAGAGCAGTTTTTTTAACGGCACGGTGGAACTGTGGGGTTATGTGAAAAAGCCAAACAGTTTCAAGTGATCTTCAACAGCACATGACAGAAGCATTCACGAAAAATTACACCTGAGATGTTAGTAAGCATCCGTTATTCATGTTATTTTTTATGTTGAAAAATCTACTTTTCTGTCCTGTATTTTATTACCCATACCTCTCAATGACAACACATATTGCATTTTTACCCGTGATTGTTTACAAACTGTTTAATTTTGCTTTTACAGGTTGAATGGATTCTCAAAAACAGCAGCATATTAGTACTGGTAGATGGCAAACAGATCAATTCAACAGGTAAATAATTCTGAATGTTTTACCTGGATGAAAACAACTCATGCAGTATCTGTTTTTATATTTCGCTGTGCTTCATATATACTGTGTTTCTCTGTATGTTTTGTATACATGACGCTCTAAGATAAATTGTATCGGTGATAATGTGCTTCATTTTTAAATCCTTTATATTAAGTTCGCTTGCTTGCTTGCTTGCGTGCTTGCTTGCGTGCTTGCTTGCTTGCTTACGACCGTGCAAATCTTTCGGTCGTTTTTTAACCCACTTCCCGTGATCCAATCGAGCTGACATTTTGCACACAGACTCGTTGTGCGAGACAATTAATGTTCGTGAAAAAAAATTCCTAAATTTTACACTGTTTAGGGAAAACAAATTCAATATTTAATTACCAATTTTTTAATACTGGCAGACAATCATCTGACCCATAGGTGGCAGCCATCTCAAGCCAGAGGACGAGAGGACTCTAGCCGCCACGCATATAAAGGATTTATAGTGAAAAACTTTGTTTTTACGGGTTATACTTGTTATCTGTGGAGTCCTAATGATAACCATACCATTGACTCTTGTCACTGATGTGACCTGTCTTGATCCCTCTGAATGAATTAAAGTTGCAGGTTTGTATAAACAATTTAACATTCTATAATACCTCATTTCTACAGCCAATGGGTACCACAATTTTGCGCCGTTCTGTTATAGTGGGGCTGTACTGGAAAGCCTGTGCGTTCTCGCATCAACTGGCCTGTCAAATAGATCGATTTGGTTTACTGAACAGGGCTTTGCACCAGCTGTGTTTGTCAATGAAGGATCCATTTGGGTCTGGGACTATTCTGGAGGTATTTGCGACATCCTGAAGTCAACATGGAATCTATATGTGCACATGCCATTACATCACTCCCTTGGTTCAACTTTCCGTCTATTTTAGTGAAAAAAAACATGGCCTAGCGGGAGCATGTTCGCCATTTGTTGCAACCCCTGGTTATTATTATTATGGGTGCATTAGGGTGCCACGGTGGCGAGATGTTAACCTCGCATGGTATACAGAAGGTTGTGTGTTCCATCCTGACCCTGATGCTGTATAGTAGGAGTTTGCATGTTCTTCCCATGGTCGCATAGATTTTTCCCCGGGTCCTACGGTTATTCTCTCCACATTTAGAAACATGCGTTTAGAGTATTTGGCTGCGATAAATGTCCACATGATAAGCCACTTCATTGAGCTATTAGTTGTGGCCAGGTGGCTTCTGAAAAAAAGTTATATAGCTCGCTGGGCCTTACCTGGTAAAATAAAAAATAGTTTTATAGTTTTTATAGTTTATTAACCATACAAATAAATACATACAAATACTCACTGTCTGTTTCACATAGGACGTTTAAAATCCCGTAACGTCAATTGTGAAATTTGAAAAGTTCACTCGAAATTAATTGGAACATGAAGAGCAATCAACTTGGCAGGAGTAATGAAACATAAGATGAAAAATACAAAAACGATATATTTAAATTCTGATGTGTGAGAATAGGGTTTCCCCTTGTTTCTGGCAACAAAACAGGTGTTAAGATGTTAAAACACCAAACTGAAACCTTTTACAAGGAATCATGTCTGCATTAACTACAATACTTGTGGTCAGAATGCAAACAAAAAACACTCTGATTTTTTTTGTTTTGTTGCCAGAAAAAAGGGGAAAACCTATTCTCGTATTTTGGTACTGGCAAAAGAGGTCCCATGATGTAGCTCTGATGTGTGTTTGGTGCGCTTTGCGTCTTGTTTGGCATGATGTCTGACGTTTTTCTCCATGTGTTGAGAGCTTCTGCAGAAACTGAATATGCCAAACAAAGGAGTATAGCCCTAAAACATATCGGCGAGCTATACAGCACAATCACGAAAATCTACTCAGCAGTGCAAGAATATTTTAACTTTACCTGCAATCACTTGATCCATGCCCTTACACTTTGATAAAGACCACGTGTTTAGACAATGTATTTCCTGGCATCCACCCTATTGCCTGCGGGATGATAGTGGGCAGGAAAGGGGAACGTGGGTGGAGCAGAAGGGGTGAAGACTTTGGAACCATGTTGAGCATGGAGGCTAATGGCCAGGGCCCCTGTTGATATTTATGAACCGGTACTGGGCTAACAGGGTTCAGACCCTAATAGGTGTGGAAACGGGGCGTAATAATTAACTTTTATGTGCCCACGTTATATTAAATTATCACCTTGTTTTTCTCATTTAGATGACATCTACAGGCAGAACGTGTCGATCAAATGGACAATAACCGGACAGGTGGTAGCCACCTTCGCATCGGGCATCTCAGTGAATGTGTCCAGCCTTCCTGGGGCCCTCAACTTCATCACCTCATTGCAAGAGAGTTTTAACAACCGCACGAAAGGCCTGCTGGGTGAGTCACAATGAAGCTGCCCTTCACACAGTCAATGGCTTTTAACTTTTGCTCGTCATTGTCCCTAATCTGGTAGGATGGAGCTGTAGCAGGGAAGCGAGTTCGAATCAATTTCATGAATTGACTCATCCCATCACCTTCTGGACTTCAAAAACAAGTATTAATTTAGGAAGTCAATTGTGGTTGTTCTGCAGATTCCATAGTAATGTGGGATGTCCATAACAGGCATTCAGGATGCATTCTTGGTAAACAGAGCGCTGTACGAAACAGCGCTATAGGAGGTCACTATAACACAAAGTGCGCCCACTTCAAACATTGTCGTTTCATTGTACGAACAATTCCAATAATTTAAAACGTGATAACATGTGCAATTTTAGTGTGAGTGGTTTATTCAGCAGTGCTTTAGTCAAAGATAAGTGTTGCACAGTGGATAGTCTTACCATGAAAAAATTAAACGAGTTATGACATGTCACACGTGTAAAATATTTTGGGATAGCCTACACCTCCATATACCCCGCAGGGTCTTGTTTTGTTCGTAAAAAGTGGTATACCCCGCGGGTTATATGCGGGAAAATACGGTAAGTCATTGTTTTGGTCGTGGCATGCGGTGTCGCTCCACGTGTATGCTGAAATTGGACCATTCGGTACGGCAATTCGGCTCATGGTAAATTACTAATCTATATCTCCGTATATATCAAAGGCAAATTTGTGATTATATGTGTCCAAAATGTTTAGCCTATTTCCCGACATGCAACAAACTTGAAATTTGCCATATGGGTACTTTCCAGGCTGGACATATTTTTTTTGCACGGCAAGTGAGCTGTGACGTCAAATCTGTCATGTGACCCACGCATGTGGAAGCGTAACGCATTGTAGTGTAGTGGTTAGCGCGCTGCACTACGAACCCGGCGACCCGAGTTCGTATTCCCGCTCACGGCCACTACCGGTGACGGTTATTTGAACCGGTTCTGGGCCTCCCCTAGGTCGACTCGGCCTCAAACGAGTAACTAGTGTGGTGTGTGAACATCGCCTCTGGGGAGACAAAGACCGCCGGGCGTGGTGAATCCAAGTCTCGGGCGAAGCCGGGTAGTAAAGCTAGTACTCTATATATGCTGAAAGTGCAGCCATGCCGAATTATCCTCAATTACGAATGATCAAATACTGAAATAACGAGGTTACTGGATAGAGTGTTACGGATTTTTGACTTACGAATAAAGGCAATTGCCATAATCATCAATTATTATGTATTTATTTCCTATTTTGGCAATATTATCGACTGTTTTTAGTTATGTATTTACCTGTTTTCTTTCTTGACCTTCACAGTCATTGTCCGAGACTCCAGAAATCAAAATAAGGTTCAATTAGAAGCAACTTCATGAGCCAGCCTGATCCACTGTCTTGTTAAGAAAAACTATGTGTTTTGATATGGGGGCCGTCCATAAATAACGTCATGCGATTTTGGCCGATTTTTGACCCCCCCTCGTCACACGGCGTCACAAAAAGTCAGACCCCCCTCAAATATGACGTCACAAAGCTCTGCGCCCCCCCCCCCAAACCATATTTCCATATAGAAAATAAAACATGCGTCAAATCACTTTAAACTATTGTCATTGTAGTGCGTATTTAATGTGGCGCTGCACTCTGATGTTGTAGGAGAAAACACGTATTAAAAAGGAGGTGTTGGAAGGCTGACATTTAGCATAAAATTCACTTGAAAATATTCAACGTCTAACTAAAATTGCCGATGTTCAGAATATTATATTGAAATTATCTTGTAAAATGTTAAAAGTAATTATAACTATGAAAAAATACTTGAAACTTTGTAGTAGAACGAAGCAAAATGGAGAGTACAATTATAACAATCATATATTAATTCCACAGAATGAAAAGCCCTGGTAGAATAATTAAAATCTAAATGTTTAATAACAATCATTCAAAAAATTTACAAAATGTATGCTTCTAAATTCACCCATGGAGAAGCAAAATGCTTCTTCATGGAATAAATAAAAGGTGACCTTAGTAAATTAAAATAATTAAATAGTTAATAATGAAAATTGATCAAAATTAGTGTTATAACAATTATTGTTTATATGTATTTAAAGTTGCGCATTTTGATGTGACATCACATTTCTCAACCCCCCCTCCCCCTTCTCGTCACACATCGTCCCAAATATCTGACCCCTCTCCCCCCGCTAGGTGATTATGGACGGCCCCATGCTACTAAATTTGGACGTAAATCGTTTTTCTGATATATGAACAATGGGATTTCTTTGCAGGTGTTTTCAACAAGGATCCCACCGATGACTTCCAAGCTTCAAATGGAACAGTTCTTCGCTTCAACGGAAGCAGTGTGCCTCCTGAATCACAAATATATTATAGCTTTGGAGTTACATGTAAGTGAACCCGAGGTGTATTAATGTAGTTATGAATTGTGAATTGAACATTGCTTTTCGCAAACAAATAACGACATGGATCGGGTGCTCCCGCTTGTCACGGCATTGTTATGCTGGCAGAGTAAAGAGAGGTTTTTTAAACTACATAATTTATACTCTTTGGGTATCTACGTGACTTTACCGAAAGACCCAAAGAGTATGAATTCCTGCAGTCACAAAAGCTTTAAGCGAAGATACATAATTTGTGTAAAATACCACTGATATTTTGTTACATGTTATCAGCAGATATTTCTGTTGCAAAAAACCAACACGCATCATACGACTGATATGTAATATATGTTTTATGTGCTCATTTGATAGAAGACTCTTCAGATTTACCAGCAAAGACCTATAAACATGTTCACTAAGGTGACACATCTGCCTGCTATGTTGAGCAGAGTGTATATTCAGTGACTTTAATAAAACGTTAAATTATGTGAGTGACAATAACACCAGTTACATTCCACATTGTCAATATAAAATATAAGTGAATTAGAAATCCACCTTGGTGCTTTGCACCGCAGCTTTTAAAGCTGAAATAACCGAGCATTTGTACTGTTGGTTTATACTTGTTGCTGCTTACGTATATCAATAATGTTTCTTAAAAAACATTTCGACAAATATGCCATCTCTTTACAGGGCAAACAAAGCCAAGCACAAGCCTGTTTACTTATAACGCCACCAGTGGGGAGACTTGGTCCACATTCAACAACAACAGCTTTGTGCCTACATTCTATGAAGAACTCATAAGTCAGACATCTGCAGAACGACTTGCCTCCATTAAGGCTTCATGTGGAGGACAGTTTGACTGCATATTTGACGTGCTGAGTACCGGGGACACCAACTTTGGGCTGGCCACATTGAAGAGCACTATGGAATTTGGCTTTCAGCAGAAAGCTCTACGTGAGTTGAATTACACTGTGCCTCTGTTTCATTCTACTACTCGAGCAATGCCCGGGACCTTGCCCAAGGCAGCCACGGTGCAGCTCATGTGGCGCCAAGGTTGTCCTTCACTGGAGAAGCCGAGCCGTGCCACTTCAAAATCGAAATCTTTATTTAGACTGGAGGAATTCGATGAGCCGTGAAGCTCTTTTTCACGGATGTCCAGTAGGGGCGGGTCAGGTTACTTAGATCACACGCAACAAACGAGGCAAGATGCGTGTACTTGAAGCGTTGATGCTGTGTCCGCTCAGTGTATAGACTGATGTTATACGCAATTAAATCGTAGTTAGCTCTGCTCCTGCCCTTGCTGGGCCCCGAGCCAGATTCAGACGTCTTGTGAGATGAATGTATCATGGTTTGTTTCTAGCTCAGCATGGCAAATAGCCAGTGGGAAAAACCCCGTACCGTAAGGGTCCTCCCGCTGTCTCGGCTCAGATGTGCCAGTGGAGAAAGTAGCATTGTATATCCACGTAAATTCTTGACCTGACAATAAGCAGTGTAACAATCAGCCCCCTGGCCCAGATGTTTTTTTTGTCATTTGTATTGTTTCTTCATAGAGATAGACTTGTGTGCTGCATTATACTGAATGCAAGAATAGCGTATAACGTGCATACAATATGGTTCCAATCATAACTAATCAATCCTTTTCAGTCTTATTTGCACGATTTGTGAGTGTGCAAGCATCTCTCACAATGCATTAAACATTACATGCCTGATTAGCAGTCACTTAAGACAAGCTGAGGTGTGACATTGAGGACAATTTTCACATCATACGTTACTTTAGAATAATTTACGCCTTCAATGAGCCATACTCAAGCATCTTAGGAGTTGAATTGTCAAATAGTTAAAACAGTGGCGTCCTACATTAACATTTCAAACACACGACAGAACATGTATTATAAGATAAATAATAGTAGTACATCTAACACACTACTTGAGTAAAGCGACACTAGTGATACCATAACATATGCATCAGTACATATTTTTTAAACACCTGTTTTGTTTTACTTCGGAGCTTCCATAAGATGGGAATTACTGTATTTTAGTGTGTTAAATTCTAGTTTTGTTAGCAATGTATTTATCTCAAAGTCGCAGATTAATTAACCATTGAGTATCGATACATTGTTGTATCACGCAATGTACATTTGCACATACTGCTATGGTTTTCTGCTGTGATTTACCTCTGATAGTGTATAACACAGAGGTGCATTGGGATCCTTGGATGAAGTGTGCCTTACAAATGTAAATGATTATAACACAGACATGTCTAACATGCAGGAGTGTTATTGTGCGTGAATCTATAAGTGATATGTGTTGTTTTGTTTCAGAAAACTTCCCTCCCAACATTACCAGCGACGGGCAAATTTCTGCCATGCTGAATCGAGTAGTTACAGTCAAAATCAGCGCAGTGGACCCGAACAACGACACCATTGTATTTACCATTTCAAGAAATTCCTCAGACCTCAACATCACAGGTGTGTGTGTTTTATTTTGGCTTTTTTGAGAAGTCAATGGTTGGAATTCATACAATTGTTGCTCTACGTGATGATAATTTAATGTTTTCTGTGCTAAATAAATTGACATCTCGATGTAAAATTTTTGAAAGGTTCTTGTTATATTTTATTCCACATATCGTTCAACTTGGTGACAATGTTCGTACAAATTTGCTGGGTGGCAGAGCCCCCCGATGCCTCTGAAGGTGGCCAGGAACAAAAAGAGCTTGAGCAAGAACAGAGATTATGAATATTTAACTAGTTGAATTGTGGATATTTGGAGATTCAGAGACTCCAAGTCAAAAAATAGATTTTACCAGGGTCAGAACTTGAGCTGACATTGGGCTTTGTTGCAAGGTTTACCGGACCAATTTCGTCCTGGAAATATGCAATGCATATGTGGGACCATCCGTTGCACTGGTTAATATTTTTTATTGTGTAATACATTCAGAAATATATTTTGCAGTATTTAAAATACATCACTCTACTGTGTCTTTTTCACTTATAATGTGCACTCACTGTGTGGGACCCTACCTCGCTTGTTGGTACTTACTTCAGTACTCTTCACCCCTCGAGGTTGCCCACCTTTATTACCCAACCTGACCATACGTTGTACCTTCCCTTGTTTTTTTTTCAGTAAAATACTTCTGGTAAATTACTATTTTTCAAAATAAAAACTAGCCTAACAAAGAATTCTGCAAAAATATTATTTTCTGAACATCGATACAAACACAATACATGAAAGTCATTCATCTGTGCTCATTGATTACTGCTGGTGGTGGGTTTCTGCAGCCGATGGGACTTTGACGTGGAGCCCCAGAAGCTCAGAGCCAGCATTTGGCGTGGTGAGCGCCAGCGACGGCAAGGCCTCTTCTTCGCTGCTGCTCAACCTCACTCTGTGCAACTGCAGCGCCCACTCCACGTGCCTTTACAACCAGACCACCCTGAGCATCACCGGCAGTGACGGATCCACTTTCCAGGTCAGTTGGGCAGTCATTCACTTGACCAATTCACTCGCAGCCATTACGTGATAGTTGTTTCCAGAAAACTGCTTTTCTGGAAAGTTCAACACGAATTTTTGTTTAATGGGTCACTCTCCTTTCATTCCATGAATCAAAACAGTGTGATATTGCTTTGGCATTGGGGCAGAAGTGCAAATAACACAAACTCAACACATATTTCAATAACATTGCCCTTATAATGGAAATAATATATTTAATGGATGACACTATGGGAACCTCATTTGCCAGTAAAAATATGATAATTGGTTTTTTACCCTTCTATCTGTGTAGATGCTTGCCCCGAGCTCTCATACTCTGATGGTGCATTGTCCTTGAGTTGTGCGCCTTTTGGCGTCATCTGGTCCAACCCATGTGAGACTAGGCTCTAAGGAAAGCTGTCTCGGGTGTGGACCAATCAACTTCAAGGACAGTGCACATTATCAGAGTTATGTCTTTTGTTTGTATTATGACTGCAGGTATTGCGGTCTATACAAACATGACTCCTTGTAAAAAGGTGTCAGTTTTGTTGCCAGATAGAAGGGTAAAAAACCAATTATCTTAATGGATGACGTTTAGAAGATGTCCCTCCTTCGTAGCTATGAATATATTTACAATATGTATTTCCTCTTCAGGGCAGTGTTATTGACGCATGTGTTGGCTTTCGTCAATCTATGTTAAATGACGAGATTGCTTTGTGAGTTTCTTCCCCACAAAATTAGGATGTGTTTTTTCACGTGAAAGTTGTATTTGTGGTTCAGTTTTCACGCTTAAAATAATATATATAAAGTTGGTCAAATATCTATATATTAAAAGTTACTGAATGTGAGATCAAGTGATCCCTTGGGTGTTATTCTTAAGTGGTGGACACCTTGTGCTGGTGGAAAGTCTGTCTTTAAAAAATATATTTATAGTTATTAAATTTATTTTTGCTTTAATAATGAATTGCTCATTCAAAAGTTCAAGAATGTATTTAAATAGCCATATATGTACAACATAGTGCTGCATTAAAATTTACCCAACATATAATTTTTTTTATAATTCTTCAAATGTCGTACATTTTAATCTCGTACTTAGGGGTAAAATTAAGTAATTTTGGTAAAAATAATATGTTATCTGGATGTGAAGTCAGAAAACAGCATTTCAGTTTATGTATTGGAAAACCCATACATTTACCACTATCAGTGCACTTGAATACCGTTTAATCATAATGCTTGATCGGCCCTTAGGGGGGAGATGGCTTTAGTTTGCGTACATAACCCGTGTCACGCTTAATTTATTTGCCGTTTTGCTGCGATCGTCTGAAGCTTGCCGGCTGTCTGTGTGATCCTGGCTACGCGGGAGCATACTGCACGGACGACTACAATGCCTGTGTGGACAGCCCTTGTCATCCTGGAGTGACCTGCACAGATCAACCTGCACCCTCCCTAGGCTTTTCGTGTGGGCCCTGTCCCGTTGGGCTCACAGGCAACGGGAGCAAGTGTTACGGTGTGTACATATTTCATTCTTTAATTGTGTTCATTAATTCCTCATTCATTAGAAATAAGGTGCAGTACAGAAAATTTTCACGCAATCAATGAATCATTTTTCTTACTCAATTTAAAAAAATGCCATAAAATACACCATATAATAATATTAACAACTTTCTGCAGTGATAATGAATAGTCATAACTCTGTATTGAAAAAGAATAAGCACTTTTACCCTACCTGGCAATAACACAAGTATTAAGATGTTCAAACACCAAGTAGAAACCTATTGCGTTCTCTGGTCTTGGTGAGACAAGGCCATGTCTCTGGTATATGCCAATTAGTTTCAAAACAATGCATATATTATCAGAGCATGTATGTTTGCATGTTCTCTGCCACAATCGTGTGTGGTTAATGCAGCCTTGACACCTTTAAAAAAGGTGTCTATTTGTTGATTGAACGTCTTAACACCTCCTGTGTTATTACACCTCCTGTGTTATTGCAATAAATGGTAAAGTCACGTAGATAGGTTCTCTTTGAACCTGTCAACGTGACTTTACCGAAATACCCAAAGAATATAAATTCCTGGAGTCACGAAAGCTTTAGTCAAGACCTATTCTGCTTTTTCCATCATTTCAATCCTGGCAAAAAGGTCCCATAGGCATATATTTATTTTGCTTAACAAGATTGCACACTTTCATTAGACTTAGTACTGTCACTTTCAGATATTTTGGATGTTGACAAGTGATAAAAAAACACCACAAATCGAACGTTGAATGCAACACATAGGGTATGCATATACAAAGGTGGTCAAGGTGCAGCACTCCGATTGCTTGTTCACTCCATTGCTGGCAGGAGAACCTCAACTGGAGTATATTTTTGACCTACTCTTCCATGCTATCCCAGATATCATGGAAGAGGTGAAAGTACCCACACTTTACCCCACACGACTTTCCTCATGGACTAACTGTTGCAGCACACATGTACACCTGGGTGGACCAAAGTGAGCGGATTTAAGAAAATTCCACCATTATTTCAACTGCCGTTGCCGGAAGATGAGACCTGATAATGCTTAAACATTGTAAATCTGCTTAAAGTAGATTAACACATAGGATTTCGTGACCAATATTATCCATAATAGAGGATTTTTTGTTTAGATCGCATAAATATCAACGTGTCGTTAAACCCACCACCACCCGACACAGTCAATTAGTAAGGTTTGTCACCTAAACGAAACATGCCAATTAGTTACTGGTTCAGCACACCGATGTGTTGGAAACTAAACCCACAACATTTATGATCTGAGTACGACGTTTTGCCGCTAATTAGAACCAGCCCCTCATCAGGTGACGACCAGAATTGTGGAGAAATCCTCCTCCTGTTTCGGTCTCAAAACAGAGGGGTAAATGTGATGTCATAACCTGATTGTGTTATGCACCGTTGATGGATCGGCAGATGTGGACGAATGCCTGGAAGTACCCGCCAAATGCAATCAGACATGCTTGAACAACTATCATGGATTTACATGCTCTTGCGACATTGGATACATCAACACCACCATCAACAGCTCTAAGTGCCAAGGTATCAATTACATTGTTACAATATATTGACAAAACGTAAATATTAGAAGGGGTAATGTCTATTTTGTTAGTTGAATGCAATTTGACAATCTTTTTTTTTTCCTATATGAATATTAAGTTCAATATATGATGTTAATTGAAATATATCTGATGGTTAACTGTGATATTGTCATTTGAGTATTTTAAATAACCTACGATGTATGACATCTCAAATCAAACATATTTGCATCATATTCTTTGGGTCTTTCGGTAAAGTCATGTAGATAAGTTCAAAGAAAATAACAAAAAACTACGACGTTTCGATCGCAACACAAGCGGTCGTCCGCTTGTGTAGCGATCGAAAAGTAGTTTTTGGTTCTTTTATTTGAACCTATCTACGTGATTTTACCGAAAGACCCAAAGAATATGAATTTCTGCAGTCACGAAAGCTTTAAGTCAAGATATTTGCATCAGTGAGGCATTTTTACAAAAGTATTTTTAGTGAAAGAGTACTTTTATTAAGTACATCCAAATGTTTTAATTTATTTTTGTTCTCTGAATGTGCAGATATCAATGAATGTGCCCTCAATTCGTCGCTTTGTGTTGAAAATGGTGTCTGTTTCAACACGCTCGGGAGCTACGAGTGCAATTGCAAGGAAGGGTATCAAGGGGTTGGCTCTATCTTGTGTCAAGGTAAACACACTTTTACAAATGCGTCGCATATTTAACATTGGTCTTTTGTCATTTTTTTGCTTTAAAGTGGAGTTTTTTTCAGTTTTTATGATCAAAGAGTGGCTCTGGAACGTATTAAATAATCGCAGGATGCAAGAGGTGACACACGTCCTCAGCACTTTCAACATGAAACTTTGTTTGTACGGTAGATCATACCATTTTCAGAAATTATTCATGATTTTTTTAAAGACGTATCTTCCGTGAATCCTACGAGTACTGTTTCAAATTCTGAGTCATAAAATGCGTGTCAAACATGAAGTGCTGTATACAAAATACAATGGTGCATTGCTAATTATTAAAATTGGTCCCTTGGGTTTTTCAACCTTGGCTGCCATAGGAATCGCACTGCATGGGCCAAGTACACTGACACAGTTTGTGCTGTAGAGCATTGCTCCACAATCGGTGTGCTGCCCCCGTGGCATAACCCCAGGCGTGCCGCGATGTTTTAGAATTAATCAACAAAAACACAGACAACAAAAGAGCATAATTAACAAATGCATCGACACAGAGACATCAACATAAAACAATGAAATAGATGTACACATAGACATTGAAATGAGACACAGTAGGCAGACACAGAAATTAAAAATAAAATAATGAAATAGACGGACAAACACTCCACTTGAGAAAGAGATGCGCGCACACACATCATCATTATAAGCCGTGATCAGTCTTCTCCTGGATTAAGTGCCTACAGTTATTTTTTGGCCAAGATAAAGATTGTTGCTCGTAACTTTTTATCCTCGTAGCCTACGTCTGAGTCTACAATAATAATAATTAGCAGTCCTCTTTCACTGTTGTAGGATGGCCTCCTGACACTGTCAGTCATGGGGTTGATTGACTATATTTCAGCACGTCGGTCAATGCATGCAACGGTTGTTAGCCGTGAGACCGGGAACATAATTCATATTCCCTAGTGCATAGTGCAGTGCGCTCGAATGTGTTGTAATCTTCTAAACTTAGTTGAAAATTTTTAAAAATTGTGTTCATTTCTTTGCAGATATTAATGAGTGTAGTGCCGCGATCGATCCCTGCCTATCCACAAACAACTCCTATTGCCAGAATACTCCAGGGTCCTACAAGTGCAACTGTTTTCCTGGCTACAATGGGACAAACTGCGCAGGTAGTGAAAATGTGTCAAGGAGCGTGTCACAGATGTGAAGCAGTAAACTTCCATACGGATTAATGGTACAATGAAAAACCAACGGATACAAGTTTAAGTATTGAGTGTATCATTTCGATAAAACAGGGGATAATCGCGAAAGGGAACCCAGATTGTACTGTATGTATTTTGAACTTCTTTCGCACCATACGTAGCCAACTGTGTTTATCGGAGGTGCAGAGCGAAGGACAACAAACTAAACACAAATAGCAGTTCTAAAGAAGGTTTGTTAAACACCTAGAATTGTGTATGCGTATAAAGTATTTTGTAATTGACACAGCAAATGCAATTAAAGTATGTTGCAATGCGGTAAATACACTGTAGGTATGACGTCATAGAATAAATGCACACCCTTTTAAAAATATCACATACACTGTGCCGTGTCTTTTGTTTTTTCAGATATAAATGAATGTGCAACTCAAAACACATGCCATACCAATGCCACCTGTTCTAACAACGAGGGTTCCTACAACTGCATTTGTAAACAAGGCTTTACAGGAGATGGCAGAATGTGCAGTGACATCGATGAATGTTTGACAAATTGCACAGACCAATCTGCACAGTGCGTCAACACGATTGGATCTTACCTCTGCTCTTGTGCTAAAGGATACACCTACATTGGGGATAACAACCCAGGTAACGATACATTAAAGTGGTATAACAGCAAAGGTGTTATTGGTATATATCACGTCAAACACGTTATTGGTATATTACATTAACCACATGTTATAACCACTGTTTACATCCCACTAAATGGTATTCATTTTATGAATCCAAAAGTGATGATGGATTTGCATTTAAAACAGTTTGTTCACCTAGACAAGGTCCATCACCTAGACAGACGTTTATACCTATATGGCAAAAAATATGTAGATTTCTTTAATTATCTTAGACATGTGATTGTAAATCATGAACCCAGAATTGCAGTGGTGGTATATGTAACCAGGTAATTTGCAAGCCAGTGTTAATGTGCTTTGGTAGTTGAATATCTCTGCATATTAATTAAACATTCTAATTAGAATATTCTAGCTCTAGAATTTTGGCGGGCTACGGCCGCCTTATTCTCACTCCTGTGGAGGGCTTCTCAGCGCTTTGCGCCTCGCCCATCACCCCCACTGGTGTCCGCTTCTTCCCCCCCAAATGTGTGCAGATACTACTGACTATTGTATGTAGAGTGTGTGTAGGCATATACATGCCTACACACACAATACATTTCTTTTTTGGAGTCGGGGAGTGCAACATTTTAGGGGGGGGAGGGGGATGGTCGACAATTTTTGGAACCCTGTTGGATCAACTGTTTACCCCCACGTCTGGGGGGGGGTCCACTTTAACTTCTTGATTCAGGCCTTCTGAAAGGATCTTATAATTTAATTGACGGACAAACCAAATGCTGAGCTAGATACAACTGGTCCAGGTCTATTGTTTTTGCATTTCCATTGAGAGATATTAATATATGGGGGAATTGACAATTTATAAATGCAATGTTGTTCAAGCTAGACTGATGAGGGCAACTAACATCATTGGTTTGCAATATCAGGAAGTGTTAACATTCAGTATAAGTGACTAAGGTGTATTCGATTTAACACGTAGGCTTTCGTGACCAATTTTATTCATAATAAAGTTTTTTGGGTTAGATCGCACAAGTATAAATGTGTCGTAACCCTCCACCACCCGACACAGCCAATTAGTAAGGGATTTGTCACGTAAACAAAATGCCAATTAGTGACTACTTCAGCCCACCGGTGTGCTGGAGAATAAATCCACAACATTTACAATTTGAGTACGACGTTTTTGCTGGTAATTACATCCAGGATCATGGGGCAATTTGCCATAATAATGAAGCCATCCACCTGCTTCCGGTCTTAAATAGAGCAAGACGACGTCATCACTGAACCCATCAAATGTATTCATTGTACTGTACATAGGACAACATAACCACATGGTTCCTATTCATTTTCAGTTAACTCCCCAAATACCTGTCCATCTGATTCACAAGTTTATGCTTAACTGTAAATCATGTAATTACTTAACTTGCTGTTGTGTTTGACATATGTCCTGTCTGTTTGTATACTAGTTCAATAATCACCCTGCTTGTATTTTTGTTTCTGTAACTTGATTGTACCTTGAACAGTTTATAAAAGGGATTTGTCCAAGTCAACTTTCAATGCATTTAATTTCATATTTGTTTGTGTTTGTGAAGGTATTTTCCACTTTTTCTGAAATACGGTTGTTTTTTTTGCTCTAATTCATATTTAGTTGCGTTTACTATCATTTATATTTGCGTCATTGCTGTTGTTTTTTCACGTCTTTTCTTTTGGTCATTCCGGTGATCTCGGTCACTCTTGCAAAGAGAGACTCATTCCTGGTCCCGCGAGTTCTTACCTGGTTAAACAAAATCATCTAAAACCCTATTTGTCCGATGCTATGTTGTGTTTTTTTTTATCCTCTCCAGAGAATGTAACTGCCTGCGTGGACATCAACGAGTGCAATATAACCTCACCGACTGTTTGTGGAGAAGGATCAAATTGCTCAAACAGTGATGGTTCATATCAATGCTTGTGTAACCCGGGTTACTATTACAACAACACCCTCAGCAGTTGCTTGGATTTGGATGAGTGTGCTACCAATCAGTACAACTGCAGTGCCAATTCCATTTGCAAAAACACCGTGGGGTCTGTGGAGTGCCAGTGCGTTGCTGGCTATGAGAGTGAGTTATTTTGCTTTATTTTTCCATTTTTGATTAACAAAGAAAGCTCAACACATTTGCGAATAACACCGCCTTGAAAGGAGAAGTTATATACCTCTGCTCTTATGCTCATGGATGGGCCCACATTGGGGGAAACAACCCTGGTAACGATACATTGAGTGGTATAACTGCAAATGTGTTATTGGTGTATATCATGTATTATTGTGTCCGTCCGTCGTGCAGGGAGGGGCTGCGTGGGGAGGGAGGGGCTGGGTGCGGAGGGTGGGGCTGGGTGGGGAGGGGAGGGTGGAGAGGGGTTGGGTGGGGTGGGTGGGGAGGGTGGGAGGGGCTGTGTTGTTTATGCCGGATTATGAAATTTTGATAAAAATTAATAAAATTTCGAAAAATGCGTAAATCGCATGAATTATGATAATGTATGTAATTATATGCATAAATTATGATAATCACGGATATTATCGTATTGATTTATGCGGATGCTTGCGATTGTGTTAATGTGTGCAGTTATGATAATTAGGCTTAGCTTCGTTATCCAGAGTTGTATCAATCAGGATAAAACGATTATCTTTGATCAAACATTTATTGATTATCTTAGTGTGTTTATGTTATGTTAGGTCTCCAACTTCATATCTCATCGCAGGTAACAGTTCTTATAAATAAGACAGTTTTGCATGGACTGGGAAAGAAGCACTCGAACACTTGGTGTTAAGCAATTTTAATTCTAAACAAACATATGACACTCTAATATGCAAAGACAAAAGTATACGTCATTAGATTCATCGGCAAGATTATGCAATTAACGAAAATAAATGACTAAAACATTTCTTATTCATGTAACTCGACGGCAGCAACTGCTTTGCACGATCAGTTGATATTGAACGCACCACCCTGAAATGGCAACCCTTTTTGAAACACAAATAACTTTTTGAAAGTCTTATTCGTGTGCGTGTTGTGTGTGCGTTGTCCCCTTTGCAAAATTAATTATTTTTTTAGAGCCGGGAGAGGTGTCTTAGCTTGTGGGTGGGGGAGGATACAACCAGCTCTTTAGAGGTTCCTCTCGCTTGGGCGTGGCCACAGCGAGCCCGTGCTGTCTCCCTCGCTCGGGCGTGTCTCTGCTCGTGCGCGTCTCTCTTTCCACTGCTCGATTGAGCGGCGTTGGCACGACGCTCGCCGTCGTGGTGCGCGATGATTCCGTCGTCGGATAGCGCGCAGCTCCTCCACGAGTCGGCACGACGCTCGGTGACGCCCGAGTCGTGCTGCTCGTGCGCTCTCTCTACTGCTAGATGAGTGGCGTCGGCACGACGCTCGCCGACGTGGTGCGCGATGATTCCGTCGTTGCTGCTGGACGTCTTGTCTGTTCTCACTGGGTGTTGGTTGGTGTGTGTGTATCAAACACACGGCGCATTCGATGGCGCTCTCTCTCTCTTGGTGGCAGCTCCAAGCTTCTCCACTGCTGGATGATTGTTGAGTCGGCACGATGCTCGCCTTCGGCGGTGTGGGATGGTATCGTCGTCGCTCTCTCCTTGATCGCTGCCAACTTCACACGGACACCCGCCCTTACTTCAGGCTGTGTTGGCTCAGGCTCTGGGCGACGCGGCTGTGCGCGCTCACCGGCTTGGAGCGCTCTGGCGATGAACGATGGCTCTTGTTACTCATCCGCTGCTGCTCGTCTTTTTCGATGCTCGCTTGGTCGACGCTTGGCGATTTTCACCCTTCCTACAGGTTGTGATTGCTTGTCGTCACTCGTCACTCTCTCTTCTCCGTGCTTTCCTTTGTTCGTGCAGCTGCCAGCTTCACTCGCTCTTAACCACATCTCGTCACTTCGTTCTGCGAGAAGCGACACCTGCCATCGGTATCGGTGTTTGCTCCCTCACGATGCTCCGCCAGCCGGAGCACGGCTGAACCCAGCCTCGACCCAGGTTGAACTCAGATTTATGCGACTCGAACGACCCCTCCTCGTTCCATCTCTTCTCGAGGCACGACGCGCCCCAACTCCCTTGCGAGCCCCGTCGCAACGCTGCGTCGCAAGCCGAGTTGCAAGACTGAGCGCGACTCGAACCAGACTGCTCACTCTTCTGCGCGTTTGTGCCTAACTCAAAAACGTGAACACCCTCTCCTCTCTGCGCGTCTCTTGCAAGAGGAAAACAAACAACAAACCGAGAGAGAAGAACTAGACACCCTTGCGACCCCTCCTCGCGACCTTTTCTAACCCCCTAAGTATTTATGGGCCATCTGTTTGTGCCGGACCGTTTGAGACAAAGGTGGCTGAGGAGATTTTTGCATTACATTTATGTGGTCCTGTGTGTTACATTTATTCTTGATATTTCTTATGAGTTCCCTCGGTCTTAGTATATCGTGGTTATTATTCGGTCTATGAATATTCGTAACATCATTATTTTGAGGGCTTTGCCAAGTTTGGTTATGCGTTTCTTTCCAGGGATTGGTGTTTATTCTGAGTTATATTTTAATGTCCTGAGGTTAAGTGTAACTAAGTTTCCACTTAAGCTTTCTGGAATACGTATTCTTTAGTTTTTGGTAAGGTCATGCAGATAGAAACATACAATACAAAATAATCAATCTGCGATGAATACGAGTAATATAAGGGAATATCTAATAACAAGCCCCTATTGTTTGCTGGTTAATTCTTTTGTTAAGTTTCTACTTTTCTTCTTGGAAAACGTTAAAGAAAACGCGAGTTGCAATAGTTGTTTTTCTCTGCTCTGCACCTTATCCGTGCATCTCCAGACGTCTTGGGAAGGTCAAGCCATCGACCTTTTGTCCATCTGGATGTCTCTGACCTCTCTGTGCTCTGAAATCTTGCCACTTAATGGCCCTCCCCATTTCACAGATTCCTGGTGTGCTTGTGAGGAGTAGAGGCTGTTTTCATTATTTAATTAAATATATATCTATGTAAAAAAACATTTTTTATTCTTAATAATACTTTTTTTTTTTTAGAAAAGGGGCACAGATACAACAGCTGGGTGTGGAGGGTGGGGCTGGGTGGGGGGTGGGAGGGGTGGGGCTGGGTGGGGAGGGGCTGGTCACCCCGTGGTGCCCTTATAAAACTCAACGTTTAACCTACTCACGCCGGCTTGTGCCCGCCCTCACAGTCGGGCATATTTGCGGAATACACCACGCCGCCGTTGACCCTGGCCATTGACCGAGCAACCCAACGTTCCTACCAGCTCCCTCCACAGGAATGTGTTTGTTATATGCCATGCCCACGTGTTACAACGATTGTTGACATCCCACTAAGTGGTATTCATGTTATCAGTCCAAGAGTGATAAAAATGGATTTGCACTTAAAAGAGTTTGTGTCCACCTAACTAAGGTGGACACATCCATCACTTAGATAATGTTTATACCTACATGGCAAAAAATATGTAGATGTGTTTAATTATCTTAGACATGTGATTGTAAATCATGAACCCAGAATTGCAGTGGTGGCATATGTAACCAGGTAAGTTGCAAGCCAGTGTTAATGTGCCTTGGTAGTTCAATATCTTTGCATATTAATTAACCACTCTAGTTATAATTTTCTAGCACTATAATAACGGCGGGCTACGGCCACCTTATTATCGCTCCTGCGGAGGGCTTCTCAGCGCTTCGCGCCTCGCCCATCACCCCCACTGGTGTCCGCTTCTTCCCCCCCAAATGTGTGCAGATACTACTGACTATATTGTATGTAGAGTGTGTTTAACAACTGCAGCTACATACTATTAACATTCCTTTTTCCTTCGTTAATGCTACCCCCCTTCCCCCTCCATTTGATGCTGCTAATCCTGCATAATTCACGGGCATAATATTAATTTGCAACCCCCCCGCCCACCTCCTACGCATTTTCCATATGCTAAATTCCTCTTGATATGCAAATTATTTTGTCTAGGCGCTCTTCTTCCCCCCCCCCTCCAACCCAGCTTAAATATACGCTCCAAGCTTGGTGGTATTTCATTCTTCACCTGAGGACGGCTGCTTGCGTTGTGGCCGAAACTTCGTGAGAATTATTTTATTAGGTTTTATTATTTTATTATTTTCCTTCTACGTGACTTTACCGAAAGAACCAAGAAGATGAATCCCTGCAGTCACGAAAGCTTTAAATAGAAATCATATTGAGTTGCTTTTACTATAATTTATATTTGCGTCATTCCTGTTGTTTGTTTTACATCATTGCTTTTGGTCATTCCTGTGACCTCGGTCACTCTTGCAAAGAGACTCATTCCTGGTCTCTCGAGTTCTCACCTGGTTAAACAAAATCATCTAAAACCCTATTTGTCCATGCTATGTTGTGTTTTTTTTTCCTATCCAGGGAATGTAACTGCCTGCGTGGACATCAACGAGTGCAATCAAACCTCACCGACTATTTGTGGAGAAGGATCAAATTGCTCCAACAGTGATGGTTCATATCAATGCTTGTGTAACCCGGGTTACTATTACAACAACACCCTCTGCAGTTGCTTGGATTTGGATGAGTGCGCTACCAATCAGTACAACTGCAGTGCCAATTCCATTTGCAAAAACACCGTGGGGTCTGTGGAGTGCCAGTGCGTCGCTGGCTATGAGAGTGAGTTATTTAGCTTTGTTTTTCCATTTTTCATTAACAAAGAAAGCTCAACACATTTGTGAATAACACTGCCTTAAAAGGAGAAGTTATATACCTCTGCTCTTGTTCTCATGGATGGGCCCACATTCGGGGAAACAACCCTGGTAACGATACATTGAGTGGTATAACTGCAAAGGTGTTATTGGTATATCCTGTCAAATGCGTTATTGGTATATTCCATGATCACGTGTTACAACCTCTGTTGACATCCCACAAAGTGGTATTCATGTTATCAATCCAAGAGTGATAAAAATGGATTTGCACTTGAAAGAGTTTGTGTCCACCTAGCTAAGGTGAACACATCCATCAACTAGACAGATGTTTATACCTACATGGCAAAAAATACATAGAACAAAAGAGTATGGAACATTGCATTCACGAAAACTTAAGATCTAAACTGATACGTAGATTTGTTTAATTATCTTAGACATGTGATTGTAAATCATGAACCCAGGATTGCAGTGGTGGCATATGTAACCAGGTAATTTGCAAGCCAGTGTTAATGTGCTTTGGTAGTTGAATACCTCTGCATATTAATTAAGCATTATAGTTAGAATTTTCTAGCTCTAGAATTTCGGCGGGCTACGGCCGCCTTATTCTCGCTCCTGTGGAGGGCTTCTCAGCGCTTTGCGCCTCGCCCATCACCCCCACTGGTGTCCGCTTCTTCCTCCCCAAATGTGTGCAGATACTACTGACTGTATTGTATGTAGAGTGTGTAGGCATGTATATGCCTACACACAATACATTTCTTTTTTGGACAATTTTTGGAACCCTGTTGGATCAACTGTTTACACCCACGTCTGGGGGGATCCACTAACTTCTTGATTCAGGCCTTCTGAAAGGATCTTATAATTTAGTTGACGGACAAACCGAATGCTGAGCTAGATACAACTGGCCCAGGTCTATTTTTTTGCATATCCATTGAGAGATATTAATATATGGGGTGACTGATAATTTATTAATGCAATATGTTGTTCAAGCAACACTGGTGAGAGCAACTAACATCTTTGGTTTGCACTATCAAGAAGTGTTAACATTCAGTATAAGTGACTAAAGTGTATTCGGTTTAACACGTAGGCTTTCGCGACCAATATTATTCATAATAAAGGTTTTTGGGTTAGATCGAATCAGTATAAATGTGTCGAAACCCTCCACCACCCGACACAGCCAATTCGTAAGGGATTTGTCACGTAAACAAAACGCCAATTAGTTACTACTTCAGCCCACCAGTGTATTGGAGAATAAATCCACAAAATTTACAATTTGAGTGCCACGTTTCGCTGGCAATTACATCGAGCATCATAGGGTGATTTTCCAGAATAGTGAAGCCATCCACCTGCTTCCGGTCTTAAATAGAGCAAGACAACGTCATCACTGAACCCATCAAATGTATTAATTGTACTGTACATAGGACAACATAACCACATGGTTCCTATTCATTCTCAGTTAACTCCCCAAATACCTGTCCATCCGATTCACAAGTTTATGCTTAACTGTAAATCATGTAATTACTTAACTTGCTGTTGTGTTTGACATATGTCCTGTCTGTTTGCATACTAGTTCAATAATCACCCTGCTTGTATTTTTATGTTTCTGTAACTTGATTGTACCTTGAACAGTTTATAAAAGGGATGTGTCCAAGCCAACTTTCAATGAATTTAATTTAATATGTTTATGTTTGTGAAGTAATTTTCCACTTTTCTGAAATACGGTTGTTTTTTTTCTTCTCTAATTCATATTTAATTGCTTTTACTAGGATGTATATTTGCATCATTGCTGTTTGTTTTCCATCATTGCTTTTTGTCATTCCGGTGACCTCGGTCACTCTTGCAAAGAGAGACTCATTCATGGTCACTCGAGTTCTCACCTGGTTAAACAAAATCATCTAAAACCCTATTTGTCCGATGCTATGTGTTTTTTTATCTTCTCCAGAGAATGTAACTGCCTGCGTGGATATCAACGAGTGCAGTCAAACCTCACCGACTGTTTGTGGAAAAGGATCAAATTGCTCAAACAGTGATGGTTCATATCAATGCTTGTGTAACCCGGGTTACTATTACAACAACACCCTCAGCAGTTGCTTGGATTTGGATGAGTGCGCTACCAATCAGTACAACTGCAGTGCCAATTCCATTTGCAAAAACACCGTGGGGTCTGTGGAGTGCCAGTGCGTCGCTGGCTATGAGAGTGAGTTATTTTGCTTTGTTTTTACATTTTAAATTAACAAAGAAAGCTCAACACATTTGTGAATAACACTGCCTTAAAAGGAGAAGTTATATACATCTGCTCTTATGCTCATGGATGGGCCCACATTGGGGGACACAACCCTGCTAACTTTCTAGATTTGAAGTTTTCGTCACTGCAAGGATCCATACTCTTTGGTTCTTACGGTAAAGTCACGGTAAGTCACCTACGTGCAAAGGTGTTATTGGTGTATATCACGTCAAATGCGTTATTGGTATATTCCATGCCCACGTGTTACAACCATTGTTGACATCCCACTAAGTGGTATTCATGTTATCAAGCCAAGTGATAAAAATGGATTTGCACTTAAAATTTTGTGCCCACCTAGCCAAGGCGGACACATCCACCATCCAGACAGATGTATATACCTACACGGCAAAAAAATATATAGTATATAAAACCACGACATTTCAGGCAGAGATACTTTGTTCTATGAAAAAGGACCATTGCCTAAAAACGTCGCCCATGATATGTCTCCTTTTAAGGCGTTGGTATTGACAAATGCGTTGAGGTTTATGTATTCGTCAATTGTCCTTGTTCATCTCTGCGAATGCGGCAGCACCCAATTATGATTAATCCACGTATGTTGGTGAACATTGACGACTGATACATGACACTGTTTTAAATATTGGCTATATACCTAGACCAATTAAGGACATGGCTTCAGCAGTGAATGAGCATTCCTAATCTTGTTATTATTAATGTATTTGTCAAATTAACCTCAGAGTGACGTTATTTTATGGCCAGAACAATTATTACGACGATAGATAATCACACAATTGGCCAAAATTGGAATAATGCTGTCATATCTGGGGTAGAGAATGCAGCTCTTCCTTCGCAGCACGTGACAGAAATTAACATAAAGCAGTCAGGCGAGTTGACGATCCAGCACTCGCCGATTCACTCCAATCACTCGCTCGGTCACCACTCGCTCACCGAACTATTTTGTCTCATCCATGATATGCGTTTCGTGTATTTGACTGCTATACATTTCCACGTGATAAGCCACTTAGTTGAACTATCATGTGTGGCCAGGTCACTTCTGAAAAAGAGCTACATCAGTCAGTTGGCCTCACCTGATTAAATAGAAATAGTTTCTATGTTCAACCACCACCACACTGCGGGTCAAACACATTTTTAAAATCACCTTTCTTTCTGCTTTTTCCCTTTCACTGCTTGACTTTCAAATTCCTTACAATCGACTCTTTTATAATAACCGTGCTCAATTAGTGAAACACGTAAACGCTTGTTTATTACAACTTTAATAGTTTTGTTGCATGTGGGTCTCTGGGCCTGTGGTCAACCCATTTAATAAACAAAAATGTATCTCATTCCTGCCTTGCTGCGATTGTTTTATTTAAAATATATGCTGTAAATGATGTTGTACATTTATTGATTGTTTAATAATTGGCAATGTTTGGTCCTCACCAGAAAACGGAATCAATTGTGTGGACATCGATGAGTGTAAAAGTATGACTTGTCCTCAAAACGAAAAATGCGACAACATCCCGGGCACATACAAGTGCAACTGCAGCGATGGTTATAAGCGTAAGTGTTCTGAGTGTGCTCAGTATTGTGAACAATGTTTACTGACACATAGGCTGATGTTACAAATCCACACCTTTTTAGGTGGTATGCACATTTCAAAAGCGCGAGTCATATTATCCCAACTAAGATTTGATTCACAAAATTTGGAAGAAAAACCTGACTGAAACGCAATAATTAGATCTATAACTTCACTGTAATGTTTAACTCAGAAAACAGCTGACGTGTTTACAATATTCTAGAATTCACAATTGGGTTTACGAGGTTGAGCATGCGAGGGAACGACTACACGAGCTCATGATTTGATTTCAGGAGAAGCACAAGTTGTGGACTCTTTACTTGAAACGGGCTTTTTTCTGCTAATTACAACTTAGAATGTAGACATTTTGAGCTTGAGATAATTGTATGAATCAACAGAGGAGCATGACCAAGAACGAAGATAATTAAAATTAATTAATGAGGTGGGAACAGTAGAGCCAATGCAGATGATCTAGCCGTGTGCCATCATCATTGAAATGGTTAATCAGAGTAATCCTCACCAATATGAGGGCAATTATTTCGTCCACGTGACTGATAAACATTTTATTCACTATATGTCTAACTGTTTTGCTTGTGTGTCATTTAACAGGCGATGGACAGGACTGTGTGCCTTTGAATTGCAATCAGACTGCCTGTATCGCGGGATATTGTAAGAATGGGGGAACATGCTATAATACACCTTTCTGCAACGCCAGTTGCACGTGCCAAGCATCGTACGAGGGTATCGATTGCCAGTATGGAAAAACAACTGTCAACGCAAGCTTTAAAGCAGGTAATTTGCGTTGTACAAATATAGCTCGTCGGGGTCCTACGATTCCTCTGGCCTAATTTGTTTAAACACTGAAATGCAATGATTTGAGATGTGACGTGTTCAATGGGTAACGCTTCCGAGTACTTAAATAATTCCAATGATTTAAGGCAAATGTTGAGATGTAAGTTTTCTTTGTGGGCTAATGTGGCTGTTGACCCGAGAACGTTAGCTATCGCGGCAAGTTCAGCTCGTAGATTCCGCTATCAACGAACATGTGAGCCCTCCCTCCTAACTCTGCCACAACTCATTTGTTAAAGCTGCGAGCAAGAGTGAAAACACGGGATAATTGCATTTTATTCTCTCACATGGAAGCAATGTAAACATTTATTTAATCAGTCGCATCTAATGTGTAATCTAATTTATATAGTGCCTTGACCAAGGCGCTTTACAGAGAATTAAGCACGGTACCTATGAAGTTAGTAGTGGAAGACGAGGTGAATAAAATAGAATGGGTGAATCTGTGATGCGTGAAATCGGTGAAAGCGAAATTGATGACTGTGATGGATTGAGTGCAATATGGAATGAGTGCAATATTATTGGTTTTAATATACATTGTGAAACCTTAATACAATTTATTTTCCACAACGTCCCATGGAATGTAATCCATCAAATTGTATTCCGCACAGCAGGTGGAACGCAAAATGAATTAAATTGTTTCAATTAAATGCATTTTGCAACAACACTTATATTATTGTATTGTGATCCATAAACTGGACGAGAGGATGTAATAGTTTTACATTGCCTGGACAGTAGAACCCCTCTTAACGAGCACCCCAAACGACAGGACCTCCATAGAGCCCAATGTCTAGTGTATAGTAGTGAAGTGTATAGTGTAATGTGTGGTGTTTAGTAGTGTATTGTTTAATAGTGTAGAGTAGAACCCCTCTTAACGACCACCTCTGTTAACGATTAATCGCTTCACGATGGGCCTCCATAGAGCCAATTATGTATTGTATAGTGTAGTGTATAGTAGTGTAATGTAATAGTAGTGCAGTGTATAATAGTGTAGTGCCTCCATAGAGCCCAATGTGTTTGCTTACCGACAAATGTTAACGATGGGCTGTTGTAGCTACAGCAAATATTAATTGATACATCGTTCCACTTTATACACTCGTGACAGGACAGTAATACCTCGATGTATTTCCCCTCTTCCCCCCCCCCTTTTAACGTCGCTTCGCAAACTACGTCGTCACTTTATAATTATTAACACCACCGCCTGATTAGCGTCGCTCAAACCCCCCCACACGCTTACGTCGCGCTGACAACATTGTCTGCCCCTCTTGCTATCCGTCGCTCCTTGGCTTTCGCCCTCCCGCGGATCGCTTCGATTGACGTCGTTTCGATATTCGTCGCACCGACATTGCACCGGGGTGTGACTGCACGCGTCAATGAACGAGTGCCCCCCCCCCACCCACCATGCCCAACAGATCTCCACCCCTGGATATTGCGTGGCACCCCCCTTCCCCACCAACCACTACTCCAGCCCTTTTCCCCACTCCCGGGCACCTTTCCCCAAGCCCAACAACAACAACGAACACCGCTGTTCGCCACTTAAGTGTTGGTGGCGTCACCACGGGGGTTTTGCGCCACGTGAAGTGTCGAAGGCACGCTGGCAAGGAAGGTCACGGAACGGGTATCACGTGGTGCTATGGGTTGACTAAGATGACTGCGAAACCCACGTGCACCCTTCCATCCCCTCCTTGTGCTGGCCGGCGGGTGGCCTCCAGCCAATGGTTGACAAAGCTGTTCCATTTTTGTATAATTGGATGAATTTTACTTCGTGTAATAATTGAGGGTGGAGCAGGTGGCACTTTGCTTAGCGTGCAGCACCAGGAACCCTGTGACACTAAGTTCCAATTCCCGTCCACGGCTAACATTGGCCATTGATAGGACCAATTGTGTCCTCTGCTTCATAAACCCGCAATGACCAGTGCGGTGAGGTATCGTCGAAAAACCCCCATGAGTGATATTACATGGTGAGGCCTTTATTCAATTGTTGATTGAAAACAGCTGGATAAAAAAAAGATACATTACTCGACTACACACGTGTTATATTAACTCGAAATGTTGCTTTATCCAATTAATTGAATGTATCCCAAACATCACAAACAATAGTCAAGTATGGTATATAAGTATAACACTCATTTACGTTTTACAGGTACTCCAAAGTTGAAAGTCTTCATGGGACTTAACTACAGCATTTCATCAACACCCACAGATCAAATTGCTAATTTGGTCTCAAATCACGTAAGTGAATGGTGTAAATACGTTTAATTTCAAATGTTTCTGAAACAGTATTAATGTTACGTGTTTGTGTTCTGTGCCATAACTTAAATATAACATATTCTTAGGTTTTATCGGTAAAATCACGTAGGTAAAAAATTAAAATTAATACAATAAAAAATAAAAATAAAAAAAATCACGACGTTTCGGAGGCAACACAAGTTTCCGTCTTCAGGTGGAACCGTCACAGCACGATAGCTGTATCAAGTGAGAGAAATTCCAAAAAAACAGTCCTTGTATATATACTGGTTGAGGGTGGGAGGAGCCAAGGTAGGCCCTGAATATTATTTTTGTGAGGTTCGGTGCGGCTGAAGCACGCTGTTAGGAATGAGCCTTTGTTGTGTAAACTAGGTGCGGATGATGTAAAGGTGTGTGCAAATGGGACTGAGCCTTTTGTTATGTAGAAGTGATGTGGCTTAAATCGCTGCCAGGAAATTAGTCTTTCTTGTGTAGAATGGTTGACTGAGCCTTTGTTACGTAGAGGTGGTGTGGCTGAAATCACTGCCAGGAATGCTCCAAATATGTGTAGTTAAATCTTTTTTGCATGGTTAATAACATCTTTCCAATGATTACTAAGTTTGTACCCATCATCACGGTTGAAATTATGTCTGTGTTTGTATATTTGGATGGCCTCGTGTACAAACCTTTGATGGTAGCCAGGAGGCTTGCAGAGTTCCTTGGTCTCGAAAAAGACAATTTCATGAGAACCCACAGCGTTATAGCAATGATCGGCAACGGTGGAAGAATCAGTTTTGCCGTGTTTCAGATATGACTTGTGCTCGCGGACACGATCAGAGATATGACGTTTCGTTTCTCCAATGTAGCAATCACCACAACTGCAACTCAGCTTGTAGACTCCAGGGTATTTTAAGTCAGGAATGACATCTTTCACAGATGGAATTAGATCACAGATTTTATGTACTGTACTGAATCGGACTTGGATCTTATGTTTGTTTAGAATTTTGGAGATCTTTTTGGTCACGCCTGTTATGTATGGCAACGTGATAGTTTTGATCGGAGTTTCAAGTGGCTGTTTCTGTATGGTGGGAGAAACAGCTTGGCGGATGGTGCGGTCAGAGTATCCGTTCATCCTGAGGGCCCGATGTACATGTCTTAATTCACTGGCCAGGTGGTGTTGGTCAGAAATTCCATGAGCTCTGCGGTATAGCGTTTTGATGAGAGAATTATTTTGAGATGGGTGGTGGTGGGAATCAGGTTTCAAGTAGGAATCTGTGTGGGTGGCTTTCCTGTATACAGAATGTCCCAAGGATCCGTCAGGTCTCCTCTCAAACAGAATATCTAAGAATGGTAGTTTACCATCTTTTTCCACTTCCATGGTGAATCTGATGGATGGGTGTCTGGAATTGATGTGGTCCAAGAAGTGGTTCAATGCTGGGAGGCCATGTGGCCAAATGACGAAAGTGTCATCCACATACCTCTTCCACAGGGATGGACGCAGGGTGGATGTGTGGATAGCGTCTGATTCAAACCTTTCCATGAACATGTTGGCTATCACTGGTGACCAGGGAGAGCCCATAGGGGTGCCCTCATTCTGTTTGTAGAAGGTGCCATTGCCTAACCAGCGCAGATACATCCGAATTCAATCCATGGTGGACCAAGTCCTCAATTATTGTTATTATTATTGTTAGTGTGTCAGGTACTGGGACTTTTTAAGCCGCATCACTTCTACATAACAAAAGGCTCAGTCCCATTTGCACACACCTTTACATCATCCGCACCTAGTTTACACAACAAAAGCTCATTCCTAACAGTGTGCTTCAGCCGCACCGAACCTCACAAAAATAATATTCAGGGCCTACCTTGGCTCCTCCCACCCTCAACCAGTATATATGTAATGCGGGCGCGGGCGACCTCCCGGATGTGACGTCACGGAGAGGTGGAGTTAGGTGACGTGGGAGGAAAGGTTAAGGTTCTTAAGGGAGGAGACCGGAAGAGGAAGGGAGAACGAGTGGGACTGGACCAGAGTAAGGCCACGTGGGCAAAGCCAAGGGGTGGCAGCGGCGGCCAGCGGTGGCCAGCTAAGGGAGCAGCCAGCGGAGCTGCGAGAGAAGACAGCGGTGGGGCGGCTGGAGAGAAGGCGGACGAGGAGCTGCGGGGAACACAGCCGGCGAGGCTGTGTGTGAGGGAGAGGCTACGAGAGCGACGAGAGGAGAGAGAGGCTGAGAGAACGACGAGGGGAGACACTGCAGGAGAGCAGTATCAGTGTCAGTATAGAGTCTTATAGAAGGACAGCCGTGCGGGTTAAGAGAGAAGAACCGAATAAAGGACACCAAGCCAGACATCGTGGTCGAGTCCTTTATTACATTGGTGTCGGAAGTGCAACGGCATGTCGAAACAAGTGAGAAAGAAAAATGTTCCAGCGCCGGCATCGGCTTCTTCGTCCGAAGACGAAGACTTCCCTCCAAACATGGATCCTGCCAGGGTGGTGGAGGAGAGCCCTGCTGAAACGAGTGCGGGGACGGGAGTGGAAGATGTAGCCACAGTGTCAGGGCCGCCGACACCATCAGACGCTGATCGGCGATGGCTGCAGGTGGCTGAGCAACTGGAGACTCTCAAGGACGCCCTGGGCCAATTGTGTCATCTCGTCACCCCAAGCACGGCGACGGAGAGAGCGGAGAGTGCTCCACAGGCCGCCACGGGTTCTTCACTCCCGGCGCCATGGGCCACGCGGCAGGAGGCCGCCATCTTGCGCGTGCCGCGGCGGGAATCCGCCATCTTGACCACGCCGCGATTCGACGCCATTTTGAATTTGCCTCCGGAGGAACCATCGGCGGAGGGCGGAGTGAAGCGAAGTCGGAGTCGCCATCTCACCACGGTCAAGGAATTCGCCATTGGGGGCGACTGGAGCGCTTTCGCCTGCAGATTTTTAGCGGCGGTCCGTTCTGCGAGATGGACCGATGCTGAGGCCTTGGAAGTGTTGCCGACTCTTCTGGACGACGAATCTGTTCGTTTTTTTCGCTCCATTAAGGCCGAGAAGAAGAGGACATTATATGGAGTTTTTCAAGAAATGGCCGACGCCTACGAGCCACCTGACGACGCGCATCGGCGATTCGCTCAACGACAACGAGCGCCCGAGGAGTCGCCTGTGGCGTACAGGGGTGCAGTGCTTGATTTGGCTATGGCCGCGTATCCAGATACAACACCTGACCTGCTCGAGCCTCTCATCTTGGGCAAGATGCTCGAGCTGTCGCGGGATCTTGGGATTCCCATGCCGGTGTGCGGGCATGAGAAGCTCACCTCCCGGGCGGCGGCGAAATGTCTGGATGCACAATTCAACCTACGACGATGGAAACAGGTCACGGCGTGGACAGGGGGGCCCGTCGCGGAGGGTGGCGCTCTGGGTTGGGACCCTACGAAGTCGGTATACGTGCCGGATGAGCGGGGCCCTCAGGAGCTGACGGCCGCCTCGGTGCCATGGTCAGGCCGCGGTGGACCGGCCTCTCGTGCTGCACCGCCGATACGCGGGCGGCGCGATGCAAGGCCTGCGCTTCGGCGCAACGACGCCGATTGCTTCCGCTGCGGACGGAAGGGCCACTACGCGAAGGACTGCTGGGCCCGCATCCCGGGTCCGCCACAACAGGAGGCCTCATTACCGGCCAAGCCGCCCAAGGATCCACCGAAACAGGCAAGTCGGCACGCACCAGACACCCGGCAAGGCTTTACACCTCACCCATCACCTTCGTTGTGCGGTCATAGTGTTGTTGTTAAAGAGGGACCTTCGACGGGGCCTTGTCGCTCTGTGACGCAGTGGCGCAAATTGGCACGGAGGGTTGTTGCGGCCGCTACGGGTTCGTCCACCGTGCCGGGGTCTATACAAGGGGTGGACGTGCGCATTTTGGTCGATTCCGGGGCGTCCGCGACTATTATTTCGGATGTCATTTTTCATCTGTTAGGCATCCCACCCGGGGCCGTGCGTCCGGTTTACGGGTCGTGCGTCGCTGCGAACGGGGGTAGTATGGGCATCGTGGGCCAGGTGGACGCTAAAATATCTATTGGGGATGTGTCGGCCTCGGGCGTTGTGTTGATTTCAAGATCCTTGGCAGTTCCCTGTTTATTGGGCACTGATTTTCTGGCTAAGATGCCTATTTTGATCAAAATTAATGAGAATTGTATTGAACTGCCGGGTGGCCGTCAAATTTCGTTTCTGCCGTCGCCCTGGGGGCGACCTGCTTCGGCCGTACAAGTGCAGGCGCTATCCGTGGCATCTGTTGATATTCCACCTGGTTCACAGATGCTTATTCCCCTGCGGTATCGGAAGCCCCTGCCTGGTCGGCTGGGAGCGGTTGGGATCTTGTTGTCACCTTCAGCCTCGATAACGGCCGGATCGGCGCTGGTCGGAGCGCAGACCATCGTCCGGCCAGATCAATTACCGTTTTTGCAGGTGCTCAATGCGGGTACGGAAAATGTCTGTGTCCCAGCCGGCACGGTTGTGGCACATGCCACCACGGCATTTACGGCTCACGATTGTTCGCATAGCCAGGGAGTGGTTGCTGGTGTTTCCGAGCCTGTGGTTTCGGATGACCGCTGGATTGCTAGCTTATGTGACGGAAATTCTTCCCTGTCTGTGGATCAACGGGGTGCGCTTCATAAATTGTTATTGACGTATTCCGATGTGTTTAGCTCCAATGATTTGGATTTGGGACGCACCTCATTGCTTCACCATCACATTGCTACAGGCGACGCTGCCCCTATTCGGTTGAATTCGCACCGAATGAGTCCGGCCGAGCGAGAACACGTTCGGGGGGCAGTGGAGGATATGTTGGCTGCGGATATTATATCACCGTCGAACAGCCCATGGGGCGCGCCTGTGGTTTTGGTTAAGAAAAAGGATGGCAAATTGCGATTCTGTGTTGACTTTCGAAAATTGAATAAGATATCGGTGGCAGATGCGTATCCCCTGCCGCGTATGGACGACTCCCTCGACGCATTGTCGGGGGCTAAGTATTTCTCTACACTGGACCTCTCTTCGGGATTTTGGCAGCTTCCCCTTGACGAGCCCTCACGGGAGAAGACCGCATTCCGTACGCCGCAGGGGTTGTTTCAATTTAACTGCCTTCCGATGGGGCTGAATGCGGCCCCTGCCACATTTCAAAGGCTCATGGAACTCGTTTTGACGGGGTTGCAGTGGGAGACATGTCTCATATATTTGGACGATATCATCGTCTTCAGCCGCACATTTGATGAACATTTAAGGCGGCTGGAGACGGTGTTCGCGAGGATGCGCTCCGCGAACTTGAAATTTAAACCAAAGAAATGTCACCTACTGCAACGGTCCGTCCGTTATTTGGGGCACATCGTGAGTGCTGAGGGGGTGTCTACGGACCCGGAAAAAACGGCGTGCGTCCGAGATTGGCCGACTCCGGTCACCGTGGGGGATGTACGTCGCTTTCTGGGATTTGCCTCGTATTATCGAAGATTTGTACCGAATTTTGCGACCATCGCGAGGCCCTTGCACCTCCTTACGGGTAAGGGACGTAAGTTTGCGTGGGGACCGCCGGAAGAGGCGGCCTTTCAGAGTCTGCGTAATCTGTTGGCTACCGCCCCAACATTGGATTATCCGGATTTCAATCAACCGTTCATTCTTGATACGGATGCGAGCGACACAGGTATTGGCGCGGTGTTGTCTCAGTCTAAAGGGGGCGTAGAGCGCGTCGTTGCGTATGGTAGCCGGGTCCTGTCGCCCGCGGAAACACGCTACTGTGTCACTCGCAGGGAACTCTTAGCCGTTGTTTTTTTCCTACGTCAGTTTCGACCGTACCTGTACGGCCGTTCCTTTATCGTACGTACGGATCATGCGGCCTTGCAATATGCCCTTAAAATGGATCAACCTTCCGGCCAGCTGTCGCGTTGGTTGGACACGCTGCAAGAATTTTCATTTCAAATTCACCATCGTAAAGGGGTGCGCCATGCGAACGCAGACGCACTTTCTAGGTTGCCGCAGCGCTCCCCTTGCAAATGTGCGTCGGGGACGCAGAGATGTGCGCCCAGCCTACCCCCCCCTCAGCCGGTGGTATTGGCTGTGGAGAAGTCGGATGCTACTGTGGAACCGGGGCCGACTGATGGGGTTTTGAATCTGCCACGGTCTGTTTGGATAAGGGAGCAAATGATGGATGAGTCGTTAGTGTCCTTGCGGAAGCGATCCAAAGTGGAGGTTGGGGGTCCGGTTACGGAGGGTGCGCCGGAAACCGCGGTCCGAGATGGTCTGCTTATGTGGAGGGAAAGTCTCCAGGAACACTGGCGTCTAGTGGTGCCTGCGTCCCTCCGATACGAGTTGATTAGAACTCTCCATTGTGACACGCTATTACATCTGGGTGTGCAGAAGACCTTGTTGACGTTGCAACGTCATTATTTTTGGCACGGCATGTCGACGGATGTCGTGGGGCACGTCCGCGCGTGCCCTGACTGTGCCCGGCGTAAGCCTCCTAAACATCCTTATGTGCCACCCTTACAGTCAATTCGGGTGTCTCGGGTCAATGAATTGGTGGCACTGGACATTTTGGGACCTTTCCCACCTTCGGCGAGGGGTAATAAATATTTGCTGGTCGGGGTTGAGTACCTCTCCCGTTGGCCGATGGCCTGGCCGTTGCCCGATCAATCGGCCGCGGCCATTACCGACGCCTTTTTGTTCGGATATGTTATGGACAAGGGTGCGCCGGAGAGACTCCTTACGGATCAGGGCCGAAATTTTTCTTCTAAATTATTGGCGGAAGTATGCGCGGGCCTAGGGACTAAGAAGGTCCGGACATCCCCATACCATCCGCAAACGGATGGTATGGTTGAGCGGCTAAACCGGACATTGTCTGCCATGCTGTGCCACACGGTGAGTGAGCAACAATCGGATTGGGACCTGCACATCCCGGGGGTGCTTTCGGCGTACAGGATGACTCCTCATGCGGCTACGGGTTATTCGCCATTTTACCTTATGTATGGTCGGGAAAACGTGCCGCCAATGGATGTGCAGATGGGAACCGGTGTGAGGGGACCTTGTAAACCGCTTCCTGACTACATTCGGGACACTGTTCGCCGGGTCTCGGAGGCGCGGGAGAGTGCCCGTGTGGCTACGGCCAAAGCTCAGGCCCGAAATGAGAGGTACGCACGGCGTTCCAAAGGGGAGTGCCCCTGGAAGGTTGGGGACCTGGCCTGGCTCCATTGCCCGCAGGTGCGGCCGGGTACCTCTCCCAAATTTCACAAACCTTGGCGAGGGCCTGTCTGCCTCATTGAGGTTCCTAATCCTCAGTCGGCGCGTGTTCAAATTGGTTCTCGCCGCTGGTTTGTTCACACGTCGCGCTTGAAACCGTATGTTGCTCCCCTACATGATGCATCATCTCCCAATGTTGCCTTGCCGGGGTCTGTTGCTGCCGACTCTCCCCCGCCTGCGTCCATTGATCTTGCTAGAGCGCCTGTCGTACCTGTTCCAGGCAGGCCGGCCTTGACACCGGAGGGGACGAGGCGCTCTGCTCGGAGGGTGCCTGCCAGATCTGCGGGTCCTTCGAGCCCTGCAGCCCTTCCGACCCCGCTGCAGACGCATCCGCGGGACAAGCCCAAAACTGATCCTTCAAGGACACGGGACGTTGGTGGACTTCCAACAGCGACAGGGGGATTTCACCCTGTCGCTCCTCAAACTCAATCACGTTCCCGTTCCGCGGATGGGCCGCCGACCGTCCGGGACGGGCCGGCGACCCGCACACGCTCTAAATCCCTTGTGTTTCGTTGATTGTTATGTTGTATTGTTCTTACTGTGTATTTATTGCCTGCTTCTGCTACGTTATTGATTGTTGAGTTGTGTTGATTGTTCTTACTGTTATATTGCATGCTTGGTGTCCTTTGGTGTGTTACGCTCGGGTTCGCCCGCATTACTGTTGGTGTTGTTCAGCCGAGGTCGGCTGGGTTTTTCTCCACGGGGGAGGGTGGTGTAATGCGGGCGCGGGCGACCTCCCGGATGTGACGTCACTGAGAGGTGGAGTTAGGTGACGTGGGAGGAAAGGTTAAGGTTCTTAAGGGAGGAGACCGGAAGAGGAAGGGAGAACGAGTGGGACTGGACCAGAGTAAGGCCACGTGGGCAAAGCCAAGGGGTGGCAGCGGCGGCCAGCGGTGGCCAGCTAAGGGAGCAGCCAGCGGAGCTGCGAGAGAAGACAGCGGTGGGGCGGCTGGAGAGAAGGCGGACGAGGAGCTGCGGGGAACACAGCCGGCGAGGCTGTGTGTGAGGGAGAGGCTACGAGAGCGACGAGAGGAGAGAGAGGCTGAGAGAACGACGAGGGGAGACACTGCAGGAGAGCAGTATCAGTGTCAGTATAGAGTCTTATAGAAGGACAGCCGTGCGGGTTAAGAGAGAAGAACCGAATAAAGGACACCAAGCCAGACATCGTGGTCGAGTCCTTTATTACATATATACAAGGACTGTTTTTTTTTTAAATTTCTCTCACTTGATACAGCTATCGTGCTGTGACGGTTCCACCTGAACACGCAAACTTGTGTTGCCTCCGAAACGTCGTGATTTTTATTTTTATTTTACTTTTATTAATTTTAATTTTTTACCTACGTGACTTTACCGAAAAAACCTAAGAATATGAATCCTTGCAGTCACGAAAGCTTCAAATCTAGAATAAATATAACATGTTACCGAAAAAATTAGTTATTTCATTTTATAGAATTGACAAATATATTGTGAATTTGTAAATGATTAAGTTTGGACAGCCTATGTGAGTCTATCATTATAAATATTTGTTATCAGCCATGATATCGTCACTGCTGGATGGTCTTGCGATTCTGCGCACAGGCTAATTTCATTACATCCATTCCAGCAGCGCGTCCTGCCAAAGTCCGCCTACATTGTCTAAACAGTCAATATGATGGTCTCTAACTTGCATATGTTGAATTCACGTTGTCCCTCTTTCTATCCATCAGTTCTTAGCATGCACCTCACCACGCTTCTTTGAGAACTTTTGTGCTTTTTGTTCCATATTCTTTGGAAATGTCACTGTTTTTTTTTATTACGTGACTTTAATATAATTAACTCGCCCGGTTACAAACAACAATTGTTGTTAATAGTTTTTTTACCCTTTTATTTATTTATCATGAAGTAAGTTGTCTGTTCATTAATACCATTAAATATACAATTGAAGATTCATATTCTTGGTTCTTTCGGTAAAGTCACGTAGAAGGGAAATAATAAAATAACAATCATCATCAGGTGTGACATTCACACCTGATGATGATTGTTTGTGTTGCAGTCGAAACGTTGTAAGAATTTATTGTTTTATATTTTTATTATTTTATTATTTCCCTTCTACGTGACTTTACTGAAAGAACAAAGAATATGAATCCCTGCAGTCACGAAAGCTTTAAATAAAAATTGAAGATTTGTGAAGGATATTGAGAAATTTTGACATTGTAATGTAGTGCACTTGTTTATTAATTGACATTTCTCATTCATCTTTGTTGCTTTTTTTTCTACAGATTGAAAGTAAACTGAAAATGCTGCTATACTCCAGATACTATTATAACAACAACATTACAAATAGGTTGGTTTTGCAAACAAATATCAGTTGCAGCCATCAAAGTTTTCCACATTTGAATACTGTACAATGTTAAATAAAGAACATGTAATGTTTCATTTGCGTGACATTTGTACAGCTTGTGTATTTTGTGGTGATTTTAGCAAATCATTGTCAAATATTTATCAGGTTATTTATTTAGCCTCACCGGAGTCTAATGACTCTATTTCAGGAGGGTCCTGCCAAGTTTTCGCAGTCGGGGCGATAATTGCTATGCACGTTCCAATCGAGTAATTTTTGGGTAATTTTTTCAAATGTGAACTGTGACACCGGTACACAATGGCCTACTCTTGCAAAGGCTATCACGATAATGTTAACATCCACTGTGAAGCAGATGGCGCATATATACATTTACGGGTAATACACCCGCAACCCACGGTATTAACCAGGGCGGCCACTAGATTGGAACTGTGAACCTCCAAAACAAGTGGCAAACATACTACCACAAGTCTATGTTGCCATCCTTCAGCGTTTAGTAGATCCGCCACTATAAATGCATGTTTACATTAATTTGTTCTCAAAATATTCAAATATGCTCGGACTGATTAATTTATTAAATCTATTTGACTAATCACTTGAATATATACATGCAGTACTCTGTCAACGCATACATCTAAATTCGTGCTCATTATAACATTCACAAAGCTATTATTTAAAAAGTGGAATTGACGGTGACGTGGCATAGCGTCGGCATATTCACTGCTTGTTGCAGAGGTTCATGGTTCGAATCCAGCGGCCTCCCTGGATTATTACTGTCGGCGAAATAACCACGCTAATGCCATGCACCGTCTGCTTCACAGTGGATGTGAAAGATCCCCCTGACATCATTCGTAAAAGTAGGCCATCGTGTGCCAATGTCAGGGTCCCAAAGTCACTAAATTCGAAAATTACACCACAAACTACTCAATTGGGATTTATACGTAGCAATCACTGCTCCCTACCGCCTGTTTGGAGGTCAGGTGCTGAAGTCATATTGTTCCCACAAGGACACCTGCTATTGGGGTGGGGGGGTGTCCTTTGAAATGTTTGAGATGAGATGTAAAGCCCTCTGAGAATGCTCTCCCTGCGTATAGGGTGCTCTATCGCACACAAATCACCGTTATCGTATTACTGTACTGTACTGTACTTAAAAAATAATGGGAACAACCTAAGGATGATGAGCAGCAGAAAGGTCAGCATAAGTCGGGAGTGAGATCACTTCCTGGTCTGAAGAGAGATAGCTCATTTAACCACATATAAGAGAGCTGTTACATTTGAACTCCTTTGGCAGAAACAAGATGTACTGGGTCGTGGAGACTGGAGGGATACGTGTTTGGAAATGGAGGTTTTATTTAGGAATGCTAGGGTACTAGAGGATATTTTTTTAAAGATGGGAGTAACATCAGCAGTCTTGAGATTTTGGGGGGAAGGTACTGGATGAGACAGAGGCATTGACAAAACTGGTGATATAGGGGGCCAAAGTAGGTGGACACTGAGGGATGAGTTTGGTGGGCAGGGAATCAAGGATGCAAATAACTTTTGTACGTTGAAGATGATTGTCGTTATAATTTTTTATTGAGTGATGTTATAGGTAGGGACAGGACAGACAATAGGAGAAGCAGAAGGATATTCCTTATTTTCTTGACTTTTTCAGCGAAAGAGGAGATAATGTTTGCCATGCTTAGCAGCTGACAGGGCAGTGGAAAAATCTGGGCATGGGGACACCGGTGAGCATTGAAAAGGGATTTAGAATTTCCTGCACCATTTGCGATCAGAGCAGAATAGAAGTCTGATTTCAACCCCACCAGCTCTGACTGTTAAGATTTGCTTTGAGCCTTCCAACTGAAGGTAATTCATCTAAATCAAATTGATGCAGTTCAGCATTTATTTTACGTATATTTGATGATGATTTTGTTAACATTTGTGATTTTTTTTTTTTACGTGTATTTCAGCCGCATGGATAATAACGTTTTTTTTGTGGAGACCTATGCTCAGTTTAACTACACAACGGAGAGTGCTGTGTATAACTATTATAAATACGATCTGAAGAAGGATATTGAGACAAAATTCACCACCAACACGCGAGCAGTGGATTTCATGGCTCTCGTCAATTTTACAATGGAACAACGTAAGACTAAAATCATTCCTCAATGATATTACTGGCTTAATACTGTGTGAAAAATACTTGGTAATGCAACATCTATCCCGCATACACAGCACAATTTGGGTGAATGTGTGTAAATCTATAAATGTGATTTTAGGGATTAACAGCATTATTCAACAGTAAATTATGGATCTTGACTTAAAGCTTGCGCGACTTAAAGCTTTTTGGAGATTTTTTTTTTATTTACAGCACAAAATCTCAAGTAAATAAATGCATAATGCATTATTTACCAGTATACATTGTTTAAATTAGGGTTACAATTGTTCTCATAATTCAAATGTTTAAATTTACTCCTGACATTGGTTACATGGGAAGTAACACATTTTTAAGGCATCTATATCTCCAAGCTTCTCATGGTACAATTGACAAATCCCTGTATTCCTCAAACTAAACATCATTTTAAGTTCTATTAACTTAGTAGTAGGGTTTTACCCTTTTAAACTGATACAAAACTGACACCTTTATACAAGGCATCATGTTTGCAATAACCACAACTCAAGTAGTCAAAAATGCAAACAAAAGAAGCAACTCTGATAATGATAATAATATGCACTGTCCTTAAAGTTGATTGGTCCACACCCGAGACGGCTTTCTTTGAGCCTAGTCCCCATTGGTGTTGGACCAGATGACACCAGAAGGCGTACAACTCAAACACAGTGCAATATCAGAGTATTGAGAGCTCTGGGTAAGCATTTACATCAACTTCAAGGACAGTGCATATTATTATCATTATCAGAGTTGCTTCTTTTTGTTTGCATTTTTGACTACTTGTGTTGTGGTTATTGCAAACATGATGCCTTGTATAAAGGTGTCAGTTTTGTACCAGTTTAAAAGGGTAAAAACCGACTACTATATTTTGCCACTGGTAAAAGAGGTCTCATAGTGTAAATGCTTACCCCGAGCTCTCAATACTCTGATATTGCACTGTGTTTGAGTTGTATGCCTTCTGGTGTCATCTGGTCCAACACCAATGGGGACTAGGCTCAAAGAAAGCCGTCTCGGGTGTGGACCAATCAACTTCAAGGAGAGTGCATATTATTATCATTATCAGAGTTGCTTCTTTTTGTTTGCATTTTTGACTACTTGTGTTGTGGTTATTGCAAACATGATGCCTTGTATAAAGGTGTCAGTTTTGTACCAGTTTAAAAGGGTAAAAACCTACTACTATATTTTGCCACTGGTAAAAGAGGTCTCATAGTGTAAATTCTATTAACTTATTTTCTGATTTTAATATATATGGTTCCTCAATATGGTTTGCACACATTCTTTTGCAGTAATATACATATGCACATAAAACTCCGCTAAATTTTGTAAGAGTTTGCTCACGAATAGAATGCATGGCTTTTACATCCATTGAGTGGCACGCATAGATATTCATATACACGATTCGTACAGAATAACTGCACAGTAATTAATTTATAATGGTAATACAATAACTGTTAATGAAATCAACGTGTTAATGTTCATAAAAAAAATTTGGTGTAATTTCAGTTTCACTGGATGAATTAAAAGAATACATAACCTGTTCCACAACTATGCCCAAGTACGTACCGAAATGGATAGATGGCACAGGCTTTGTGTGCCAGTCCCCTTGCATCACCGAAATCTACTGCAACAACGGAGGGGAATGTCAGCATACATCAAACGGGCCAGTGTGCAAGTAAGTAATCCATTGCGGTCGCAAACCAACAAGCACTGTGTTTATGCCAACACTTTTTGACAGATTTCGCGCATTCTGTTTCAACATTTGTTATGTGGAAGTCAGAATTGATCATAATCTGTGCATTATTGATTGTCTGTGTTAGCATACAATAATAATAGGAGTAATGATGAAATGCTCCCTGACAGATATAGCAGCACAATATTGGAGAAAAACATGTGTTTTTGTTAATCTGCACCTCTGATTAGCACGGTTGACTACATACGGTGCGAAATAAGTTCAACATACATACATACATGCAAGTTGTGGCCAGGTATTTAATAATCGATTATTATTTTTTTTCTAGATGCGGCACGAATGGAATTTACCATTCCTATGGAGATCAATGTCAGCACCTCACTGTGACATCTCCAGCCTTCTTTGGCATTTTGTTTGGTAGCCTTGGTGGAATGTTATTACTGGGAATAGGCATCTACGCATTCTGGAGATACAAGTCTGGAAGAACCTATTCGCGGTTTGGTAACAAGGGCAGGTATGCAATATATATCTTCATACACTTTCAAAAATATATATTTAAAAATATTATGCATTAAAGTTTGGCACCATCTCGACTTGTCTGTTCCTGGGGCTTGTAACTCAAGTTATCGATTTAATGGAATTACTAGTTTAGTGTTTTTATAAAGAGGATAGTTTTTACATCTTGAAAATATTATTTGGCAATAATTGTTTTAGCAATTGTTGATTTGAACATTGTACTATGTTGTATTTATCTGGGGGGGATGGCGGTGGCATCGTGGTTACCGCACTGCGTTATGAACCCAGTGGCAGTGATATCTGAAGCAGTTTTTGTCCCCACACCTTCACCAACCTGCACTAACCAACATGGCGAAGTATAGTTAAACACTTCCATGACAAACATGGCATAGGGAGGTCTTCATCCTGCAGTAGACGGACAGAGAATTGTACATTATTTCACGATCGTATTATTTATACACGGCTTAATACTGTATACAGCTCCTGGTGGATTCTGTTTGTGGGTTTGATTGTATACAACTCAGGAATTTACATCCCCATTTTTTAAAATCTCAATTACACATTTAATTATGGCCAATTTTGACTTTCAACAAAATTATTCGTTGAAGACTTCAACAAATTAAACGGGCAATTTGTTCGTGACACTACGAAAAATGGAGATATACGAGATCGTCTACAGTCATATCTGCTACTTGTAAAACGGTGGCAGGGGTGGCCCAGTAGTAACGCCCGTGCCACGCAGCAGGAAGGACCTGGGTTCATTCACTTATTCGGGCGCCTTTCTTTGTGGGGTTTGTGTGTTCTCTCCCCCTGTTTCTGCCTGGGTTTCCTCTGACTTCTTCAGTTCACTGTCAAAGCTAAAACACACCACACACAATGTCACTGGCGTTGGCCAAATAACCCAACTTAGCAGACTTGGTGTGGCTTTCTTTTTTAAAAGTTAAAAAATGAACACAAATCCCCACTGCATCACGATGTGGTAAGATGACATTCCTGTGCAGTCAGGCAAAAAGTTACACGGTGAGAGAGAAACACAAATACATTACTATATGAATGTTTTCCGTTCTTTAAAAAAAAACCATCACTTTGGCAAAGGGTTAAACAATCATACATTTTTAATAAACTAGCATCCACAGTCAATGAAGGCCACCCATTGCTTTCGCCGACCCACGTGGTTCCGTGATCCCAAAAATGGGTCTCACCCTTGCACGAGCAGATCTCAGTGCTCACTCTTTCCGTCAACGTTCTCGGCCATGGCTGACATTAACATCGCCATCCTCCATCCTCTGGCCGTTGTCCCTTCTGAGCAGTGTGTCCTGCCAAAATTCACTTTACCTTTTTTTTTTACAATCGATACACTGTCTCCAATTTGTGTTTGTTCCACTGATCATTGTGCTCCTTTTCCTATCTCTGAGCATAACTCCCAAGTATGCTTCTTTGTGCACTCGTCAGATTATCGTTCTACATTTTCTTTGTTATTGTCTGTCTTTCTGATCCATACATCATAGCCGGTAATATGCACGGATATATCTTCCGAGTGACATACGAAATAATGTTGCGTTGTAGGAGGTACACTGTAAAGAAGTGATACTGTAAAAAAAATACTTTATGTTGTTCTTTAACTTGATGTTGATATGCAAACAAAAAAGTCGTTGCCATGCCATTTTCATATTTTTGTTGTTGTAAATAACATCTAGCCATTCCTGATGAATAGCCAGTGATAACCCTACCTTTCATTACTCTGACTCCTGAATCATCCCAGCCACATCTGGGTTGATCACGGATGTCTGCTTCAACTGATAATCCACACGTCTCATCACTGTTTCAAATTGGATACTGTGGTAACTTGCTATTGCTCGAAAAGCTTTTGATTGGAAACAAGATTTCTTAATTGCTCTTTGTATTGTACAGTTACCCTGGCAGTCATCAAGGAGGTGTGTCAGCCTATGACAATTACTCACGTAAGTAAATAATACAGATTTGTTGATGCATCGCGTAAACTAATACGTGGTATTTTTATTTTAAAGAAAAAGCAAAACGTATATTTTTAAATCTCAGTTTAACACGTTTTCGCGACCAATATTATCCATAATAGAGATGTTTGGGTTCGATCGTGTAAATATGCAATCTCAATTAATTGAAATCTCAATTAAAAACAATACAGTCTGTAATATATATTGATTAGAATGTAATCTCTTGCTTGGTAACCAATGATAAATGTAACTTTAATGTCTAGCAGCATAACTCAAGTGTATGGAAACTGTGCAATTCTATAATGGTTGTCAACATTTCCATTTAGAAGTTAACCGGTATTTATTGTACAAGAATAAATGGTATGATGAGTGTTCCTACGGGTGTTATTATCACCTATGACTCTGGTATGCAATGCATTTGCTTACATTCACTATTGCCATACGCATAGTGAGGGGCAACAAGGAAGGATGGTGTTTGCCGAAGTCTGTAGACCTGTTGTTGTTGCTTCATGGAATATTTTGACTAAATATGTAATAAAGGACACTTGCACTGGGTCTGTCTCCGTTGTCCTTTATTGGTTCGTACAACTTGCCCGCACGGCGTCTCGCTCAGTGTCTCCTCCGTTTCCCGCTCGGCAGCCCCACTGCTGCCGTCGCTCCTGCAGCCCCGTTGCTGGCTCACTATGCAGCCCCGCTGCTGGCTCGTTACACAGCCTCTCTGCTTCCCGACCTGCAGCCACCCTTGCTGCTCATTATGCAGCCCCGCTGCTGGCTCTCTGTTGCCTCTGTGCCCGGACACCGATGGCCGACGGTGTCGAGTCCCTGGCTCTCTGTTGCCTCTGTGCCCGGACACCGATGGCCGACGGTGTCGAGTCCCAACCCTGTGGCGATCACGCCACTTTCCTTCTCCTGCCCCGCGTGGCCTCCTTCTGTCTCTACTCTCACACTCCCTCTGAGCCCTTCCGGTTCCTGTCCTTAAAAGCTCTCTCTCTCCCCACGTGACCCTAACTCCTCCCACCTGTTACGTCACATCCAGCGAGCCCGTTTACGCTCGCATTACACCACCCTCCCCCGTAGAGAAAATTCCAGCCGTCCTCGGCTGAAACAGAACAAGTAATGCGAGCGACCTCCAACCATCAGCCGTGACCGGACAACGGAGAATATAATGATAATAACAACAACAACAAGAACAACAATAATCAACGAAAAGAAAGAGATTTAGAACGCGTGCGGGTCGCCGGCCCGTCCCGGACGAGCGGCGGCCCCCCTGCAGACCGAGAACGCAACGGGGTTTTAGGAGCGACAGGATCAAAACCGCCTGTCGCTATTGGAGGCCCGCCAACACCAAGGTCCCGTTCCCCCGAAGGACCAGAGTCCGGGGTGTCCCGCAACCGTGTCTGTGGTGGGTTTGGAGGGGCGGCGGGGTCAGGTGTCCCCGCAGCCGTGGTAGGCCCACCCAGAGCAGAGTCCGCTGCCTCCGTCAGTGTCACGGCCGGTTCGTCTGTAGAAGGCACGACGGGCGCTCTTGCAGGGTCAACAGGCATAGGCTAGGGTGCGTCGGCAGCAACAGACACCGGCAAGGCAACATCAGGAGATGACGCATCCGTCCGTGGGGCCACGTATGGTTTCAACCGAGACGTATGGACGTACCAGCGCCGAGATCCGAACCGAACGCGCGCGGACTGCGGGTTAGGAACCTCAATGAGCCTAACAGGCCCCTGCCATGGTTTATGCAATTTAGGGGAGGTTCCTGCTCGCACCTGCGGGCAATGCAGCCAAGCCATGTCCCCCACCTTCCAGGGGCACTTCCCCCTCGAGCGTCGAGCGCAACGTTCGTTTTCGGCCTGGGTCTTGGCAGTAGCCAATCGGGCCCCCTCCCGCGCCTCAGCGACGCGGCGAACGGCGTCCTGAATGTAGTCGGGGAGAGGCTTAATAGGGCCTCTCGCTCCCGTTCCCAATTGCACATCCATTGGCGGCACGTTTTCGCGACCGTACATGAGAACAAGTATAACCCGTAAAAACAAAGTTTTTCACTATAAATCCTTTATATGCGTGGCAGCGAACTTAATATAAAGGATTTAAAATATATATATATGCCTGTGGAGGACGCGGGGATCGATCCCGCGACCTTTGGCATGGGAAGCGAGGGCGCTACCAACTGCGCTACTCCGCCACGGCCTATGGAGGGGTTACACTCTGGGCTCTTATACTGAGACGTTCAGCCAAAGTGATGAATGAGTTCTATTTGAATATATGTAAAATAAATTTTTTTTGCCTAAAAAGTATAACATTTTGGGAATTTTTTTTCACGAACATTAATTGTCTGGCACAACGAGTCTGTGTTGAAAATGTCAGCTCGATTGAATCACGGGAAGTGGGTTAAAAAACGACCGAAAGATTTGCACGGTCGTAAGCAAGCAAGCAAGCGAACTTAATATAAAGTATTTAAAAAACGGAGAATATCCTGTGGACGCGTGAGGCGTCATCCGGTATGCCGAGAGTACCCCAGGGATGTGCAAATCCCAGTCAGCTTGCTTCTCATTAACTGTGTTACATAGCATGGCTGACAGCGTCCGATTTAGTCGTTCCACCATGCCATCCGTCTGCGGGTGGTAGGGAGATGTCCGGATCTTTTTAGTCCCCAGAGCAGCGCACACCTCACCCAACATTTTAGAAGAAAAATTCCAGCCCTGATTCGTGAGCAGCCTCTCCGACGCCCCTTTGTCCATGACATATCCAAGTAGAAAGGCGTCCGTAATGGACACCGCCGACTGGTCGGGCAGGGGCCAGGCCATCGGCCAGCGGGAGAGATACTCCACCCCAACTAGCAAGTATTTAGCGGATGGCGGGAAGGGTCCCAAAATATCCAACGCCACCAACTCGTTAACTCGAGACACCTGTATAGACTGTACATATGGGTGTTTAGGCGGCTTCCGCCGGGCACACTCGGGACACGCGCGAATGTGCCCGACGACATCCGTCGTCATGCCGTGCCAGAAGTAGTCTCGCTGCAACGTCAACAAGGTTTTCTGCACCCCCAGGTGTAATAGCGTGTCGCAATGCAGAGTCCTAATCAATTCGTACCGTAACGACGACGGTACAACAAGACGCCAGCGATCATGTAACCCCTCCCTCCACATCAGCAGTCCGTCGCGGAGAGCGGCCCCCGGCGTCCCTCCGGAAAACAGTCTCCCCCCTCCCTTTGCAGCCCGACTCCGCAGAGTCCCCAACGAGTCGTCAAGCATTTGTTCACGAATCCACACTGATCGCGGCAGGTTCAGAACCCCATCGGCCGGTCCCGGGCACACTGGAGCCTCAGGCACCTCGACCGCTAACGCAATAGGCCGAGGGGGCTGCTGAGCCGGCGTACACCTATGCGTACCTGACGCGCAAGCGCAAGGGGATCCTTGCGGTAACCTGGAGAGCGCGTCTGCATTCGCGTGACGCGACCCCTTCCGATGCTGAATTTGGAAGGAAAACTCCTGCAGAGTGTCCAACCATCGTGCCAGTTGGCCAGATGGTTGGTCTACCCTCAGAGCATATTGTAAAGCCGCATGATCCGTGCGCACAATAAACGAACGGCCGTAGAGATACGGCCGAAATTGGCGGAGAAAATAGACAATGGCCAAAAGTTCGCGGCGAGTAACGCAGTAGCAGGTTTCTGCGGGGGACAAAACGCGGCTACCGTACGCTACCACGTGTTCCACACCGCCTTTGGACTGCGACAGAACGGCCCCAATGCCAGTGTCACTCGCGTCCGTGTCCAGAATGAAAGGGTGATCGAAATCGGGATAGTCCAATGTTGGCGCCGTTGCCAAACGATCGCGTAGTCCCTTAAACGCCGCTTCATCTGGCGGTCCCCAACTGAATTTCCGTCCTTTACCCGTAAGGAGGTGCAGAGGCCTAGCGATCGTTGCAAAATTGGGAACGAACCTACGGTAATATGAGGCAAACCCCAAGAAGCGACGCACATCCCCCACCGTGGCCGGGGTTGGCCAGTTGCGGACGCACGCCGTCTTCTCCGGGTCCGTGGCAACCCCGTCGGCACTGACTATGTGTCCCAAATAGCGCACGGATCATTGCAATAGGTGACATTTCTTCTTAGGTTTAAATTTTAGATTGGCGGAGCGCATCCTGGCGAACACCGCCTCCAGTCTCTAGATGTTCGTCAAATGTGCGGCTAAAGACGATGATGTCGTCTAAATATATATCAGACATGTCTCCCACTGCAACCCCGTTAATACCAGCTCCATCAACCTCTGAAATGTGGCGGGGGCAGCATTCAACCCCATCGGAAGACAATTCAATTGAAATAGGCCCTGCGGCGTACGGAAAGCAGTCTTTTCCCTCGAGGGCTCATCGAGGGGAAGCTGCCAGAATCCCGAAGAGAGATCCAGCGTTGAAAAGAACTTCGCCCCCGACAAGGCATCGAGGGAATCATCCATACGCGGCAGGGGGTACGCATCCGCTACGGACACTTTGTTTAATTTGCAAAAATTGACGCAAAATCGCAATTTACCGTCTTTCTTTTTGACCAAGACTACAGGCGCGCCCCATGGGCTGTTAGACGGAGATATTATGTCCGCAGCCAGCATGTCTTCCACTGCTCCACGAACATGGTCTCGCTCCGCCGGGCTCATCCGATGCAAGTTCAACCGAATCAGAGCAGCGTCCCCCGTGTCAATGTAATGGGAAAGCAGGGAGGTGTGTCCCAAGTCAAAATCATCCGAGCTAAACACATCGGAATAACTTAACAACAGCGCGCGAAGCGCGGATCGCTGTTCCCCGGTCAGGGATGAATTCTCCCCGCACAATTCGGCAACCCAGCGATCATCTTGGCCCGTAGGGCCCGAAACTCCGCCTACCACGTCCCGGCGGCCCAGATCGTCATGGGCCGTGAACGCTGTCGTGGCATGGGCCACGACCGTTCCGGCCGGTACGCAAACATTCTCCGTACTCCCATTTAGCACCTGCAAAAACGGCGGCTGGTCCGGCCGGATAATAGTTTGCGCCCCGACCAGCGCCGACCCGCCCGTTATGGTTGCGGACGGTGATAACAAAACCCCAGGCGCTCCTTCCCGACCAGGCACCGGTTTCCGATATCGCAAAGGGATAAGCATCTGTGAACCAGGTGGAATGTCAACAGATACCTCGGACAGCGCCTGCACCTGGCAGACCGGAGCGGGTCGTCCCCAGGGCGATGGCAAAAATGAAATTTTTCGACCCCCCTGTAGTTCAATGCAATTTTGATTAACCCTTATTAGAATGGGCATTTTAGCCAGAAAATCGGTCCCCAACAAACCCGGAACCGCAAGGGACCTCGAAATCACACAGTTCCTGAGGCCGACACCCCCCCCGATGGATATATTGGCGTCCACTTGTCCCACAATGCCCATACTTCCCCTGTTCGTTGCTACACAGGAATCATAAACTGGCCGCACTGCGTCCGGCGGGATGCCCAACAGATGGAAAATGACATCCGAGATAATCGTCGCGGACGCACCGGAGTCTACCAAAATGCGCACGTCGACCCCTTGTATAGAACCCGGCACAGTGGACGAACCAGTAGCGGCCGCAACAACCCTCCGTGCCAATTTGCGCCACTGCGTTACCGAGCGACATAGACCAGTCGGCAGCCTCCCGTTGTTAACGACACCCGGACCGTGCGGCGATGGTGATGAATGAGGTGCCAAGCCTTGCCGGGTGTCTGGTGCGCACCTACTTGCCTGTCCTGGAGGGTCCTTCCGCGGTACGTCCGTGGTCGAGGCCTCCTGCTGGGGCGGCCCCGGGATACGGGCCTAACAATCCCTGGCGAAGTGGCCTTTGCGACCGCAGCGAAAACACTCGACGTCGTTGCGACGCACAGCACTCCCTCCGTCCCGACGCTCCCGCGTCGGCGGTGCAGACCGCGGCCCCGGCCCTCCCCGGGCAGGCCACTGCACAGAGGCGACTGTCAATTTCTGCGGGCCCCCCCCCCCCCCGTCAGGAACGTAGACAGCCTTCTTGGGATCCCAACCCACAGCACCCCCTTCAACGATGGGCCCCCCCGTCCACGCTGTCACCTGTTTCCAACGGCACGGATTAAACTGGGCATCCAAACACTTCGCAGCAGCCCGTGACGTCAACTTCTGATGGCCGCACACCGGCATAGGGATCCCCAAGTCTCTCGATAGCTCCAGCATTTTGCCAAAAATAAGGGGTTCCAATAGGTCATGCTCCGTCTCAGGGTATGCGACCATGGCCAATTCCAGAACGGCACCCCTGTATGCCACCGGCGATTCTTCGGGTGCCCGCTGGCGCTGAATGAATCGTCGGTGAGCATCATCCAGAGGCTCGTACGCATCCGCCATCTCATCAAAAACCCCTCTCAGTGTCTTCTTCTTCTCGGCCTTGATGGAATGGAAAAATCTGACCGACTCATCGTCGAGAAGAGTTGGCAGGACTTCCAGGGCCTCTGCGTCAGTCCATCAGGCGGAGCTTACCGCCGCCAAAAATCGGCAGGCGAACGCACTCCAGTCCCCGCCAATTGAGAATTCCTTAACTGTCGTCAAGTGACGGCTGCGGGTCCTCGCTCCGCTGTCCTCCGCAGACGGCATGTCGCGTGGCATGTTCAAGATGGCGTCGCACCGCAACGTGTCAAAGATGGCGGCTTCCCGCCGCGGAGGGCGCAAGATGGCGGCTTCCCGCGGTTCTTCTCCCGCCACGCCCAAGATGGCGTCCTCGTGCCGCGTGGTGGATGGCGCTGGCGGCGCAGGCAAGGCCCTGGTCTGTTGTTCACCCCCGGGCCTCCCCGAACCCGTCGCCGGCGTGACGAGGTCGCACAGTTGCGCCAAGACGGTCTTTAAAGTCTCCAGCTGGGCCGCCATCTGTCGCCATCTCTGGTCAGCGTCCCCCAGCGCGGGCGGATCCACCGAAGCGGCGACCTCCTGCACCCCCGGGCCGTCACTCGTTCCCGCGTCGATTCCTCCCTCCATCGTTGGCAGCGCCACTGCCTGAGGAAGGTCGTCGTCGTCGGTAGATGTAGCAGACGATGGTGCGGGGATATTCTTTCTTCTGAGCTGTTTTGACATGCCGTTTCACTTCTGACACCAGTGTAATAAAGGACTCTTGCACTGGGTCTGTCTCCGTTGTCCTTTATTGGTTCGTACAACTTGCCCGCACGGCGTCTCGCTCAGTGTCTCCTCCGTCTCCCGCTCGGCAGCCCCACTGCTGCCGTCGCTCCTGCAGCCCCGTTGCTGGCTCACTATGCAGCCCCGCTGCTGGCTCGTTACACAGCCTCTCTGCTTCCCGACCTGCAGCCACCCTTGCTGCTCATTATGCAGCCCCGCTGCTGGCTCTCTGTTGCCTCTGTGCCCGGACACCGATGGCCGACGGTGTCGAGTCCCTGGCTCTCTGTTGCCTCTGTGCCCGGACACCGATGGCCGACGGTGTCGAGTCCCAACCCTGTGGTGATCACACCACTTTCCTTCTCCTGCCCCGCGTGGCCTCCTTCTGTCTCTACTCTCACACTCCCTCTGAGCCCTTCCGGTTCCTGTCCTTAAAAGCTCTCTCTCTCCCCACGTGACCCTAACTCCTCCCACCTGTTACGTCACATCCAGCGAGCCCGTTTATGCTCGCATTACAAATATAACGCATAGGTCAGAAGAGGTTACATATTTTCATGAGAATTACCTCAGTGTAACTTAAAGCAGTATATCGTTCCGAATGATCGTTGTCTCGGTTTTGTTTGCAATCGTTTAAAATGTGCCCTTTGCATCTTAAGACTTGACATAAACGTTTGTGTTCTATGTTAATAGCCAAAAAGTATCTCCAGAACTGATTCATCTACTCCTTTAGCAAAACTTGAGGCTTACGAGCCTAAATATTCAACCAAATTTGCACTTCAGTAACTTTCTCTGTTGGGTTCCTGCAGCCTTTTCACGTATAATATTACTAAGCAATGTGCATGAATAGTAAGTGCCAAAGTACACAGGTACGTTTGAATGTAGCACAGAACAGGTATAAGAAGGAAACTTGACGCTAAGAGACGAGCACACACACTTAGTAAACCATTAGTAATCGCAGGGATACGTTCCTGGAGAACGGCGCTATTTTAAAATACGTGAATGATAATACTTGAAGCTTAAGAGGAAAATACGGTTTGGGGGCGTGATATACATTAGGTTTAAACATAAACACATAAACTCTATATATTAATGACTACATATATTGTGTGATATTATTGTGTTATTTAACTTACATTTAATAATGATGAATGTACACATATTTAAAAGTTAAAATATCAACGAATGAATAAATTAATAGTGCACTGTATTATTGAAATGCAGAGAGTGAGAGAGCCAGATGTGCATGCAAATAAGGGGAAGGTTATCCCAGGTTACTGTATCATAAGAAAAAGGTAACACAAACATAACTTCTTTCTTCCTTGACAGTGCATAGTTGTTGATAATAATTAATAAACAAAAACTCAGTAAAGGAATTGGTTGGGAGTCTTACATAGGGGACCCTCTATTAAAATAAATCTTCTGACTCAATTGAACATTTCTGCATGAAGGATAGTATCACAATTAACAGGTGACAAAAGTTAGGTTTAACTACTTAACCGCTATTAAGTCTAAAGCTCTACTATCTCTCTGCACCGAATAAAGAAATAAATACGCATTCTGTGTGTATTCACAGGGGAAGGAGCGATTAAAGGAACACATGCAGCAGAAACAGAGGTTTATGGTGTAAAATCCGATTTGGCTTTTACTTCATGGCGTCCCGTAATTCGTGACATCAACACCACCGAGGTAAGTGCAAATGCTCTAGCGCAAATCTTATTTCAAGGTGTCCAATATGAGTTGTTTTTTGTGGATTTTTTACGTACTTTATATAAACAGCGCAACTCTGTAACTCGTTCGTCGCTTATATTTGCAGGTATCGATTCAACGACCGTCGGTTTTAAAAGGGCGTTTTGATTCGGAACAAGCCTACCATGACCTGGAATAAGTGAACGAGTGAAGGAGATGGAAACAAAATGCCACTGACGTTAATGAAGCATCCGAGTTAATCTACACAACTTCTGCCTAATTGCTGCGGTTGCGTTGAAATTATAATGCTATAATTATACAAATATTTTTATTCCTAAATTTAAATGTTATATAAGTGATGGTATTGTTTTTGTAATTAATTCAATCTTAAATAACAATTATCTTAATTAAGTATTATAATTTATGGGTTGACTATGATTTGACGGTTTTGTGAAGTGCAATTTGAGATTTTAAAATACAAGCATAACTTCATGCATTACATTACTTATGTGCCTTTATGATGTATGTTTACATCCCTGTTTCCAAGCTTTGTTTATAATTCTGTTGGTTTATTTTTCCACCTTATTCGCATGAAAACGTCTGAATTTAATTGAAAAGCTCATTTTTTAAAATGTGTTGTGATAGCACTTTGAAATCTCATGCACTATATTTCAGATGTTTTTTTTCAGTTTGCAAACTTCAAACCAAATTCATGACAATGTATGGATTATTTTGCAACAGCAGAATTAGAAAACTTTGCTTAGAATGTCAGTGTGATCTTGAAAAATAGTATCCTATGTTAAATGAATCTAGCCCTTGAAAAAAATGCATATCTTTACAAGTATTTATATGTGGGAATACCTTAATGTTTAAAGAGGTTGCTATCTGAATGTATTAACTCATATTTTATCGCATTTAATGAATGTACGTTGTATCCATATTTATGAAATATTGACTACAAAGAACATGCCAGCGCTTGCAGACGCTATTGATTGCAACTCATGGAAGTATTGCTGGTTCATAATATTGCTTATTACAGTTAAAATAACACAACATAACCTGCCACTGTTGAGCACAACCTCAGGAAAACTAATAGAATGTACACAAGAGGATTAAATGATCAACATTATTTTACTTTGTAGATTTCATGATTCTTAGTCAGGGGTATTTTAACGTTTGCAAAACAGACTACGATAAGTAATTGCAGTAAATAGATGCAAATGTACACCAGACAAATCTGTGAAACAAACGAGAATGCTACGCAGGGAGCCGCTGACAAAATGGAAGACGACATTACTGTGTTGCATTTATTTGGAGGAGCAGTGGTGCATTGGTTAGCATACCGGCTATGAACCCAGCAACCTGAATTTGAATCTCAACCATTGCTAACATCGGTGGCAAGCGATATCTGGGCTGGTCATGGATCCTCCCCCCAGCCTTCACCAACCCAGCATGGTGAAGAATAACCAGCATAGTGAAGTGTATATCTAATAACTCCCATGACTCACTGCATGAGGCCTTAATGGTGGGAAAAATTTATAAGGCCCAATCATATTGACATACATGTGAGAAGCCACTACCCTCGATAGGTAATAGCATCTGTTGAATCAAATTTAAATTACCTAGCAGAGAAAATGTGGATTGTAGCAGGTTTGCCTTCCACATTTTTATCACTGCAATACCGCTGTGCAGTCTCTTATGATCAAGGGTAATGCTGTTTTAATCTCAATAATATTTAAGAATAAAATGTGATTCAAATGAATTGTATGTTTTTTGTTAAACCTGCTTCAAATTAAATGTTGACGATCTATTTTCGTTTTTTTCACTGAGTGTTTTTTTCGGCATGGTCTACGACAATTCACTTCATGTGCTGGGAGATTTCTGCAGGAGTAAAAAGTCAGACGTCTGGAATAATTGGGAAAACGTACGCAAGGGTGCAATAAGATTTTCACTCTTAACTGCAATAACCTGATCCATACCATGGTTACATTGTGTTCCACTAACATGCAGAATTTATCTCCATAAAAATCACATTGGTCAATAATATAAAATAGGCACCTTTCTGGCATTGTCCCTTCTTTTTTGTACCATAAAGGGTCATTGCCCAAAACGTCATCTAGTTTAGGGGCCGTCCATAAATGACGTCACGCACCTAGGGGGGGGGAGGGGGTCAGACATTTGTGACGAGGGGGGTCAAAAATCGGCCAAAATCAAATGACGTCATTTATGGACGGCCCCTAAAGCCACGGTGTTGTTGATGAGTGTGTTGCGTTTATTTTGTATAAGCATGTTGTGCATCACTGCACACACTGCAATTACGTGTGATAATTGCAGTGCGTGCTGACTAGACTGATCGTGACTGAAATATACTACGTTGCATTTATTAAAACAGTGATAGCAGTGGGGTTCGTTAGATAGATATGGTGTTGTCATTATGGATTTTTTCCGGAATTTTTTAAATATTATTTCCTGTGCAACAAATTGTACAGTGCTATTCCAAAGTTGTTGATGGAATTTAGTCAAATGACGTTATTCTAGATAGCCAAAAGTTGTGAAACCCTTAAAGCTGTGAAAGAGAAAACCTTTCACACCGTGTTGGTAGAGGTATGCCAAAACTTTGTTTTTATTTGGATAATATAATGATAACTTTCTCTACAAGTACAATAAAAACGGCCAAGTGGCTCAACGGTAAGAGCAAGCAGCTTCCATCGTAGATCTTAATGAAATACTGTAGTATTAAAACTAATGATTATCACAGTCCCATTGTCTAGGGGTATGTGATATATATTTTTTATATATATTAAAATACCGCATGTCCCAAAGTTCATATTTCACCAACAGGATATGAACTCAGAATCGAGTAACAATACATGGACTAACATTTTAAAAAATATTCCAGCACCAAAGTACAATAATTGAACGGCGTCAAAATAGAAACCAGCATATCAGAACAACATTTAGCCCCGACACGTGTTGTACAAGCGCAACCATACAAAAGAAAAACAAAAGGCCCACCCGCCAGACGTGAATGCACACAAATTTAACCGAGATCTGCCATCTTCTTATCTCTCTATGCGAAAATAGCTTCATTGTGCAAGCGATGCTTTAGTGTATCACTAGTCGTTATCTCTATCTGCTGCACGAGGACTACAGCCACCCCTATAGGGCTGCAGTGGGACCACTTGCCCTCCCTACCCCACCCTGTGCTGATAGACGGCCGTCGCGCGCCACTCCAACTCGTAGTGCCCTCTCAATCGTTGCTCCCTGTGTCACGCGCGGAAATTATTTGGTCACTCAGTGAAAACATCACGCAGCCTTCGCAGTGACACGACCGGCTCACCTTGAAAATGGGACTTCCAAATCACGGATGAAATTAACCTCGTATGAATTGTACAATGGATGCGTGCACACTATTTTGGCCCGCTTTTGGGTAAGCGTGCAATTTGGCAACGCTACAATTCACCGAGACTCAATGAGCTCATCTGCTCTTGAGTATGCTTGAAAGCAGTTAACTTGAATATGCATTGGGTGGGAGCCCAAAGCCGCGTAACGATTAGCAGCACAACAAAAAGGGAACGGACGGGCTTGAGACCCAAGCATTGTTAACACGCAAGCACGCCTCATGTAAGGAGCGTCCAGATCAAAGCATCTGTCGAAGCACACTAGACAATCGGTTGTATTAACTCATTCTGCATTAAGCAAAGTTTACTTCGGGGCAGGCCTGCTCGGGAGCTATGCCATCTGCAGTCGCTCAATGAAGTCTTAGTTTATGAGCAGAACACTTGGAAGCCCACCTGATGCAAAATGGCTCGGTTCACTTCATGATCAATTTAAGTGCGTATACACTTGTGAGCGATGCCTTCTGCAAAAACTAAACAAGGTCTTAAGTTTACGAGCAACGTACACTTATTTTAAGAGCAGTGCACTGGGTTGAAGCTTAATTAGCATTTTTATAGGTTTCATTGCAGGATTGTAAAACGCAGGTAACCATCAAGTCTCAGTCTCCCCCCTTCTCCATCACCATCAGCATATCCGTTTGTTATCGCCCTCCTCTTCCAGGATCCTCTCATGACTCTTTTACAATGTCCACACGTGCATGGTTAAAAGGGCAGTTGCCACCACGAGGTCTGTGGTCACCCCCATCCCCGAGTCACAATTGGCATGTTGATGAGAGCATCGGTGTATCTTCCTTCTCCAGGACATAGAATTCTGAATTATCTTGTGATTTCCTAGAGCTCTTTGAAACTATTAGAATAGGTTTCACCCCTTTCTGGCAATAAAACAGGTGTTAAGATGGTAAAACACCAAACAGAAACCTTTTGCAAGGAATCATGTCTGCATTAACCACATAACCTGTGGTAAACATGCAAAAAAAAACATGCTCTGGTAATACATGTGAAGTATGCGAATTGACGGCAGGAACTTCTTGACGGGTAACACACTTTTATTAAATCCTTCAGGTATCACAATACAACGTGTGGTCTTCCTTCTTCCTCCGACACACTCCCCTAATCTCGTGTAAGCTCTAGGCCTCTGGCTACACACCATATACTCGACTCGTGTAAGCCCTATGCCTCTGGCTACACAATACACTCGACTCGTGTAAGCCCTATGCCTCTGGCTACACTATACACTCGACTCGTGTAAGCCCTATGCCTCTGGCTACACTATACACTCGACTCGTGTAAGCCCTATGCCTCTGGCTACACAATAGTACATTCGGCTCGTGTAGACCTATGGCTACACACACTACACTCGCCTCTGGGTTACACAGAGTCCCGGTCCCCTTAGGACAGCGGGGCTAGGTACCGCAGGGCTCTAGGTCTTCATCCCCGTCTTCATTCTTCGCTGGTTACACACTGCCCTTACGCCTGTGTGCATCCCCTTTTATAGCCCCTGCTCACGAGAGGCGGAGCTGATGCGTACATTCAGCATGAGCATCGCTCCTTAATAAACCAATCACGACGCACTCTCTTTACGATCCGGTTTCCCCAGCGCGTGTTAACACTCCTCCACCAATCCCACCGCGCTGCCACCCGGTCACTCCCTCTCAGCATGTCACCGGTCCACAGCCAATCAGTACCCCGTAACCCACGACCCCGCGCTGACCCCTGATCCTCCACCGTCAGCGCGCGTCACCACCTACACAGCCAATCCTCACACACTGTGCATACGATCCTTAATCCCAGCGCGTATCACCTCTACATCACCCCCTCCCACATAGCTTGCAGCCGGCCCGGCTGTTAACCTACAACACAACATAACGCAACGCAGTAATAAAGAACTCCCCATCCCAGTGTGCCCCGTAACACAACAACAACAACATAACACAACCTTAAATACGAAGCAATATACAGCCCGACGAACAACACAATAAAAGCGAACACCGTAAAACGAACGCGCCAAGTGTCACCGCGACCCACGCAGTGCCGAGGCGCTCCGGCTGCCTCGACTCCGCACGTGGTAGATTACACAAAGTAGCGCGACCTAGCGCGAGTCCGTCTGGCCGGTCCGTCGTATGGAACGGGACGTTGGCGACCGTCCGGTGTCTCCGGCAGCTCTAGACGGCACGGATCGGGCCTGGAAGGACCGGCCCCGCCGTGGAGATCCGGCCGCCGGTGGTCGGCAGCAGTCAGTTCCGAGACACCTGGGAGCGGGTCAGGCGGAGACATGTGAGGAGCAGGCAAGGACAACTCCCCCTCAGGGTCGTCGGTCACGTCACATGCTCGGCCCTCACGACACAAGGGGAGGCCATACGGAGGCGAGAACGGTTTCAGTCGGGAGGGGTGGACGTACCAACGGCGTTTCCCCCATTTGATCTGAACGCACTGGGGGCGCGCAACCCGCACGACTTCCACGGGTCCCCGCCACGGCTTCAACAATTTAGGTGACGTGGCCAAAGGTGCCTGAGGGCAATGCAGCCAGGCCTTGTCACCTGGTTCCCAATTGTGCACGGATACCTTCCGTGCCCGCACCCGCTCGTTCGCAATTTGGCGAGCCCGCGAATTAAGCCGTGCGGCCTCCCTTGCCTCTGTCAGTTTATGAATATTAAATTTAATATGCTCTGCCAATTTAGAATTAGTTCGTGGTGCGGGCAGACCCAGCTGCGTTTCCATGGGCGGGTCGGCTTCCCGGCCGTACATTAGAAAAAACGGGGAAAACCCCGTAGCTGCATGGGGGGCCATTCTATACGCGGCAAGGACCCCAGGGACCTGCAGGTCCCAATCAACATGCGACTCACACACCTGCTGGCACAGCATAGAGGTCAATGTCCTGTTAAGCCTCTCCACCATCCCGTCCGTCTGCGGGTGGTACGGGGAGGTACGCACCTTTTTGGTACCCAACAGGTCGCACACCTCCTGCAGTAATTTACTCGAAAAATTTTTCCCTTGGTCAGTCAGCAAGCGTTCGGGAGCCCCCTTGTCCAGGACGTAGCCCTGGACAAAGGCGTCCGTCACAGCCGCCGCCGACTGGTTGGCGAGTGGCCACGCCATAGGCCACCGGGTAAAATATTCGACCCCCACCAACAGGTATTTATTACCCCTAGGCGTGACCGGGAAGGGCCCCAGAATATCGAGTGCAACGAGCTCGTTAATGCGCGAGACCTGAATAGATTGCAGCGGTGGATTAGCTGCCACGGGCGGTGGTTTCCGTCTGGCGCACTCAACACAACCCTTTAGAATATTCACCACATCACCCCCCATTCCCGGCCAATAATAGTCACGCTGAAGCAGGGCAAGCGTTTTGTTAACTCCCAAATGCAAGAGGCGTTCGTGTGCGGCCAAGACAACCTTCCCCCTTACAGCAGAA